ATGAGCTCTGGGAGCTGCGGGAGTTCATGGGCCAGTACACGCACGACCACACGGACAGAGACGTACCATGCTGAAGATAACAGGCATCATAGTGAGGCGCTTCATGGAGCGGTGGTGGTAGACATGGGTGACCCAGGTGCGGTCGAGGGGGATGAGACGGCCGGTGTCGACAGTGCGGGTAAAGATGTTCTCAGGGACGAAGACGCCTTTGTTCCAGAGGAGGATCTGGTCGCGGCGTGCGAGCTCGTTGGCGGCGTGCTTGCGCTCGCGGACGCGCTGGAACCAGTCGTAATAGGAGTCGGGGCGGTGGGGGCGCTCGAGCCATTTGTCGATGAGCATGTCGGTAGCGTCGTTGTCGAGCTTCTGGCATTCGAGCTCGCTCATCGCGAGGCTCGGCGGGATGAACTTGGAGTAGTGGAGGCCGGGCATCGTGCAGCGCGCGCTGGGCGTCGGGCGAGGCGAACCCAGAGAGTGCGGAGAGGTGAAGACGAGAGGCGGGTGTGAAGAGAGACGAGAACGGAGAAAGCGGGAATGATGCTCGCCCGAAAGAGGCGCCCAATAGAATGGCGCACTTTGACGCGAAAAGGCCCGCCCTAAACTGTCTCCCTTCACGCTCGCGACGCGTCCAAGTGCGGTCTTGTCTCCCGACGGTCTTGTCCTGGGGGGTCTCGCTCCTTCGCTCTTGTGCTGCTACGGCTTTATCTCATCTGCAGCGCGCTCCTTCGCCGGACACCTCGCACAGCTTCGGCCCACCACGCCCACACCACGGCGTCGATCCTGCCAGGTCGTGCCTCATGGCGGTGGTCACCCTGCTGCAGCGGGCTGCGCTATCCGGATAGCAGTCTTCGCTACTTTACATGATCCTGTGCCCTTCTCCAGCGAACCCTGCCTGCTTTGGCAGACTTCTCTGCCTTGCGGTGTGCTATGCAATGAAGAGCGCTATAGTTGAGTTCAGTCCACACAGCAACATGACTCCACAGGAGTCAAAGCTTGCAAAGCCTAATGCAACAGAGAGGACGTACGGTCTATCCCAACGTTGGCTGGCCGAACGTCGACGAGGGCATGTTGAAAGGATCTGAGAATGTCCTCAAGTAAGTCATCAATGGTATACCAAGGCAAGGGCTTGAACGGAGGACACTGCACAATGATGCAAGAATTTCGCCAGCAGACTGAGTACATAGCAGAGCATGAGACTATGAGAGTAGGATGAATCCCTTCCCGGAGTCCCTTCGGTTGCCCTTTGGTGATCATACGCGTACAGTAATCGAGCGCCGAGTTACTCGACAGAACTGACGTCATCAAGAGATTAAGCATGTACCATCCACACTCGTCGTTCGCAACTCTTCCAAGTCCACGATCAGCTGCCTCTCTTATCAGCTCATACTAACATCGGCTAGCACATTGGAAGACACCACCATGACTGCACTGCGATACCTCAACGCAAAGCTAGCTCAGCAAGTAACATCGACTTCCCGAGGATGATCAACGCGGACGCTCACAAGCTCCTGCTGCCGTACAGATCGACGAAGAGCTCATGAGCGCCGCCCGGGCGTTCAGCCTCGATCAGGTCAGCAAATCGTGCTGACCTTTGACCTGGAATGCGTTGACGGGGACTCGCTATAGCTTATGGAGCTTGCTGGTCTCGCATGCGCACAAGCATTAGCCACAGCGTACACCAGGGAGAAGCACCCTCGTGTTCTTGTATGCTGCGGGCCTGGAAACCAAGGTGGAGACGGGCTAGTAGCTGCTCGTCACTTGGGTGGGCTCATCGTGCGTTGTGTGTATCTGTGATATCGGACTGATGTATGTGCATGCAGGCATGTTTGGATACAAGCCCACCATTTGGTACCCGAAGGTACATTCTTCTCGGCGTACTGCGTACAATTGTCGTGACAAAAGCTGATATATGCGCAGCCTGGATCCAAAGACATCTACAAGGTAAGCTAGATGTGCCCCACCCGACAATGTCAGCACTCACTGACCCTCTCCCCAGCGCCTCCAACAACAATGCACAAACATGAAGATCCCGACGCTCGACAACACCCCCGACAACCAGTCCCTCCGCACCGCGCTCGCCTCCTCCGACGTCATCCTCGACGCGATCTTCGGCTTCTCCTTCCAGCCACCCGTGCGCGCCCCCTTCGACGCCGCCCTCCCGCTCATCGCGCAGTCCGGGCTGCCCATCGTCTCCGTCGACATCCCCTCCGGGTGGAACGTCGAGCGGGGGAACGTCGATGGCGTGGGCCTGAACCCGGACGTGCTCGTGAGCCTGACGGCGCCGAAGGAGGGCGTGAGGGAGTTTGCGGGGCGGCACTTCCTTGGGGGTCGTTTCGTGCCAAAGTGCGTAACCTGTCTCTTTCGATGGTAGCGTTGAGTGATGACGGTGCGGATAGGTCGCTGGAGGAGAAGTTCGCGCTGAACCTGCCCGAGTACCCGGGCTTTGCGCAGATCGTGGAGCTGCCTAGGGTGAACGAGTCTTCTGATGCGCAGAAGCTGTGAATGTTTTTGAAGAAGGGAGCTGTTGTATCAATCATCAAACAGGACAACCAGAATGTGTACCACGTTTTCTGCTCGTAGCGATCTGGTTTCTCAATTGCTGCACTACGATGCATAGTGGCAGGGTATAGTATACGCAGATACCTACACAGTCTTGACCTCAAGAAGCTATGAAAGCCGCAACTACCGGCGCAGGTTCGCCCGCTCCAGCCTCAGGCCTCAGCAGCCACCGGGTCCACCTTCAAGTACTTCTCAAACCAACCCACAACCTGCTCCACCGCATCATCCCTCGCCTTCCGCTGCACCTTGTCCGCCAAGTTCGCGCGCGTCGTCCACCCATGGTGCACCCCATCGTAAATCACGACCTGCACGTCCTTCAACCCCCTCCCCTTCAAGATCCTCTCCGTCTCCTCCGCCCTCCCGCGATCAAAATCCTTATCCGTCGCAGCCACTGCCAAACTGAACGGCCCCTTCACCCCATCCAGCTCCGCCGGGAACTTGACGAGCGACGGGTGCGCGGCGACGCTCGCGTCGAACAACGCGTTCTGCGAGATTGCGAACCGACCGCCCCAGCAGAAGCCCGCGAAGCCCACTTTCGCGGTTGGGGGCGCGGCGGCGCGGACGGCGGCGGCGATGGCGGTGAGCGTGGAGATCTGGTGCGGGAGGTTGCGGAGGACGAAGGGGACGAGGAGGAAGAGCGCGGCGGGCGTGAGGATGTAGCGCGTGAAGAGCGACTTGGGGAGCGCGGCGGGCGCGAAGGCGTCGAGGCCCCAGAGCGGGAGGCTCCAGCCTGACGGGGGTGCACGTTAGTCTCGGTATACGCGAACATGAGGAGGGGGGGACGCACCGCTGAAGAAGTCGGGCACGATGACGCGGAAGCCGCGCGCGGCGTACTCGTCCGCGAGGAGGCGGGTATTGACGAACTTCCAGCCGTAGATGTCTGCGCCGATGATGATGATGCGCGAGGACTTCTCGTCGCCGGTCACGTATGCGTTGACCCCGCCGACCTTGGTCTCGCTGCCCACGGGGGTGCCGGTGTGCAAGGAGCCGTTGATGCAGTCGGGGCAGGACATGGTGGGCTGGGCTGCTTAAAAAATTCTAGAGTGATAGAACGCTGCGGGAAGCGGAATGAGCAGGAGCACCGGGGATGGGCGCGGTCAGGGGGAGGCAGAACGTCGACCACCCTGCTTGGAGAAGTCTCCCGTGCATTTTATACGTCTTTGGGTGCTTGACCGGGTGCATGATGAGGCTGCCCACATTAATCCTCATCCCGCGCCTCTCGGGTATGGTTTTTTATATTCGGCTACAGAAGCAATAGCATGGGAGCAAGCAGTAGGCATCCAGGGAGCTCGACGCCCTTCGGACGTTGATACGATGAGCGCAGCTCTGTAAGCCGCGAAAGCAGGGGGCGGGCCCGACGCCTTCCCGGATGGCCCGGGTCCGGATGCTATCATCCGCTACAGAGTGAAGACGTCTTTGCACGCACCTTGGAGAGTCCTGGAGACAAGTCCGATTTCAACGGGAATCCATCATACGCTCGGGTGGCACGGCGAAAACTGCGCACGAGCGGGAGTCGAACGCGAGACAGGCGCGTCCACAGCCACCGATCGCGACGCGTCGCAAATATTGGGCGCCAAAGCGCGTCTTGTCTCCCAACCACGTCTTGGCCACCGCTCTACCCTCCCCTCATCACGATGTCTCGCGCCCACCAGCTGCTGCTGAAGAAACTGTGCCACAAAGACGAGACGCTCGAACGCGCGAAGGCGATCCTGAACACAGCCAGCATCAAGACCGCCCCCGGGTCCGGGTACGAGCTCGGCCAGGGCTCGGGCGGACTGTCCGCCATATGCGCGTACATCGCCGCGGAGGAGTGAGTTCCCTCCCTCCCGCACACGCGTCAAACCCCTCCCTTACGCTTACACGCACCGGAAGGCTCGGGGACACCGACGTGACGGAGCAGATCGCCCAGGCCGCGTCGTGCCTGAAGCCGAAGCTCTTCAAGACCGCGCTGAACACCGTCAAGGGCGCGCTGTCCGCCGCCGCAAAGGCGAAAGCGACGGCTGCGGCTGCGTCGCCCTCGAAGGCGGCGCGGACGGTCACGTACAACGCGCTGCTTGGGGAGAAGAAGATCGGGCGGAAGGGCATGGTGCTGGGGTGGATGCAGGACGCGGAGCGTGCGCTCATGGCGAACCGCGAGGCGCGCCGGCGGTTTACGAGCTATGACGCGGTAACCGTTGCGGTGTTCTGCTGGACGTGCCAGCTTATGGGGGTGCGTCTTACACTCTGTTCTATCTGTGGGGAGACGGGCGTTGACGCGGTGAGGCGCGTAGCTGGGCAAGAAGGCCGACCCGGAGACGCTGCTGGGCACCTATGGGGTTCGTGGGGATCAGTTCAACGACATCACGGAGGCGTTGCATGAGTTCTGCCAGGAGACCGCGAAGAAGATCGAAGCGGACGTCGCCTCACTAAGAGCTACCAAGTCTCCCTCCAAACCCACCGCCTCGCCTTCGAAAGCTGCCGCGTCACCCACGAAGGCTCCGAAAGAGGCTATACTTCCTCCAGCGCTGCCTCCCCCTACACCCTCGCGCAATCCGGAGAAAATGACTGCAATCACACGGAGCCCTTCGAAATCCGCTTTGCGCGCACCAAGCGCTGACCTTTCCCCGCGCAAGACGCCGTCACATAAGCGCAAGGTCGTGTTCGACGGGCCGATCGCGGAGGCGGACGAAGAAGAGTTCGACGCGCTCGCCACGCCGTCAAAGCGGCAAAAATTCTCGTCACCATTGAAGGAAGAGGCATCTACTACGACTAGCACTCCACGCAAGTCTTCACGCCTTGCACAAATATCTACCGCCGACGAGCTGGACACCGCGCCGTCCTCCGCTCGCAAAACCCTGGAGCTGCTCCGGCAAGCGGGTCGGGGTACGACACCCGGATCGGCTCCCTCGACACCTCGCAAGCCGCGCATTGCCTCGCAGCCGTCGTCGGTGCACTCTGCGCGGTCTGGACGGTCGCAGACGATGACGCCGTCGCGCCGGAAGCTGGGAACGATACACGAAGACGAGGAGCGCATGAGTCGGCGCAGGTACCGGCCGGCGTTTGCGGACACGCAGCAGTGGATGCGGGCGGATGCAAGGCTGGAGAGGACGCTGAAGCCGTGGGCGGAGCGGTGGCGGGAGCTGGTGGGGAGGTGTGGTGGCGATGTGTGGGAGGCGGCGAGGACTGCGGGTGAGGAGAGGAGGGCTGCCGCTGTAGTCAACTGAAGACACTTTTCTATGTGCTGTTCAGGAGGATCTCTTATACTGTACTTTATTCTGGTTATCTTGCGCCTGTTTTGTAGCATTATTTGTGTCGACCGATCCACAGAACATAACGAGACGCGATCGAGTCTACGGGCGAGCGCCCAACGCGTCGCGCGTCGAGGACATGTGACCGTGGCAGCATTATCGTGCGATGTGCCGGCGTCGGCAGCTTTCCCCACAAACCTTCGCAGTCGCGGGACACACGCCCCTCTGCACGACGCCACGACCTCCGCCATGTCGACCTCCCCCCCTATCTTCACCGCGACCTCGGCCTACTCTCTCGCCTTCGTCTCCGCCGTAGGCGTCGCGGCCTATGTGGCCTCGAAGTCGCTGCTGCCGAAGAATGCGAGCTGGCAGGATCGTGTGACGTTCATATGGCTCGTAAGTAGTACTCGCATTGCTCGTCCCGTCGCACCAAACCTGAGAGCATCATTGTATGCGTATAGGCTTTTGACGGCATCATCCACTACACGCTCGAGGGCTCGTTCCTCTACTACTCCATGTTCGGCAAGCAGGTCATCAAGAGCTCCGGGCCTATGGCGCAGATGTGTACGTCATCCCTACACCCCTACCTACGGACTGCAGTTCACGCTTGTATCGGCATCAGGGAAGGAATACGCGCTCGCGGACTCGCGCTGGGGCACGGCGGACCCGACGGTCGTCTCGCTCGAGATCCTCACCGTTTTTGGGGTGGGCACCATGTGCTTCTACGTCCTGAAGCAGCTCGTGCAGCGCGACCCCACGCGCCACTACTGGATCATCGTGCTCAGCACGTCCGAGATCTACGGCGGGTGCGTCTTTTGGACTACTGATTCCCCGATGCGCACGTTCACTGGGAGACTGAATCGAACTGTGGCGTTTGACCAGATGGATGACATTCTGTCCCGAATGGCTCACGGGCAGCCCGAGCCTGGACACCTCGAACGCGCTCTACCTCTGGGTGTACCTCGTCGTGAGTCCTGTCTGAGTCTCTCCCTTTCGCACGGCGCAGCCTCTGATGATGCTTCTCCGCGCCCCGTGCAGTTCATGAACATCATGTGAGCATGCTTATGCTTCCTCGCCGCCGCGGAGCAGACTGACTGACGTGACTGTCTTCCCAGCTGGGTGTTCGTCCCGGCCTGGCTGATGTACGACTCGTACGGGCACATCGCGAAGTCTTTGCGCTTTGCGCAGGCGAGTGCGAAAACCAAAAAGAACTGAACTCAGAACAGCACACTCACCACATCCCGGTACAACGCGGGCCACGTCCTATGGCCCTCCTATCCCCGGCGAGGGACGCGCTTATGATCTGTCAGGTTGCTCGATCACACTTATCTCAAATGTTTTGACTTGCTTACTGCTTTCCCGATGTGCAATGCAAACTATTCGTCTGACTGCCGTTTTTGAGGATCGGCTCGCATTTCTAGCAAAGACAGCGCGCGAAAATGCGAGAGTGCAGAATACTGCGACAAGCCATCGCTCCGACACGGGCGACAAGGTGCGGAAGCCACTGCGTGTTATAGCGTGAAAACCCTTGCAGGCAGTTAAACCTTTCATCAAATTCAAGGCTATCGCACGGCTATAGCGGTAGGTGGATTTCGCCCTTCGCCTGCCATGCAAGTTGTTGTCCCTCATCGCTGGCTTTAACGCTGCGGCCCCGGGGTCCTCATCCATTCGATGGTTGCCACCGTACCCGCCGTTTGCTGTGGGACCGTGTTCCTTCGGCACGACGTCCCACGACGAGCCCAAATGGGCCAAACCACGGACGAAACATGGGACACTATCTTTCCGGTGCTCCTTCGACCCTGTAAGTGCCTGTGTTGCCCTGACCGTTGTAAGCCCCCTTCTGACGCTGTGAAGTCATGCTAGTTAATCTCGGCATCTTACGTTGTAGTTCCGCGCATCCCCGGTGCCGTGAGCCAAAAGCCACCATCATCGACGTTCCTTGGAAACATTCATGCGACATATCCGCCACTGACAGATCCTGGAAAGTGTCCAGAGGACGACCGGTAGCACTCCGGCAGCGCTAGGTATTTGGAGCCGGCACTTACCGCTCCGCAGCGCTGTCGGACCACAACAAACAAACGTCCACACCGCCGTTATCCGAGGCGGTCGGTAGGCCGCAATTCCCGACTCAGCGGCATGGTTCACTGGCAGGACGGTCGAACGTTCGAACTTCGTCCACTGACGTCTAGGAGTACCTCACACACAGTATGCCCTTGTACAACATCCGGCGCAAGCAGGGAAGTATACAGCCGGCCCGACATGATGCATCTTGCGGATGCCACAAGGGTCGGGCTTCGCGCTGACACCGCAGCCAACCTGCCGTTAGTGTTGTAATTTCCAACGGATCTAATTGACAATAATACAGGCTGAGCCCGATTTAATGATTTGCGTCCCCACGCTCATACTACCTGCGCAGATACCCGTGCCGCGATGGGGACACACTTGACATATTGTGGCCTCGTCTCGACAGGAAGACGTGATGGGTTTCTCTGTCGCATCATAGCGCGCGCTACGCAAGCTCGAATTGGTATGTCGCTGCTGCTGCGTTCTGTCTCCCGTGTGTGCTGACATCCCCATAGTGACGAAATAGTGTAGGTAGCGCTGCGACCTACACGGGACCCTGAAACGTTCTTCGGCGATTGGCACGCCGTCAGGGTGAACAGTACGGTAGCATCCAATCATGAAAGTGTGCACCTAACTCCTAGCCTGATAATTTTTCGGCGATAGGACGCCGTTCACGTTTGTCGACGGGCGCACCGACCGGCTGTGTCCAGGAACAGGATTCTCATACCGGAGGGAACCAGAGCGGCCGCGTCCAGACGACGCCAATGCCAGTGGTATGTATCTCAGCGCTGATTTCCTGATATCCCAAGAGCTAAGTAATCGCCCGCCCGTGCATGCTTTACCTCCCGACTGGCGTTATTTCTCTACCAGGAGGAGAATCGCCTGCCGTGCGGTGAAAGCCACCAACAAATCTAATACAAACAAGAATCCTATTCGAGACGTCTCCGGAATGTCTCGGGAAGGCATACATCAGTTATACATCGCTTTGCGTCGACGCAACGTCCGTTCCACCCGTCTAGTCAGTTCACGTTTGCGCCAACCCCTAGCAAAGGCACGTTAGCTGACAGGTACCCCCAATTGGATGGTGTGGACGCGGTAAAGCACGGTAGTTTCTAGCTCCGGGGTATCGGGAATGTCCACAGCCAACAGTGCCGTCATTCACTGCCCCTTTCTCACTAACGCACTAGCTGCATATACCTGGCAGATTGGGATACATGTGTCGACGCCTCCCTCGTTCTGTCGGTCGAAGCAGCGGCTTACGCCGCTCCCGAGGAACACGGATGCAGGGCAGTAGCGTGGATATCCAGACAGGCAAGCGCTATTTGCTTGTATATAACAAAGTCCTGCAAAAGAAGAGACCCATCCTGAAAGCTTCTGACCTCGGTACGCTCACACTCATCCGCTCGAGGTCGATACACTCTCATACTGAATTTACTCAACTAGTTGATTTCAAGCAATCTCACGATTGACCCTCCGACAACTTGAAACACCTCAGCTCAACCCATTCGTCGCTGCTTAGTACGTTGCGTCTCATATATTTCGCCGTGCATGCTCACCATCTTGGCAACTAGTTTTCCGTCATGCGCCTCATAGATATCAGCAACCCCAGCCAACTGAAGTTCGTCGAGGTCAGCGACCCCAGCCTCGTCCGCTATGCTATTCTCTCCCACGTCTGGAACAAGCCGAATGGTGACGAGGCCTTCACTCCGGAGCCTACATTCCAGGACCTGTCATTAGCTATGAAGCATTCTCGTGCCCTGCCAGAGAACGTGCGCATGTGGGACAAGCTGCGAGGCTTTATTCGGACTGCCGCCAGAAGTGGATTCTCCCTGCTATGGGCGGACATGTGCTGCATCAACAAGGAGAACAACGCGGAGACCTCTGAAGCCATCGCCTCCATGTACCAATGGTACCTCTGTGCCGAAGTCTGCTACACATACCTCCAGGATGTCCCCTATCCCTCTCCCGAGCCGGACACCCTTTCTCCCCCACCTTCCTCCGAATTCTCCCAGAGCATTTGGTTCAAGCGCGGCTGGACACTGCAGGAACTCCTCGCATCCGACACCCTCATCTTCCTCTCTCGTGACTGGAAGGTCCTAGGCACCAAGCTAGGGCTCTCACAGATAGTTCACGACATCACGAACATCGACGTCAAGATCCTTACCCAGGAGTGCAATCTTGATGAGGTCAGCGTAGCGTGCCGCATGTCCTGGGCGGCACACAGAGTCACCTCACGCCCGGAGGATCGCGCCTATTCCTTGATGGGCCTCTTCGGCGTTCGCATGCCTGTGATCTACGGAGAAGGAGAGTACGCGTTCGTCCGCCTGCAGGAGGAAATTTTCAGGCGCATTGCAGATCCCACGCTCCTTGCCTGGGGACAGCCGCGTCGTCTATCTGATCTCCCCCTCGATATCTCGGTACCCGGACACGGCGGGGAGGCAGCGATACACGTACGGACACCTCCTAGGGACCGAGTCTCGCCCGAATCCGACGGGGACTCGGGGTGCTTGTTGGCGAAATCCCCGGACAATTTCCTCTCGAAGGCACACTTGACGAAACCGACTTCCCGTGACTTCGGTCCCATCTCCATAGCCCCATCTCGCACCGTTCTCCGTGGAGGAGGGCCATACAGGCAGAACATCATCCCCTTCGGCATGTTCCAGATGGACACTCCCCTCGTTCGCCTTGAGAAACGCACTGCCGCGTCTACTCTACTGGACGTGAAGGGCACAGCCTCCAGCCCGTACTACCTCGTTCCGCTCGGATGCCAGACTGAACGAGGGGAGGATCTCGCGCTCCTTCTTTGCCCCGGCCCTCCTAGCTCTGCCCCGAGGTCTGGGAAGCACACGACAGGCCATCAGTACTGGACCATCGGGGACGGTTCGGAGAACTCCATCGACGGCACTTCCACGCATCGCTATCGCATCGTCACGCTTCCGCCGCGACACGGCGCCGCCGGGCCCAGGGAAAAATCGCTCCGGAGATCCTGGGACGACGCTCTTGCAAAGGCGCCATATCAAGAGGTCTTTCTGCCTTTGAGTGCCCCAATGGACTATTGGAACGCAAGACGCCTCAGGAAGGCTGATGTCACGGAGGCGTTGCTTCGTGGGCACCAGGGTCATTTTGCGATGCGCCTCTCCGGTTGGTGCAAGTCCGCAATGGAAGAAGCCGGGTTCATCCTCGACGAGCAAGTACCAGGGAAGAACCCAGCCTACACGTTGACACTCCTTCCACCCCAAGGCCACACGCTCTTCGTCAAAGAGGGCGGCCACAGCGTCGCAGTGCAAGCCTTCGAGCTCACTTTCGCCAGTTGTCCCGGGCCGCACAATCGGAGTCCAGAGAATGGGGTCTTCTCGCTCGTGGGCAGCATCTCTATCAGCACCTACTCTGGCGACGATCGTTCGCCCATCACCTCTACCATGACTCCAACCGAACGGCAACGTTGCTCTTCCTGCCATGCCGCCTCCGTCGACCACCTGGGGACTTCCGGGAGGTGGTGCTTCCGCAGGGGAGTCGCTATTCGGAAGCTGCAGTGCCATGTCGGCCTCCCACAAGAAGATTACACTGCGTACTACGCGAAGGATGCCAACGGGGTGGATGACAACCTGGTGAACGACAACACGGCGGTTTGCAGCGGGATGGATGGCGGCGGAGCAACAGATAACGCGACGGAGAACAGCACAAGAAGCAGCTTCGTCTTGTTGGTCAGACTTCGGGCGTTGTCGCCCACCCCCCCTGAGGCCAAACCCGCGCCCCAGAACTACCTCCTAGAAGTTGAGTTCTACCCCAGCGAAGTCGAGGCAGTCGTTCCCAGCCCCTCTGCCATGTCGTTTTTGGAGCGAAGGGGGGACATGTCGCCAACCGGAAGATCAGCTCGGAGTATGCACTAGACTCGGCGCACCTCCATGCGCTGGGTGGATAACGCGGGAAGGCTGTTGTATATATAGGACCGCTCTTCGCCGCCCACCCCCCTTTGGGCCAAACATCCCCTGCTGTACACCTATGTTGAGCCGAGCTCTTCAAACGTCGTAGGAAATGAGATCCACCCTTACGATTGGTAGAAGCCCGGAGGGAGTAAGACAGCTGAGTTGAGTACACCAGAGTCCAGACGCGGAAGAGAAGATATCCGATAACAGCAGTTGGATGCATGTCGCGCGAGCGCGCCGCGCGGTCCTAAGTCGCCCGACACAGGTATCTCCGAGACAGTCATCTCGTTGGACCCGGCGGTCTACACCAGTCCTCCTTGGGTGCGCTTACAGTACGGTGAGAACACATGCCGGAAAGAAAATTCTTAAGAGGGGCATTTGTGCACACCCCCAAGCTAGGGACGGTCGAGATACTACGAGACTACCTTCTACGTGAGCCATCTAGTACCCTGCGTTGACAATACTAGCCGATTCACCTCATACACATAGGAACCGATGATAAGGGCTACATAGACTACTTCGCGGACGCGTCTGCGTCTGCATCTCAGGAGATATTGGCCGGCACACGCCCAACGGTCATATCTACGGGCTCGTTCGTGCTTCCGACGTTCTGCGACCTTCACTTGCACGCGCCGCAGTTCCTCTACCAGGGCACGGGACTACACCTTCCGTTGATGGAGTGGCTGAACGAGTACGCGTTCAAGGCGGAGGAGAGTCTGGATGCAGACCCCGCGCTTGCAGAACGGGTTTACAAACGTCTCGCAGCCAGGTTGGTTGAACACGGCACAGGAGCCGTACTGCTCTTTGGCACTATCAAGACTGAAACCAAGTGAGAGTTATACGTTGTTCAGAACATTCGTAGCATGCTTACTGTGGTGGTCCGCAGCCTCATCCTGGCGCGCGTCATGCAGGACGCGGGCGTGCGCGCGTTCGTCGGCAAGCTCTCCATGGACATCTCCTCGCGGCCGTCCTACGTCGAAGCCTCCGCGGACGCTTCCCTTGCTGCTGCGCGTTCTTTCTGCGAGCGCTGCACGGAGTTGTCCGGCGCGCTGCCCACACACGCACGTCTCGTCGAGCCCGTACTCACCCCCCGCTTCGTGCCGACATGCTCGAAGCCGCTCCTCGCCGGCCTGGGCGAACTCTCCGCGCGGACTGGCGTGCGCATCCAGAGCCACATGGCCGAGGCGCACGACCAGGTCCAGCACGTCCTCTCCGCTCACGGCGAGGCGGACATGCACGTCTTCGCGCAAAGCGCGCTGCTCACGCCGCACACCGTGCAGGCGCACTGCACGTTCCTCGACCCGGTGGACCTGAAGGCGCTCGCGGAGACGGGCGCGGCAGTCGCGCACTGCCCGCTCTCGAACGCGTACTTCTCTGCGGCGCCGTTCCGTCTCCGGGAGGCGTTGGATGCAGGTGTACGCGTCGGGCTAGGCACAGACATCGCGGGCGGGTACAGCGTCGACATCATGTCTGCGATGCGCCACGCCGTTGCGGTCTCACGCATGCGTGAGGGCGTGCGGATCCTGCAGGCCGACTCTGGGGCAGACCATGTGCCGGGAGCGGAGGCGGAGGAGAAGCCGGTGTCGGTGGACTGGAGGGAGGCACTTTACCTTGCGACGCGGGGCGGGGCTGTGGCGCTGGGCTTGCCTGAGAGATGTGGGATGTTCGCGGTCGGTGCGCCGTTTGATGCACAATGCAGTGAGCGATGCACGCTGGATCACGCTTCTGTGTCGCTCGAGACTGACATATCGGTCTACAGTTCGACTTTTGGATGAGGAAACCAATGAGGGTGTTGGAGCCCTCGATTTCTTTGACACTAGGGACAGAGTGAGTCCCTGGACTCCGACGTTGGAGTCGGTTGAGAAATGGTGGTGTGTGGGTGACTCGCGCAACCGAGCGGACGTGTGGGTCCAAGGTGCGCCTGTGTACCCCGCCGAGAATCGAGCGTAGAATCAGAGTTTGAAATGGCATCGTATCTGACGAAAACCAGCGTTACTGTACAAGTGTATTTTGTGTCCGCAATAGCATCTATGATCCTAAAGAGAAACATCTTGGTGAGAATCCCCGATAGTACACCATGCAAAGAAAACAAATAAGAAGAATGCCTGCATCCCCGAGGTCAACTCGCCAAATCCATCTTCTCGAGCTCCGCCCACCCCGGCAGTCCGACGATCCCAGGGAGCTCCGCCCATATCTTCTCGCGCAGGGTGACGACGTCCTCTCGGAAGGCCCTGCGACACGGCCCGCATACGTTTGGGTCATCGGCGAGCTCATCAATCGCTTGTACGGAATAGTGTAATGGGCCGGTGCGGACGACCCATGAGCGCGATAGGCGCGATCCGAGCCGTACGAATGCCTTCTGGCACAGGCCCGGCTGCCCTTGACATGTCTTCGCCGGGGCGCGCCCGCTGCAGGTCTGGCGGATAAAGTCGAGGATAGCGTCTATCCGGTGCTGAAACATGAGCGTGTAGTCCTGCAGGTCGCGCGCGGAGAGTTCGGAGGACGGGCGGGAGGGGTGTTCGACGCGCAACTTCGGGTGGTCGCCGCGGAGGATGTCCGGGAGCCCGTAGAGCGAGAGGAAGTAGAGCGCAGAGGGGACGACGATCCGCACATGCGTCTCGCGCGCGAGGTTAAGGACATGCAGTGGGTGCACATAGGGGTAGGTGAGGTCGCCAACGGGCGCGGATTTGACCGCGCGTTCGATGAAGCGGTCATGTCCTTTGAGCGTGTGTGGCCAGGTCTGGAGTAGGTGTCGGATGGCTTCACGTCGAAGGTGCGCGATGAAGTACTTGGTTGCGAGCCGAAGGATGCCCGCGACGTGGTAGAAATCTTGGATGCTGCGGTGCTCGAACGACCTGTTTTAGCGCGCACACGAGTAGCGAAAGAGGGAAAAATGCAAGGATACGTGAACACATAGATCGCGACGCACAAGGCGGGAGTTTGGACGACGCACACTCACGCTCCGTCGTACAGAGCCCGGATGAGCGCACTCAACTCAGTCGGGCGATCGTGCATGCGCACGATTGGGCATCCGTCCGCGACGTCTACGTCGCCCGAGACGGGAGTGGAGAGCTCAAACATGGATTGGAAGACCTCGGAATGTCGAGCGAGGACGCCGCGGTGCACTTTGAACGCGGCGGCATTGTCGGAGGCGCCGTCTTCAGCGAGAAGGATGATGTTGCCGTCGTCGAACCACGGCTCTCCTCGTGCAGACAGCGGGACCGTTTCTTTCCATAGCATGGACCCACAAGTGAATGAAGTTGAGTGTCGCAGAGTAGCTGAGACTTTGACCGGGCTGCAGCGAGAGGGGAGCAAGAGAGATGGTGGTAGGGATTCACGAAAGACGCTGGCTGCACGTTGCCTCATCTCCGCCACCACCACCATCGACAGATGGACCGCGTCTGCTCTTGCTGTTGAAACGTTGACGGACAACAACGAACACGAAACTCGCTTGGAAACGACATTACCCTGCTCTGAAGCCAACCATGTCGCACACACCGCGTACAAGCCCCTCTCGCGTGCCCTCGCGCTCCAGCACGCCTGTTCCTGGCCGCTCGCCTGCCCGTCTCGCTCCCCCGCTCATCCGACCAGCTCCTTCTGTGTCTTCTCTCAGAGTCTATAGCCATGGGTCGTCTGTCGTGCATACTCCAGTTTCAGTCTCGCCGCCAGGCACAGCTACACCTAAACAGGACGGCGGAGAGAGCAGCTCAGCTTCCTCCATAACGGAGGGCATACTAGTCCGGGAGCCTGATGCAGAAGTCGAGACCATCGACGGAGAACAAGGAAATTCCAATGGACTGCTCGATACCCGTGCTGGAGATGAAGATTCTAAGAAGAACTTGCGCGACCAGCTCCGGCGAACACTCAGCAAGAAGGAATCATTCACAGGTAAGCGCGTTCCTCGTAGAACCCCTTAGGCTGCGACGTATTTAACTCGTGCAGACATCTCTAAGTTCAGACAGCGTCATAGAGAGAAGTTGGTCGCAATGAACGAGGTTACCCACAGCCCAGGTAGACAGTCCTTGTTCCTGTACGAGTCTAATCAACTCATTATTTTGACATACGAAGCGGAAAGATACCCTCCCCGACAGTACTTTGTATTAACAGATGCCGGAAAACCTGTATTCATCAGGTATGCCTCTGTCTCCTCTGGTAAGGCCTCTTGAGTAACAAAGCTGAGAAATTATAGCGACCACGACGCTAATTCAGACAGCGCAACCTCGATGATTGGCGTCATCCAGGCCCTCGTTTCTATATTCCTGGATGATGGGGACAAACTACGATGCATCAATGTAGGAAACACTCGCATCGTGTTTTTGTTACGCCCGCCTCTCTACTACGTGTGTGTGTCCGCATGGGGAGAGCCGGAATCTGTCGTCAGTATATGCGTTACCATTCAATTCCGTGTGCTGGCTAACATTAGTGAAGCAAGACTAGATTCCATCTCGAGTACCTGCATCTGCAGATTCTGAGCGTGGTGTCCGCTGAACAGCTCCGGCGCATGTTCGAGCAGCGGCGGAATTTCGACCTTCGCAGGCTCCTAGGGGGTTCGTAAAGAGTGCAGAAAGTTGTCCCTCCCAGACTGACCCTGGTTCTGCAGGTGCGGAGCCATTTTTATACTCCCTTCTAGCGAGGTTGGAGTGGGACTTGGCCATGAGCACTTCGTCGTTGCAATGCCTAAGGCTTGATCCTGTCTTGCGAAAATCCGTAGCTGACGTGCTAGTGCCCACATCAAAGATCAAGGTATGCAAGCACATGCACGTCGTACTATGACTCGCTCACGTATAGTGAAGGAAATGCTTTACGTGGTGCTTGTTGCGCAAGGACGTATCATCACCCTGGTCCGGCCAAAGAAGCATTCTATACACCCCTCCGGTGAGTACTGTCGTCTCCTCAGCGACCTACCAGCATACAAACATGGCCACGGCAGATCTCCACATACTAGTCAATACCATACACTCGCCATCCATCCTCAATTCCTCTGCCGCAGCCTCATGGCTACCTGTGTGTCTTCCGAAGTTCAATTCATCCGCATTCGTGAATGCGTACGTCACGTTCTTGCCCCGTACCGACGGCCAAGACACGCCTCGTATACCAACATCGCCTAAAGGATCTGTGGGTACCCCCTCACCCGATCCGGATGCCGAGGAAACACAACAAAAGGACGATGCGTCGAGCGGGCAGAGCATGCCTGTCGGCATCGCCATTGGTCGCGGCGCCGAGGTGGGCCTTGTCTGTGTGGGGAACGCGGACTTCGAAGCAGTCAGGGGGTGGTGCGAGACGGTCTCTCAGGTCAGTGCCTCCTTGTCTGGCAGATTAAGAAACGTCGTGACCACGGATTGCTTGATGCAGAGACTCGCCAGCGACGGCCTATTGAGGGCGCTGTCCAAGGCCATCATACAGGGCGATACCGAGTACTCCGTGTCTAGCCTGGGCGTGCCCGGACTGCGGCACTTCGTCTACAAGTCGAGATCACACGTGCAAATCACGATGCCCACCTATGAGGAGCCATACGACAGTCTCAATGAGAAGCGCCGGTATGTGTCCCTCGCAGGTTACGGTATACACGAATTAGTTTATTGACCGCCACTTTTTTAGCCTCATCACGCTATACCAGACGCTGTTCGATGCTATACACGCGAAGTCCGGCCAGGAGCGCACTCTCAAGTTGCAGTACATCCGTACGAGCCAAGAGAGCGTAATGGGATGGGTGCGTCCACCCCGCTTGTATTTGGTCGTGCCCGACTCATCTATGCGCCTTATCGGTCCGCAGATCACGCAGCCGTTCGAACTATACCTTGCACTGTCCCCAAACCTACCTAAGAGTGCAGCGATAGGTGCGGCGAACTCAATCGCGCGATGGGTGCAGAAGGAGGAGAAACGGCTCTTCCTGCGAGACGCTCCTGTATTCTAGAACACATGGCTCTGCTACACAGTTATCGACTGATGTCCACTACTACAACTACACATTTCTGCTAGGGGGCTCGGGAGACAGCACTGATATTCGAGGGATTGTTCTGGCACTGGTATGATGATGTTCAAACGGGTACAATGACTGGCGTACAAATATGCTACACATGACGGTTTTACTCTTGCGCTATATCCATGTTCACGACGTCTTCGGCGGGCTTGTCGAACGCGGTGTTCTTGTTGCGTCGCTCTGATAGGAACGCGTCTATGCGCTGCTTGAGCTCGACGTCTGTGGCGCATAGATGTGTGAGCATTGGCGACAGCATTCAGCGGACAAACACGTACTGGCGATGACATCGTCCATGCTCAGAGGCACGCGGTTGAAGGGGTCCTTCGTATCAGACAACAGGTGCGACTTGATCGTGGCCCTGTCCACGACCACCCTCGAGGACGGCAACGTAACGGGATCGCGCATGAGGGTGTACATCAGCGGGTCTGCACGATGAGGTGGTCAGTGTTGAACGGCTACTACGGTAGGTGCGGACTTACCCAAGAATTCGTCAGGGATTTCTCCGAGGTCTTCTTCTGCCTGCAGTGTCGCCTTGGTCTCCTCGACCTTCAGCACGAACAGCCCCAGCTTCTCGATCTCGTCCGAGGACTTGAGCATCTTCCTCCGCGCGATGCCCGCGGCCTGCTCGAACAGTTCCTTCCTGTAGCTGCGCTCGTCCGCCGCGACCGCGCGCGCGAACTCGCCCTGGTCGCTCAGGTTGAGGTACACTTGCAGTAGGTCGCTGAGGAGCTGCTTCGGGTTGAACTTGTACTTCTCCGGGTCGGACACCTTCAGGTCTTGGCACCGCGGGCCTACGAGCGCGTCGAGGTTGTAGTCGAGCATCGCCGCGAGGCGGTCCACAATCTCGGGCACCATAAACGGCGACTTTGTCTCGCCGGTGAAGATCTTGAGCAGGTCCACGGTGTTGCTCCCGAGCTGCACGTATGTGCTCGTGTGCCGCTCGAGCGTGCGTAGCTGGCCCTCGCGCTCGCGACGGTATGGCGCTGGCTGCGCGTCGAACGTCGCTCGGTCTTTCATCTCGGTCTGGAGCTCGTGGATCTTCGCGAGGTCGGAGAGCGACTCGTCGAGGAGGTACGTGACGTCGTTGATCATCAGGTTGACAAAGCGCACGAATCGGTCGGAGTTGTGTCTAGTAAACGAAGACTTTTCAATGCCACGAATTGTACGATGTAACACCTGAACTCACGCTGCTTCATTCTTCAGAGCATCACGGTGGGCTTGGTTGTTCCAGATGATCTTGAAAACGTGCGCGATACTCCTGCGAGAGTCTATGCCGTCTCGTCAACATTTGCTTGGAATCAGCATGATGCGTATCCAGCTCACTGAATTTATCGTAGAACTGGGAGCTCGCGCCCGTCTGTTCGACCTCTAAAGAAAATTGAGTAATCCGTAAGGATTTGATGTCATCTCAACGTACCAATGTAGAAGTTCATGAGTGCGGGAATGAGGTGCTTCAACGCAACCGGGTGAGTGTTGAGCAGGGTAGTGAGCACGCTACGATGCTCGGCCCAACTCCAGGTCCCAAAGAAGAGCACGTCGACAATTTTCGCCTTCAGGAACGGGTTCTTGATGTACCATGTCGAGCTGAGGAAGGTCAGACACCAGAGGAGCATTTCGTTCTTCCCCGACAACTCAAGCTGATTGGGGCTATGCCTGCAACCGGCATTAGCTATATTAATCGCGAGTCAGAATAAGATTATCACTCACCGGATGATGTGCTGGTGATACTCGATGACATCCTCAATAACATACTCAGGTAGGACGCGGAACGCTGTCGGAACTTCCTTCGGCAGCGGGAGGCTGTTCAAGTTCGTCAGTCAAAGATATAGTGCAATAACGACCTTCACGCACTCGATGGGAGGGTTGGGATGCTTCTTGCGCGGGTCGACGAATCGGATAACCCAAGTTGAAACGAAGTTCACGAACGAGATCGTGCGGAAGATGAGCTCGGGCTCGCCCAGTTGGGCTTCATACGCCTTCTCTGCCGCATATATCGCATCTTGCTGTGCCTTCGCCGCGTTGATGGCCGCCTCAGTCTGTGCTTGACCAGGCGTCTACATATATGCGTCAGCACACATGAAGCCATAACGCTCAGCAAACCACTCACGCCTCTCCAAGACTGATCCCCGTTCAACAGCTCCAGATGCCGTCGGATTTCATCGTACTGCTTCCCCAACTCTTCGACGACGTTGACGATCTTTTGCTGACCGATGTGGCTTGCAGCAAGCGTCAAATAGAAAATCTCGGTGATGAAGTTGGGTGGTGCTACCGAGGACGGCGTTAGCAGGGTAAACAACAACGATTACGGGGTTAGGCACCTGTCGATGGTGCCTGTTGCTGGCGCCATTCGTCAGCCTCGGTATTGGTAGCATTGATACGTGTCTCGTCGCTGAGGTCAATCCGGGAGGAGTGCGCATAGTAGGCGTTGTCAATCCGGTCCATCTGCGCACAACGATGAGCCACCCGTGCATTGTACCTTCTTTGGCTGTGAATATGCCCACCTTGCTGTATGAAGCATCCATGAACGGCTCGCAGAACATAAGGAGAATGATCTGCAAGTTCATCATGAAGGAGTCCGTTGAGACCGTGGCTGGATCGACCTATGTCTATGGTAAGTTGCGTGGACCATGAACTTGTTGTAGATATTCAGCTAACCTGCATGCCAGCACGCTTCCGGTTGATGTTGATTGCTCGTGCAAAGTATTGCAAGACGCCCTCTCTTGACTCTGCAGAGGCACGGACCAAAGAGTTGAAGATTTGGAATAGAGATGCCTGTAGAGTGTAAGGAGTTTTTGCGTCATCACTGTACCGGGAAAGACCGACCTGGACAGTCTTGAGCGTTCCGCGAAGACTGGCAGTCGCAGAGCTCATCTCCCCTTGTGGCCGTGTTTCGTGGTTTGAGAAGTAGGTCTTCGCGATGGATGGCTAGAGAGCGAGTGGTTAAATGATGTCTCCGTGGAAAAATCTCTATCCAACTCACCCACTCCCGCTCAAATACTCCCAGTGAAAGCAACGGGCCAAGCAAGCTCGACTTCTCGAACAAGGGTGCAGGCACGTTCTCAGGATTCCACTCCGGCAACCTAGTGATCATGGCTGCAATCGGTTTGACACTGATCAGCGCCTCCAAGCCGCTGACGACGCTGCGCCATCCGTCGTTCGTAAAGCCCTCCCGGACGCTGGGGTGGAAACAGAGCTGCGCGACCACCGGGCCAAGCACGCCGTCGATCTCATTGTCGGGTTCGAAGCGTCGTGCAAGATCTTGCAGGAACTGCTCGATTTCCGAACCATCGAGGAGTGTGTGAGACGCCGATGCTGCAAGGTATGGCCCCGACAGTGTTGAGAGAGACATAAGCGAGGGGACGAGTTCTGCTGGACCGAGGAGTTTCCCAGGCGGCTGAGGGAACATCTCCGGTTCCTGAAGAGTCAAGCCAGTGTAGCTAATGATCAGGTCGCGCAACTTGTCCAGGATCTCTGAGGCCTGTTGTTGTTCTAGCGGGATATAGTTCTGTAGACCGTTCAATACACGCCCAGTCGTCCAGTAGAACTAAAGGACGAACCTTCCTAGGCAGCACAGCTCTGACCGTGTTCAAGCGTTTCCAACACTTGACTAGATATTCAGTCACGGTTTGTTGCGGTGGAAGCGATGCCAACACGGGCAAGTATTCAAGATCATCACTATAAAAGTGTGAGTGTAGGAGAGACGCGCAGCTGCCAGTGTACATACGACATTGATTGTGGGTCCATCTCCAAGCGTGCGATCAGGGTCCGGTCAGCAATTTCGGAACTGAGTTGAAGTGGTACACCTTCAAAAAGAAGCTCAGTGGATATTCGCAAACACATATGCGGTGATCTCCGTACCTTCTCCTTGCAGTTCTTCCGCCAAGGACTTCAGCCACACCACTTCATATGCGGTCCTCTCCGCAACCTCTTTCTACAAACGCCGTCAAACTGAAGCACGGCGGCGCGACGCGACACATAAAATACCTTGAGTGTGACATTGAACACATTTGAGATAGTCTGATCCTCCCAAGTCGGTAGATCGAGATGCACGGGCGCGGCCACAGCCGGTGCCTTCCTCTTCAATGGCGCAGGTGGGGGCGCAGCTACGGGCGGTGCCGCTGGCCGCTTTTGCACAACGGGTGCCCGTGGAGGAGGTGTAGGCTTAGGCTGGGGTGGCGTGGGTGACGGAGCCGGCGAGGCAGAGGTGGACGCGGTGGGGGTGGTGCTCGCGGACGCGGCCCCCTGCAGCTTAGCGAGGCGCTTCAGACGGATCTGTCCCTCTTGTTCAGTATTTCTTTCTAGAAGAGTTCATTGAGTGTCCGTACCCGGTCAGCGTCTTCCTGAGGCGTAGTACTCATGGTGTTGGGATGGTGGTGGAAAGAAACGAGGTGTGTACTCGATCGCGCTGCCGCTCGCGATCAGGGTGCAGTAGACAGACGCCCGCGTTACACACTCCGCTCGCGTCGCGGTCCTCCTTGTTCACTCCTCCCACCGCCTGCTGGCTCTGTTCATTGTTTCTTAGTGCCTCCTTTCCTTTACGCGGGCGTCCGACAATGTTCTTGTTCTCACGCGTCTTGGCGACGACGCGGATGTTCTCGACGTCCGCGGTGGCACAGTTCCCGAAGCTCAAGTCACACTCTGGCGCGAAGAAGCGGTGGAGGTCGATAGCGTCGGGCATCTTCAAGCGGGTACGTGTTTTGGTGTACATATCTGCGTGTACAACTTTATAACAAACGGGTTATGTTCTCAGGGGAAGGCTGGCCATAAGCATTTGAATGTGAACAAGGATGCTGGACGGAAAAACGATTTGAGCCAGACAGCGTACTCTCACGGGTCACAAACAACACGGCTGAAGAAGCTCCTCCCATACGGTTCGCCCTGAAGAGATACCTTACGGGTCTAATTGCAGGTCGCTTCAGTTGTGGTGAGTTCTTCTAGTCAACCTGCTTCTCTTCACTTGACGTGTCTAAACGATCTGGCTATGTAGATATATCTATACCGTAGCTTACGCCCTGCCGTCTAATTCGCAGTGATGACCACGTCGCAGGCGAATTACTGGATATCCACATCAACCTCGTCCCTTGCGTTACTCTCGCTTCGGCCTTCTTCAAGCTCAGCTGCCTCTCCTTTGGCTGGGACCTTCGCTCCGCCAAAGAATGCACGAATGTCCTGCTGCTTAGGATCGTAGCCGGCACTCCCGACGCCTCCTTTCTGACGTTTCTGCAATGCAATATCAAGCACGTAGACGCATTCCTGTATGCGGCGAGGCTTACCACAGCGTCCAGGTGCTCATGGCGGTTAAAGTCCGTTACCCGAACCTGTAATTTCGGAGGATCGTTATCTGGAAAGTCAAGCGGCTCTCCCTCCTTGGCACCCTTGGGATGGGAATTAGTGCCCGGCAACGGAGCATGGAAAGCTGGCGATACCTTGACGTTGACGGTGACCCTGGTCCACGCTGTGTTCTGCAATCCCCTGAACTTCTCTCCCGGATGGACTCCGCTCTCATCCTTCATGACCAGAGCGGGGACGAGCTCGCTAATGCACAGGCCATGGCTCGCTATAGCGATGTGGATGCCCTTTTTCCCCTCTCTGGCCGCGCTCCAGACGTGCGGCATTATGAGCTCGTCTATCGCCTGCTTCGCGCGCGTGAACAGGTCGTCCAGGCTCTCGCCCTCGGGAAACTTCTGCCAGCGCTCATGGAGCACGGGGTACAGCTGCTTGGCGAAGTGTTCTTCTAGTGAAAGGCCGGCGGTGTGGCCCCACTGCCACGGTTCGCCTTCTGCCACGCCCCAGTGCTGCTCGCGCAACAAGAGGGAGGTCTCCAGAGGCGGCTTCGGCTCGGATTGTGCTTCCTGGACAGCCTGACCGGTCCACAGGGCGCGTTTGAGCGGCGAGGCGTATACGACGGCGAAACGGGTGTCGGACAAGGACTTTCCGACTGCTTTCGCTTGCTAAAATACCGCGTCAGTCAAAGCAAACGATATCCTTGCAGCCAGCCACTTGGTGGGACCTTACGTTCATTCCTAAGTTCCACAGTCAGGTCAATGCCTTGATATATGTGAGGTATCGGCCGTCATACGGTACTCACCGTGATTGGATAGTGGTGCATCCTTCCATCCTGCCCACACGCTTCGCTGAGCTCAATGTCAGCTTCTGCTAGATGTTAGTCCAACGCTGTGCATCGGTAGTACTGACCAAGTTGTCGGTAGACTCTCCATGTCTGATCTGCATGGCAATGGTTAAATTAGCGTTGACTCGGCTACAAAACCGCACTCACAAAGGTCACGGTAAGGGTCGGGGCGGCTTCAGCGGACATGGCGGTCTGTTCCAAGTTGTGTATCACAACCTGGGGCTGTGGTCTGCATTATATACCGATCATGAGTTAACGCACGTCGGAGGCGTGCCGGACTCCGAGTCAGAGGACGGTGGAGGGCGGTACCCTAGGCCTCATAGAAGTCCTGGCCCACGTGTGTAATCTGTGTGCGTTAGTACCGCTTCCTCCTATTATACCGCGGTGATATTTTGTTTCCCGGACGGGCTGGTCCGTCCATACCTCTTGAGGGTATCTACGGTCGCATTGAGCCTTCAGGGAGCGAGCAAAAAGGGTTTAAAAGATGAGTCGGCCCAGGATCGAACTGAGGACCTTCTGTGCGCCACCTATTGTGTTAGACAGATGCGATAACCAACTACGCCACCGACCCATCGAAGATTATTATTCAACGATACAATACATATATCATCAAAGAGCACTATAAGGGCACTCCAGCTGTTACGCGAAGGTTCCTGCGTTCCTTCCTTATGTGAGAGCTCTGTCAGGACGCTGACCGACTTGACCTCCTCCCTCGCCCTCGACCACTTGGCAGGCTTGCGCGTCCTCCCCTTTGACGGTGGACGCGCGTCCCCGAAGTCGCGTTATAAATCCGCCTTGTACTCGCAAGCTCCCCTCATTCATACCACCACTATCACCACAACTACGTCTACTCGCACTATACCCTCAATCTACTCAGACCCAACCACACACGATGTCCGGTTCTGCCACTCCTGAACGCGACCACCAGCTCCTCGACATTGGAAAGCAATGCTCAGAAGCGTCTTGTCTCGTGGTGGACTTCTTGCCCTTCAAGTGCCAACATTGCGCACACGCGTACTGTGGTGACCACTTCCTTCCGACCGCTCACCACTGCGAGAAGTACGACGCCGCCAAGCTCGACCGAATTGCCCCATCCTGCCCAATATGCAACACCCCAGTGGCCATTCCTCCGGGCCAGGACCCCAACATCCGCATGGAGCAGCACATCAATACACAATGCTCTGTCATGACAGGCAAGTCGGCCAAGGCGAAGTCTACGCCGACTTGCGCTCGTCCGAAGTGCGGAAAGGTGTTGTTTGCTCCTATACGATGCGATGTAAGTAATTATTGTTTCAAAGTCTGCGGCCCTAGGTCACTGACAGCGTTCACAGTCATGCAAGCACCAGTACTGTCCACAGCACCGCTTCCCCGCCGACCACTCTTGTGCCGACCTGCCTTCGTCCTCTACTAAGACTTCACCTACTGCTAAGACATGGACGAACGTCTCGAACCAGACAAGTGCTGCTTCGGCCGCCGCAGTGGCTGCTCTTAAGCGTGCCGCTGCATCGACCAATGCGGCCTCCCCCGCCTCGCGCAACCAAGCGCAGAGCAAGAGCAAGCCACCAGCGGCTGCCCCAAAGCCCGTCGCATCCGCTTCACGCTCTAATCCGTTTTCGGCCACCGATCGGTGAGTTCACGTCCTTTCATATATCGCCAGTGGATCACTCACAGAGCTGCAGTCACACCATTCTGTTCACGATGCCTTCTCCTCCAACCCCTACCGCTGACGACGCTAATGACACCTCCAACGACCCACCGCAACGCTGCTCTCCGAAACCGACTGCTTCATCTACCCTATCGTTTGTCCCGCCTCCGCTCTTCGGCATGGCGTAATCACCGGCAACCTGTATCGCTATCCTCGGTATCCTATGTGAACTATTAATGTTGGACCTGTATTGGTAATCTTAGACGGGCGAAGGCGGAGAGGGAGAGTAGGAGGAAGGCTATCCAGGAGCGAGCGCGCAAGGGTCTCCCCATCACCGAGGAAGAGAAGGCTATCTTGGCGGAAGGAGGAGGGAAGGATGACTGTCTTGTCATGTAGCATTCTATACACACCCCATGGACCACGAAAGGAGTTATTTATCACCTTACCTTGAGGTGGCTGTCTGCATGTACGTAGCGGTAGTGCATGAGGAGAAGTGGCCATATAACGGTCCGCGGTGTCCGGGACGCGTCTCGCCCAGCGCTTGTGCGACTTGTCTCTCGGACTCCAACTGCGACGTTGCTTCATACTCTGCTCTGACTGGTGCTCCCGTTATTCCCCTGCTTTACAACTATATATCTACTCTGTGCGAGTGACCATGTCTGACAGCGAAAACGACGCGTCTGTGCTGGGGAAACGGTCCAGGAATGGCCAGGAGGCCGAAGAACATAGCGCGAAAGAGGTGGAGGCGCAACCCGATCCTATGGACGCAGAGGACGACAGCGATGATGACGTCGGACCAATGCCTATGCCTGTAGATGCAGCAGGTCCTGTAGCGAAGAAAAAGCGCAAAGGTCAGTGCGCTATTCCCTACGCGGTATGCCACAGAAAGTCCTGAACACCGTCGCAGTCCTCCCTCATGAGAAATTGTACCTTGACCACCTCCCGGGCACGGACCGCTATTCGAAGAGTTTCATGCACAGAGATGTAGTCAACTTCGCCGTCATGACAAGGTGCGTGGGTCGCGCAACTCTAGCCTTCCTTCACCCGATGGCTTATTCGAAATCCCCGCGCGCAGGACGGAGTTTCTCGTGACGACGTCCATAGACGGTATTCTGAAATTATGGAAGAAGCAAGAGCACGGCATTGAGTTCGTGAAGCTTTACCGTGCACACTTGGCCCCGGTCGTCGCGGTCTCCGCGAGTGCGGATGGGCAGCTGTTCGCCAGCGTCGCGGAGGATGGGAGCGCGAAGGTATTCGATGTTGTGAATTTCGGTAAGGCGCGCCGTTTGCTCCCCTTTGACACACCCTGAGCGCATTTCCGGCGTAGACATGATCAACATGCTCAAGCTGGGCTATACCCCGCACGCGTGCTGCTGGGTGCACAAGCGAGGGCAAGCTATGGGAATTCTCGCCATGTACGTTGACCCTACTTTTCGCATATAGGCATACTGACCCATTATCCAGCTCAGAGCGCGGCACTGGGGTCATCCGCCTATACGACGGCCGAGGGGACGGGAAACCACTTGAGACGATTGACAAGTTGCACCGATTCCCGGTGCATATCATGACAGTGGGTCTCATCTGTCTCTCCGAATTTATGCGATTCAAAAGTGCTCACGAGCGTATAGTACAGCGACAGATATGATTGTGTCATATCTGCAGACGAGGGCGGATTCGTGGAGTACTGGCAGCCTTTGGAGCCCTTCGAGCTGCCCCGAAACGTCCACGGCCTGTGGAATTACAAAAGCGAAACGGACCTGTACGAGTTCAAGAAGGTACATCATCTGCTCTCCCCACATCTTCTCATATCTTATGATCTCATTCCCGCACAGTCGAAATCCACGCCAACGTGCATCAGCCTCTCGCCCGACTCGACCCATTTCGTCACATTCTCGCTACCCGATCGTCAAATACGGATATTCTCCTTCCTCTCCGGAAAGATGACGCGCAAGTACGACGAGTCGCTCTCGGCTGTCCAAGAGATGCAGCAAGCAGGTACGGCCGTGTACAAGGTCGAGGACATGGAGTTCGGGCGTCGGCTGGCGGCCGAGCGCGAGTTGGAGCTGCCTGGACCGGATGACCGGATACCCGGCATGTGGATCAATGCGGTCTGGGACGAGAGCGGGTCGTTCGTGATCTATCCCACTTTGCTTGGGATCAAGGGTACGTGCTGGAATGTCCCCATGTCAGTTATGCAATGCATCCTGACTTTGTATCTACGACAGTCGTGAACACGGTCACCAACAGGGTTGTCCGACTGCTCGGTAAAGATGAGACGGTGCGGTTCATGAACCTGACCCTCTACCAAGGCGCCCCAGCGAAAAAGGGCCGCTCTACAGCGGTAGGTATATGCGATATGCGATGACACCGAGCTCTCTGCATTCACTGACAATTTGCAACTACAGGCCGCTGTAGCTTCGTCGAATCCCTTGTTGGCCGAAAAGTCCGTGCGTGATCCGACACTGATTTGTACGGGTTACAAGAAACCACGATTCTACATGTTCACGCGATCCGAACCCGAGTAAGTAGTGACATCCGTCGTTCTCGAACATCGCATTGACCAATATCTCAGGGACGACAAGTCCGGCGACCGCGACGTGTTCAACGAGCGCCCAACGCGCGAAGAGCAGTCCATCGCCTCCTCTGCGCCCGCCATCCGCGGAGGCCCTTCGCCCGTTGCGAACAGCGCGACGATCCACACGACACTCGGCGACATGCATCTGCGGCTGTTCCCACAACAAGCGCCGAAAGCCGTGGAGAACTTCGTGGGCCATGCACGCAGCGGGTACTTCGAGGGTGTGATCTTCCACCGTGTCATCTCGAAGTTCATGATCCAGACGGGCGATCCCCTCGGCGATGGCACGGGTGGATCGTCTATTTGGGGACACGAATTCGAGGACGAGTTCTCGGACGACTTGAAGCACGACAGGCCGTACACGGTCAGCATGGCGAACGCGGGTCCGGGCACGAACGGGTCGCAGTTCTTCATCACGACGACTGCGACGCCGTGGCTGGACAAAAAACACACAATCTTTGGGCGTGTGTTGTCTGGGCTGGAGGTGGTGCACGCGATCGAGAATGTGAAGACGAACAAGGTGGACAAGCCGTACGAGGACATCAAGATCGTCAGCATAGATATCGAGTAACCTGTGGCTTCGTGTATCTTGTATTCTCGTAGTAGGGTTGTGTAACGATACCATGGTGCTGTTGAACACGACGCCGGTGGCGGTGGGCTGAGTAAGTGCTCCTCCTTTTCGGGCGCTTGTAGGATGGTAGTTTTTGACGGTTCGAACTTTGCATCGAAGTCGACATCTAACTTAGTCTTAACCACCTACGCCCGTCAGCAGACCCTCATAGACTTGGAAGGTATACATGGTTTTATCAGAAGTCTTGCCCCCTCAGGTCCGCCTCGCATCCCATGCAACTGCTCGCAATGCAGCGGTGGCGACTTCAGCCTTGCCATCGGGCTCGGTGATCGCAACCATCCCTGGTCTCGCCACTTGCCTCTTGCCTTCAGAGAAAGGGAAACGCTGCGACGCGTGCCATATACTACAGTCGGACGCGGTAACGCTCAAGCGATGTTCAGGGTGCGCGTCGTTCTGGTATTGCGGAACACTATGTGCGCATCGCTCACAAAGTTGCTGACTCTGCTGGCTCATTTCTTGTTGTTGTCGATAGGTCAAATGGGCGCGTGGAAAGCGCACCATAAGAAGCTTTGCAAGAACTTCAACACGCTCACCACTTCGAACGAGTATCAGGCGTTAACACCGCACGACCAAGTGGACGCGCTCCTGCTCTCGCAGATGATCGCAGATTCTGCATCATGGCGCGCCGGACAGAGCACCAGTGGACCTCATGCGACCTTTCTCGACTTGTTAAAGGGCCCTCGAGCGGACGTCTTCGAGCTACCACTCTGCCTGCCTAAAGGTGCTCTGCCCTCCGAGAGCCTCTCCCTAGCCAAGGAACTCTATGGGCGATTCGGCAACAATAACTTCGCCCTGCACTCCCACCTGAACGCGTACGCCCATGGCGTCTTCCCTCTGGCCAGCCGTCTGTTCAACCACTCGTGCATCCCGAACGCAGCCTGCAAGTACATTATCAGAGCTTCGGAGCCGGTGGCGATGCAAGTCGTCGCTCTCCGGGATATCGCCGAGGGCGAGGAGGTGTGCACACCTGAACGACACCTTGGGTTTGTCGCTAAAGCTTAATTCGTATCGCAGATCACAATTCCGTACCTGGACCCCGCCCTGCCATACCAGACCCGACAGGAGGCGCTCGAGGTGAACTACAGCTTCAATTGCGACTGCAGACTCTGTCGCTTCCAAAGCGGCATACACCCAGTAAACGCTCCTCCCGAGCGAGGCAGCGATGCCTTGCGCGCTCTCGAGGTCGCGCTTCGTACATTTGCTCTCGGCGCCGACGCACAGTCAATGCGGGTGCCAACAGCCCCAGGAACGTTTGAGAGCATGCCTACGACGCTGCACCCCGTCTTCCACGAGACGTACCTGCCTGCGCTCTCAGAGGTGTTCAGCAAGACATCGCACGAGGGGCCCTACGTCGACGCGGTCGAGGCCGGCCTCACGCTGCTCGCACTGTACGTCGTAGTGTATCCGCCGCAATATCCCCAGATAGGTGAGCAATCATTGGTGCCATTACTTCTATAGATCCCGGACGCTAACATGATGTCGCGGTAGGAATGCATGCCCTGGAGCTGTCGAAGACCATTTGGAACGTCATCTGCTCCGCGGGACCTGATATGCCGGCCAGAGAGAGCGAAGTCCTGGAGGCACAAACGAGGCGGTTCCTCCAGATCGCTGCGTCGGTCTTGCAGAACTTTGGGCCGGAGGGAGACGCGGGAGGGCCGTTGGAGGAGATCCACGTGTTGCGAGACGCGCTTACTAGTGAATGAAAGTCGCCTCCCAGACTTTACGAGCGGTGAGAGGCGAAGCAGCCCGTCGGCCATGATGGAACGAATGAGCCGGCCTTTATCTGCATCTGCTTTCCATTGCGAGCTCACACCGAGCGCGCTATCCATCATAGAATGGTCCGTAAGCTCGCAATACATGCTTGATGTTCCCGCCGCGGTGATAGTGCGGCACACCGGGTGGTGGTAATGCAGAAGCGCCCGACATTGGCACGAGGAACATGAAGAAAAGCGTGTGCGAACATAGCCATAGCCCACATGGCTCCAGCGAATCCGCTGGCACATATTTGAGTGAGTGTGATGATTTGTGTACCACTGCCGACACGGTGTGGTATAGTCAACATGTATAGCACGAGGCTACTCGCGCCCAAGCCCTAGTAGAACCAGAATCGTATGTGCATACTACAGATGGAATGAATGCATACCACGTAGGTCATAGTAGACCGCTGACACCGCATAGACACGTTCGATGCAGAAAGGCCGTCATTGCGGCTTTAGAGCACCTCTGCGCCCGTTAGGCATGCCTTCGCTGCAGAGCCGGCGCAGATGATATGCCAGAATCCCGGGCGAGTCTCGCATCGTAGCACGCCAGTGTATCCGAGGCGGTTCGCTGATGCCGAGTGTCACTGCCCATTCAGCGGTGCGTCGGGGAACCGCTGAGCCAAGCATTAATATAACGCAGCCCCGCGGGGGGTGCGGACGAGTCGCTGAGCCGCCCGCTCACCGACCTGCCCGCACCACCCCTCTCCCCCTCCTCCTTGTACTTCGGCTGTTATGTCGACCCGTCACTCTTTTCTTTCGACCACTGGCCTCATCAGGCCCCCTTCGGCGGCCTCCTTTACGGAGAGCGCCGTCCCACCAAGACAAGCCCGTCCCGGCGGCACAAAGCCGGGATTGAAGCGGACCCACAGAGGGACACCGACGACTACCAGCCCTCCTGCGGATCCCCTTCCTATCCGAACCAAAGCGGGGATCATACCAATTGGCCCAGCGTTTACGGTTTGTATTGCCGTGTTTCTGTCGTTACTCTTCACCTTGGCGATATCCTGTGCCTTCATTTCCGGCGAGGATGAGCGGCCTCCATTTGCTAGCCTCCTCGATGACGTTGCTGCAAACACACCTGGGGTGAGTAGGTGTGATTGCGGGTCCAAAATAAGTTAAGGCTTACCTTGTGTCTGTAGATCGTACTCGTGGGCGATGACGTCGACGTGGACATCGACGAGCCTGCGGTGACTATCCGTTGGTCCATCATTGCCTGCGGCGAGGAATTTGTTCTCCCCGGATCCGAAGGGGCGCATGGTAGCTCAGGCTGCGGACTACCATCCATGCCGCTCGCGATTCTGGTTGACGGGTGAGTTGGTACTCATACGACGCACAGAACTCACATTGACAAGCGATTCAGAGGAGCGGAAACGGCGGCAACGTACGACCCCGCACTCTTCCCCTATCTTAATGGCGGTAGCCAGCGGAACAAGTGAGTAAGGGCAATGTGACCACGCCATGATGTAGCTGACTTGCCTCTAGCATCCAGAATATGTTCCAGTTTGACGACGACCACGTACTGGACGTCTACCAGGCCCGCCTTTACCCGTTCGACACCTACCTTCTAACCAGCACATTGCGAGCTGTTTCGGCGGCCGACAACCAAAGCTTGCCCATCCAACGGTTGTCCACCATCGACATCACGTCGAGTTTTGTCACCGTTTCCAGCGATACACCCAGTTTCGTGAAGGGCAGCAATGGGACTCAGGAGACGTCCAGAGACCTCACGTTACGGATCAGTCGGCCTCCAGAGGCGCGGATGTACGCCCTGTTGCTCTTCGGATCGAGCTGGATGCTGGCGCACGCCACCATGGCGCTCGTGGCATTCTCGTGGCACCTAGAGGACGCAGACAAGGTTCTGAAGCATCTCGCGTCGACTTTCATCATCATCCTCGTAATTCCACAATTACGGGCCGCCATGCCTGATGCGCCAGGATTTGACGGTGTGTGTCGGATAGACTGCTACGGTGTCTGATACTGATAGGCACGGTCGCTAGGAGTGTTAATCGGTCGGTGCATACCAAGCTACAAAACAGTAAGGGCTATGAGACTTACCACACTTGATAGACGCGATCGGTTTCTTCCCGCAGATGCTAGTGACAACAGTGTCGGCCCTGATGCTGATCGCCACGATGGTGAAGAAAGAACTCCAAGAGCTGGACGAAATTGCAGTTCCAGACCTCGAAGACCGCAAGGAGGCTCCTGCACCGCTGTCGACTGGGCTGTTGAGGATGAGGAGAGGCGGCGCGTCCGTCGATATCAACCACATACGAAACTTTAGTCGTACGCTGTCGAATCTCGGTCGGCCTGCGATGGGGTAGTTGTGTCTTCGTGGGATAGGCCAAGTACGAAGAAGTACTTGGACGCTCTGTATAGTATGACCTGTGGACTCATTAGCGAAATTGTAACACTTGTATATGTTAGGTGTTGTTGAACGCCATGATCAACCCCAAAAATCTGCTTATTGCGATGTTGCCTCGCAAATTTTGAGATATTTACATACGTGATGTATAGTGGGACATGTGCATGTGGTGGTTACAGACAGAAAGACTCAAAGAAGTCTCGAACCTAACGCAGCGGGCATGGGCGCTTATGGATCATCGTGGCATTCACGTGATCTTCGCATGACGCGCCACGTCCGTGATGGGAAGCGCCCACTGAACGTGTCCATGTCCGGCGACAGTGCTGCTTACGCCGCCATGTTCTTGCTCTCGCTTGCTCACTCGTATCCATCTCGTTGACCCCACGGCCTTGGCCTGGAAGGAATATCACTTCTGTAGGACGGACAGAAATACACAGAACTCGTCATGCCGGTCGGTATCGAAGCTTGGGTAACGCAAATACCACCCGTAACAAGAGCGTGGCTCGCGCTCTCCGTCTTGACAAGTTTGGCGGTCGTAAGTGTACTGGAATTTGTACAGCTGCTCAGGCCTATACGCTTTCTTTTTCAGCAATGTCAACTCGTTACACCACTGCAGCTGTACTTCAGCTTCAAGGCTGCCTTCACGAACGCGCAGGTACGTGCGACATCTTGGCTCCCTTCGCTCCCCGGGCCTGACGCTTCTCCAGCCATGGCGTGCTTTCACGACATTCTTCTACTTTGGAAGCATCTCCCTCGACTTTGTCTTCCACATGTTCTTCTTGTGAGACCGCCCTTATCCCCGACCTCCCCGTCCGCAGCCCCGCTCATGGCTCGTTATCGCAGCATGCGCTATAGCAGGATGCTCGAGGAATCTTCCTTCGCGAACAGGAAGGCGGACTACTTCTGGATGCTGTTCCTGTCCTCGCTGATGCTTCTGGTGAGTGCTTTTCGCCGGGACAGAATAACCGCCCCTCCCGCGCCCCATCCGCGCCCTCCACGCCCTAACGCACGCTCCTCCTCGCACGCCAGCTCCTCTCTCCGCTCGTGAACCTTCCCTTCCTCTCCTCGCCCTTGGCGTTCGTGCCGATCTATCTCTGGTCGCGGCGGCACCCCTCGACCCCCATTTCGCTCTTCGGCCTCGTCACTATCACGGCCCCGTATCTCCCGCTCGCACTGGTCGGGCTCGCTTGGATCCTGAACGGAACGTGGAGAGCTGCTGCGGGCGACCTGCTGGGGTGTGCCGTGGGCCACGTCGGCTGGTTTATGCAGGACGTGTGGACGCGCGAGATGATTGGGGGCCCGACCGTGCTCAGCGAGGCACCAGAGGCCTTGTGCGTAGCGCTTCCATCGTTGCTGCAGTCGCCGTTCTGACGATCCTTTTCTGCTCAGGAAACGGCTCTTCGGAGACGTTTGAACCCAGCCCCAGGGATGTGTACATTAGATCGTTCTGCAATCGTTATCTGATAAGATCCGGCCTTACGGCCCTCACCGCGCGCTTTCACCCTGACATCACCAAGATCCGCCTATGGACCGCGGTCACTGGCATCACTTCTCCAGTTCAGCTCTCTGAGCATCCACGTATACAGCTCGGTGGGAGGGGTACACCGCGGCGTGGGGTGAAGTGTCGAGGGATGCCCCACATCCGTGTCATCCCATATAATACTGCTTTAGTCTGGCGTTTGAGGCCTACTGTATCTTGACCTTCAGGGGATGTGAGAGTAGACGAGGCGGCACCTTGGCATCGGAGTGGGCGAGAGAGGCTGAGGAGGATGCAAAGGAGAAACGGGCGACTCAAAATTCGCACACTATCGAGAACAACACCTAGCCAATGACATGATCAGCACCCACAAGAGATGCGAGCCGGCGACGTCCCAATAAAGCAGCATGTCTTGTGCCACTGTACAACGAAACCTTCCCATTTACGCCCGTGGGGAGTGCGTTGGCATGGGGAACCAGGAGGATCTCCTCTAGACCAGAGCAACTTGAGGACGTCACGGTCTATATACTACAATCTATATATGCGTTAGTTGTGTACCTGGTACCAAAGAGTCCACACCGGGATGCCCGACCGGCGAACAGCATAACAAGCCCCTTTGGGAACCAGTGTACATAGTTCGCCGCTATACGCTCGACCAAAAAAAGTATGCACAGAGACTCAAAGGCTGCGTTGGGCGCACCGCAGCTAGGTACCCCTCCCACTGATGACTCCCTCCAACAGACATGTCATGTTAACTATCGCTAAATTGACGCAGTTCTCAGACATCCCCTTAGACCTATGTTCATATGAGCAGTGAGTACCCCGTCCGCAGCTCGAGTGCTCCAGGCCGTGCACTATGTATACGGCAAGTTGGGTCACTATCATCGATTCTCGTTGTTCAGGGCAGTGAACCTGATGCCGCATCACTCAGAAAGGTTTCCATTGAACCTCGCGTCCACCTGGCGGTACGGGTTGCACGTGTAAAAGCGCCGCGAAGGTACTCGCAGCTCGCGTGTCAGTGCGCGACTCGCACCGGCGTCGATAGCTCATCTATACGTCTGCCTATGGGAGACAAGCTCATCTAGCGACGCTCTCGCGTCGCGCTCCCTTCATAGCGCGATGGAGATATCTATATTGGCAATGATGGATACGGAGCACGCCATACTCAAGAGTCGACATTCAGGCATCCACATGCCGGGCCTCCGGGGCTGCATGATGGGGACCTTCGAGGAGAACGCGGACGCGTCGTGCACATCAAGACTCCAGCGCGCAGAAGCGACAGGTCGAACGCGCCGTGATCCGCGTGAACGCTCCCTCCGTGTCTGCTTGCGCTGCGGCTAGTCGATGTCCTCGCCCTCGATAACGCGCTCGCCATCCTCGGAGAACTTCACGTCGCTCTGTGGGGAGCATCAGTTACGGCACTGCCGAGACGCGCCGCGCAGGTGTAGAGGGAAAGCAGGGATGGAAACGACGGTACGTACCTCGTGGCCGGCCGACTTGCCTACGTACTTCGTATGATCTGGTGGGAGAATATGACGATCAGTCGGCGTGTGTGCGCAGGGCCCGGAGGGGCGAAGAGAGCGAGCAGGACTTACGGCCGTACGCCGCGAGCTGGCCCTGCGCGTTGTAGAAGTCCACGCGCGTGTACGCGAGCGACTTGCCTGTTCCACGCCCCGGGGCTCGGTTCAATCACGATTCCGCACACACGGCTGAACGCAGAGACGCGGGAGGGTGTACGCACCGATCCCGGTGACGACGGCGGTCGCGGTAAGCTCCTCCCCAACGCGGCCTGCGGGCTTGACGAAGGACGTGCCGATGTCGACAGAGACGCCGGTCATGTACTGCCCCTTGGTCGCGACCGCAAGAGAACCGAGCGTATCGGTGAGGGACATGATAAGCCCGCCGTGCACGGTCTGTGGTCCGTTATCGCTCAACTCCACCGCGCGCAGGATCGAAGAATCATGGAATGGACGCTCACGCCAACACGGTTCACTGATGAGGAGGGCGTGTGGGAGAGGCGAAGATACAGTATCACGTATGTTAGCGTTATTTGTCTTTGGGAACGCGCAGTTAGGACGTACGGTTGTACGGCTCGATCTTGAGAGACGCCTTGAGCAGGCCTGGCTTTGCGTCAAGGATGGAGAGCTGCACGGCGACGCGTCAATCTCCCGAGACATGGTGGGCGGCATGCCATGTATACACGAGGCACGCAGCACACGGCGGGTCCACACGCACATTGGGGAAACATTGCTGGTCGTGCCCTGGCGGAGAGGGTGAAATCTTCAGGCTGCTGTGTGTACGCTAGAAGCAGACTCGGAAGTGAACAGGCTTACCTTTATTCTCCACGAAAGATCGCCATACCTGTCGAACACGCCGGTCGCGTCACGGCGACGTACGTATGTCAGGACTGGCAGGTTGATAGGTGGGCCTGCTGTGCACTCACTCGGCGGGTAAATCTGAGACACGCAGCCATAATTGTTCAATGGGAGGTTGCGCAAAATTGGCTAAGAAGTTGCCGTTGAACAAGCCTGTGAAGCCGCTTCGTCCTCGACGTCGAACTCAAGAAAGATGAGTACATACTCACGTCGCACGCGCGGGGAACCCGGGCGCCCGAACCCACGTGGCACTGATGCCGACTCTCCGACGTCGATGTCTCTGTTCCTGCAACTCTGCTTCTGCAGCCAAAATGACTTGCATCCCACGATGTGCCTGTCGGCTCCTCATGCCCTCCGCGCTCTGCTCAGTTGAATCTTGCGGCCCTGTCAGGAGTACGGTAAATCCGTCTCGGAGGCTGTACTGAATTTTCACCGACACTTCAGCATCACGACAGTTGACAGACCAAGCCACCATCTGGCTGGACATGGTCTTGAGCACAGTAAACCCGCCTCCGACAGGTTCGGCCGTCATTGTGCGACGCATCTCCACGGGCGGTGGACTTGGCGAGGCCGCACCGCGCTAGGGTGTTCTCTGGGAAACACTCGCACGAAGGAGAACCCCAACATGCCGGGTCCGGGCCAGCCGCAGTTCTGCACCTGGCGACGCCGCTACTCCGATGCAGGTCCATAAGCTCGAGCCACTCACGTATCGCGTAGAATCCGCCTCCCGGACCGCTCGGTGTGTCCCTTCTTGTAGCGCAGCGCCAGTTTACCGCGGCGTGGGATGCGACCTACCGAGATTGGGCTGAGGCACACGCCAAAATACTCATCAAGGGCACAACTGTCAACTCCGTGAGCGTTCGAGTGTTTCCGTCTGTATACCGGACTGCTCACCAACTGCGCTTTCCCTAAGGTTGTTAGTTCGTGCCGTGGAAAGCGGCCAAGAGAGCAACTGGGGTGTCTCCAACGATGTTGTACCGCACCAGTCAAACCGCAAACGAGTCAGGGCTTGTACGCGGATATACCATGCAGGCTTTAAACCCGTCGGCCGAGCGACCTCTCGCAGTACTTGGCATGGGTCCCCTCTCGGTACCGCGAGGGCGATGCGTGGACGAGAGTACACCGGTACCCGAATCGGGTGAGGAATGGAGATCGCCGGGTTGATCTTCGAATGCGACCCTGAGAGCCGACGAGGCGGCACACAATGTAGGGCCCTGCATCCGCCAGATGTTATCTCTTACCGCGTTGGTCACCGCATGGCTGCGCCGTTCTCACCACGCCGCCGGAGCAAGTCTCTCGCGATACGACGCATCTTCATCACCAACTCCCGCAGATAGATGACGCACTTGATTATGGTCGCAAATATTCGCTGACCGAAACAGACACTCCTCCCTCCCACGCACCTCCGGATCCCCTCCGCAAGGTTCAACACGCCGAGGACATCCCTGCACACAGCATACTGCGTCCGGACATCCGGACGTCGGAATCAGCGAGGCTTGTCAGATCATTGCGCAACATGTCAGGTCAGCACCCTCGACACGGAAATTTGTGCTTATTACCATTTCAGCAGGAAGGTCCAGGTGCTTCGTGGCGCTGGACGGCGCGAATGCACGCGCGACGTCAAGGTACTGGCGTATGGGCGTCTTCCTGTCGACTGTTCCGCGCGTATTTTCGCATCCTTCGAATCACGGTCCATATCTCTGCACGCAATCGGGGTCGCAGCCGTTTCTTCTCCTCGGAATGCCAAAGAATCCGCGTTGGAGCAACCTCACTTTTCGCAATTTCTCGCGTATCCCGCGAACACTGCCCGGGGACAGACAATACGGGTACGTCCCTTACCGGTTCTCACTCTATCGCGGAGCCATCGCCAGCTCGCATCTCTTGGGATTGGCCGACACCCGAAGCCTCGGCGTGTGGGATCCACGACTTCTTGACATATAGAAGACACGGAATCAGGCGTCTCGCGATCCAGGTTCGCCAAGCTATGTTCGTCTGCCACTCTGCTCCGCTCCGGGGCCCAGTCGCCCACGTCTGAGCGCTTCCATGTGCTCGAGTTTTTCCAAGTATGTCCAAACGCATGCGGAAACCGTTCACAGCCGCGATGCAACCCTGGTGCCCATGAGGGTATATCTAGGGCGCCGAACGGCTGTGGTCCCTCAGCGACTTGTTGCCCATCCCTTCCCTTTTCCCCTCCCTCCCCCGTACCCTCCCCCTCCCTCCTTCCGACATACCTGCCGTCATGCCAGACAACGGTGTTGACGACGTGCCTCGTGGGGACCATCCTTCGACGGTCAGCAGCGTGTCGACGATCACTCCTCCGGCACAAGCCCATGTGGCCCCGGTCTCTTCTCTCAAGTACGATCTCGAGAAGTCTTCGCTGAACACTTCCACCGCGGCATCGTCCATCTCTGACGGGAAGAGCGTGCTCGACACCGAGAAGGGCATCATTTCCTGGGAGGGGTACCAAGATGACGAACTGCCCGCGAAGACGCAGGCACACTGGCTGCGCAACCTGCGTTTCCAGGTCTTTTCTCTGTACCGCAGACTCTTCGGCATCGTCTTCGTCACGAACATGGCCGTCTTTATCGCGACCTGCGTTAAGGGTGGCGCGGAGGGCGCCGACGCACAGTTCCTAGGAAAGGTCGCGGTTGCAAACATCTTCGTGGCCATTCTCATGCGTCAGGACTACGTTATCAACGCTTTCTTTACCGTTGCCTGTGCGGCACCGCAGTCGTATGTCCCTCCGCTGATCGTGTCTATATTTGCACTAATCGAGGTCTTAGGTGGCCGCTCTGGATCCGCCGCATCCTCGGGCGCGTCTACACGATCGGAGGAAGTGGGTAGCGAGCGTCATCCCCTTGTTTCGCGTCACTGACGCGCAAACTCTAGTCCACTCCGGTTGTGGCGTCAGCGGAACGGTTTGGATCATCCTCTTCGCCGCACAATCGACCCGTCAGTTCCTCAGGAACGATCACGTAAGTTCATGATGTTGCAGGCAGTTTGTGGTCAAGCTCACCTGCGCCGCAGATTACGATTCCCACCTTGGTGTTCACGTACATCATCATCACGCTTCTTCTGGGAATGCTCACATTCGCGCACCCGAAAATGCGCGTTAAGCGTCATGATACGTTCGAAATGACGCACCGTTTCCTTGGGTGGACCGCGATTGCGCTCGTCTGGTGCCTGGTAAGTGTTACTACAGCGCTGACCACGCACAACTGAGATGGACACGGACGCTGATTTATCGGCTCGCAGATCATCTTCCTCATCAAGGACTATCAGGAGCCTGGCCAAACCTTGGGCCAGGCAGTCGTTCGCGCCCCTCCCTTCTGGCTCGTCCTCATCATGACCTTCTCCATCATCCTGCCGTGGCTCCGGCTCCGCAAGGTCCCTGTCCGCCCCGAAATCCTCTCCGACCATTGCGTCCGTCTGCACTTCGACTACGGTCAGTGATCCGGACACCCGTCTATATGCCCGAGCCCGTGCTGATCGCACATTGTGGTTCTAGTTGACACACACCCGGGTCATTTCACCCGCATGTCCCTCAGCCCGCTCACGGAGTGGCACTCCTTCGCGACGATCTCCGTGCCGGGCGAGAAGGGGTACTCCGCCGTTGTGTCACGCGCAGGCGACTGGACGAGCGAGACCATCAGCAACCCCCCGAAGGAGCTCTGGGTGCGCGGCGTGCCCTGCTACGGTGTCGTTCGCGTTACACCGCTATTCCGGCGCGTGCTCCTCGTCGCGACGGGCAGCGGGATCGGCCCGATCGCACCCGTCGTGTTCGCGCAGAAGACCAAGCTGCAGCTGCTGTGGACCGCGCCCGCGGTGCGCAAGACGTTTGGCGACAAGCTGGTGGACTCGCTCCTTGCGGCGAACCCGAGCGCCGTCATCTACGGTGAGCATTTCCCGCTGCCTGCGGGATAACTGCGTGCTGACGAAAGTCTGCGTGCCCAGATACGCGCGAACACGGCAAGCCGGACATGGTGAAGCTCGTGCACCGCATGGTGCGCGAGTTCGACGCGGAGGCGGTGGTCATCATTTCGAACGAGCCGCTCACACGCAAGGTCGTGTACGGGATGATGAGCAGGGGCATTCCGGCTTTCGGCGCCATCTGGGATTCATAAACTGCTGCCATACGATTACGATAACGGCTGGACTGCTACTCGCTTCGTATGGGCAGTACTGTACGCGCTATTCACGACTCGACACTAGACTGGGGATCCCGTCCCTGTATGTATTCTATGACATCCGTTACTTTGTATCAGCTTTACATATTGCTGGAGACTCCGAACCTGAATGTGAGCGTTCGGAACATCTTGTGCCCGTAAGCTGCCCTCCTATCTCGGCAGTGAATGATAGCTGCTTTCGAGGCGCCTTCCACTCTGTCCGTTGAGTACAGAGTACCCTATACATGGTGCGGCATACATTGCTCACCATAACGTGGCGGGCGGCTTACACCGCGGAGCCGCGGCGCCTAAAGGTGATCACACGCACTCCTGAACGTCGACACCTGCCAAAACGGGACTTGCACGCCTTGTTGCGTGGTATGGACAGTTGACCTCGGCGTCGGTCCCTGCTTCATCCCGAGCCTATGGGGTCCCATGATTCCTCCATGACAGACATATACCACGACAACTCACGCGGCCTGGGCGACGCTCTCGCCGTTCTTCCCACCACTCCTCCATCCGCCACGAGTTGCCTGTCGCGCTCACTGCAGTGCCTGTGAGTCTTCGAGAACTTCAGGGGTACAACTGAATACACGGCTCGCACTAACTGCGGATCAAACAGTCACAGTCACACCTCCACTACCTTCACCCACACCGTCGTGAGCAATGCGTGTTGACGAAGGCTTCCAACCGGTGAGCAATGGAGGGTGCACACGACCGACATTTCACTGACAGACGCGCATCAGGTTCCATTCGTGGAGGGAAATCCGTACAGCACCGACCCCGTCCTGCCCGCGCTCCTGAAGCGCATCCTCCCGGCAGATGTATTCCGGGATGTCGACGCGGACCTGGACCGTTTCGGCGGAGAAGTCCTGACGAGTAAGCGCCACAGCTGCTGGCCGTCGCCGCCACATGCACTATGTCCGCTGACGGGTTAAGCGTACGGTAGCCATGCGGGAGCTGAGCAAGCATGCCACACCGCCTCAGCTTATACAGTACGACTCGTGGGGACGGCGCGTGGACGAGCTCCGGACGTCGGAGGGCTGGCGCGGGCTCAAGGAGCTGTACCAGCGTGAGGGCACGGTCGCCATTCCGTACGAGCGCAAGTACGGCGAACATAGCTGGCCGTATGGCTTCGCGAAGCTTTTCATCAGTGTCGCAGACTCGGAGGTGGTGGGTGCATCGTTGTAAATGTACCTGCCAGAAGATGACTGAGTACGCGTTTCACAGGTCGACTGCCCGTTGAGCATGACCGATGGTGTTGCTCGTGGTGCGTACTGGAAATTTGCATGTGCCACATCCCCCATTCTCACCGTCTGTTACAGTTCTGGAGCTATCCGGAACGCCACAATTGAAGGAGGAAATATTTGCCCGATTGACCAGGTATGTCACCGATTTTCACCGTTACATTCTTCCCTAACTATGTGCCCACAGTCGAGATCCGGCGCGGGCATATACTGCTGGGCAATGGATGACGGAGGTGCGTGTTGGTGTACTGGTGACAACCCCGCGCTCATCTTCCGTAGCGCCCTGGAGGTTCAGACGTATCCCGCACAGAGACGGTTGCTGCACCCGTCCCAGGAATCACTACTTCCTATGGGCCGCAGTACAAGATCGACGGCTTCAAATGGTTCTCCAGTGCTACCGACAGCGACATTGCACTCGCCCTGGCACGCACCGGACGCCCCGAGGACGGCTCCCGCGGCCTCTCCCTGTTCATGATCCCCGTGCGGCTGCCGCTCGTGCGCCCCCCAGGCGCGCCCCGCCCGTCCGCGCTCACGAACAACATCCACCTCCACCGGCTGAAGAACAAGTTTGGCACGAAGATCCTGCCGACTGCAGAGCTCTCCATCCAAGGTGCGGAGGCGTACCTGCTCGGGGAGCCGAACCAGGGCGTGAAGCTGATCACGCCCGTGCTGAACATCACGCGCACGCACTCCGCGATGAGCTCGGTTGCCTACCTCCGCAAGCCGCTCGCGATCGCGACCGCGCACTCGCACGGGCGCGCGATCAAGGGTGGGCAGCAGCTGTTGAAGGACACGCCGTTGCATGTGGCGGAGCTCGCGAAGCTGCATGTGTTGTATCGCGCGCTCGTGCACTTTGTGTTCGGGTCGATCGTGCTGCTCGGGAAGAATGAGTGCGGGGTAGCGAGCGAGAGTGAGGGCCTTCGGTTGCGGCTGCTGACTCCCGCAATTAAGGCGTTTGCCGCGGAGAAGTGTGTAACTGCGATGGAGGAATGCATGACCATGCTCGGTGGCGAGGGGTATATGGAGGAGAACGGAATTGCCAGGTGCGTACGCGGATGGACAACATGGTCGTCTGGTGGCTCACCTGGATCGCAGGTTGATTCCAGACGGCATAGTGGAGAAGATATGGGAGGGTACCATCACGGTCCTATCTCTGGACCTCGTGAGGGTCATCGAGAAGTCTACCACACTCAACGCATTTATCAAGGTACGCACATTTCCGGCATTTCTTAAAGTCCAGTTAATAAACCAACGAGCACGCCTTCAAAGTGGACCGAAGACATCATCGCGTCTTGCCCCGCTCCGCTGGCGCAAACCCTAGCGGCGCCACTAGCATCCCTCCGTGACGCGTTGCCCGAGCTCGTGGAAGCATACAAGGCGCCGCTGCACCCCCTCGTCCCTCGTCCGGCACTGTTCGTGTTCAGCCACATCGCGTCTTCTGTGTATCTCCTGGAACATGCCATCTGGGCCGCGAAGACTTCGGAGCCCGGCCACGAGATCGACGCTGAGGTTTTCAAGCGGTGGGTTTTGGAGGGCGGGCTCGACACGGCCCTGGAAAACGTACGCCGGGCGAAGAACTCATCGCAGGATCGCATGGAGACCAACTCGGCGATTGTGTATGGCGTCAACGCTAGTAAAGTTGCGGCGCATTTGTGAGGGGTCACCGACCGGTCTGCGAACTATGCATCCTGTAATTGGAGTATCAATGTCCGGAGCCTAATTTTACGGAAGGAAACATGCATTACTACATCAACATACAGAGAGGGACTGTTTACAGCGATGTTTACAAGAAGCACAGGTATGAATACAACCAGAATCCTAGAAGTTATGCGGTATGAGGCACCAAAAAACACCTTAGATATCAGGTGTTGGTGAGAATCATGCAAAACGCTAGTATAATCCGAGTCAACTCACCCAAGCAGACCTCGTCCGCCCCATCCTCGTCGTGGGATGAAGGTAAGTCTTACCCTGCGATCATCCGATCTGAGCACCTCTATAATGACCTCTTGCTGCGAGCTGATGTCAGCAGACGATAGGAGATCTATTGCCACGGAGCGTTCTTACGTTTTCTTGGGCGGCGACAAGTTCTGCGAGGGGTTGGAGCGATGATGTCGCGAAGGACGATTTGGTGAGAGGACCGAAAGACAAAACAAGATCCTCTCGCAAGAGCCCCTAGCAAGTTCAAGGCCGGTCAATCATCCGAGATACAGTGTGGTAAACCCGCATGGGCTTACTGCTGTAGCGGCAGGGCTCCCCGGTGCAACGCCTTCAACTTTTGCAAACGGCTGCGGAGTGTCGGTGGAGGCATGCTCCGTAGAGGAGGCTGCCGCTGTTACTGGTTGGGACTGTGCGCTCGGATCGTAGACTTGTTGTAACGCGAGCAACATGTTGTCCATGAGAGCTTTGAGGTCATTCCGCAGCTCGATGATCCGCACGCGAGCGTGGCGCACGGCCCATATATCTACGTCCGCCAGAGGAAAGCCCTCGGAGTCGACAAGAGGAGTGTCCATGGTCATAGAGTTGCTCTGCAGAACCGAGAGTTGGGCCTCCATCTCTGCTTCAATGGCATCCTTGCGGGCCATGAGCGAGCGTACATTGTCGGCAGCAGCAGAGTTGTTCATGCGTGGAGGCAGCGTAAATCCCATAGCAGGTGGTGGTCGCGGTTAGAAAGCAGCCTCAGGCGAGGCGGACGCGTCTCGCTTACGTCTAGTAATGTAAGTCCTATATTCGGAGTTATCCCGCATAACTAAGTGCACTCGCGTCTCACGCGCCACCGCGAGCAGCGCGTCTGCAATACTGTTGACAGCCACCACATCGTCTCATTATCCCTCCTCTCCAACATGGACGAGTTCACCCAGGGCAGCTACTCCCTGCAGCCTAAATCACGAATGCGGAAGGCTTCGTTTAACTCGCAGACATCCGCACAGACAGTACCCGTAAACTGGGGCCATAGGGCAACCACACCAATCCTGAGGCACCGACCATCTGCCGCTAGTATCCGTAGCGACGTGTGCGTACCACTTTCACAATGCATGCATGTGGTGGATATCTGAGTACGTGAACGCGTGAATCAGCTCTGAGACAGACCGCTCGGAGATTGTCGCGCCTGTACCACGAAGACATCATATCCTTCAGACCTCGGAGAGTCGACATTGGCTGGGTACACCTCCGCTGCATCCTCACTCCCGCGCAACTTCCCCCCTCTCTGCTACCGCGACGTCACCCTCGCACAGAAGGCTCAATCCAAGCCTCAGCTTCAACTCCCTGCACGCCAAAGACAGCCGTGGACCCCCCACCTCGCACTCCTCTCTGTCCTCACAGAAAGCCCGTAGTCCGGACGATGATGGCGGGATGGCTAAGCGGCTTCTGAGGTGGATGCATCATGAGAACATGAAGGCATGGATTATCCCAAGTCTGATCTTGGCGTCTGTATGGGTGAAATGGGCGGTGGGGCTAGGCTCATATTCCGGTCTGCACAACACAATTATCCTCGTCAATGATACAGCTGTTCATAGCATGCTCAGGTCAAGGGACGCCACCCATGTATGGCGACTACGAGGCTCAAAGACATTGGATGGAACTGACCATTCATCTACCGGTCCGGCAATGGTATACCTATGATCTTCAATATTGGGGACTCGACTACCCACCACTGACGGCATATATCTCATGGTTATGTGGTACTCTGTGAGTCGTTATACGTACCATTAGCCCAAACGCAGACACTCATCCTTTTGCAGTGGCGCATGGATAGACCCCTCCTGGGTCGCGCTCGATCGGTCCCGCGGGATTGAAACATCTAGCAGCAAGGTGTACATGCGGTTTACGGTTCTGGCCTTTGACACCTTTGTGTACGTCCCCGCTCTCCTCATGTTTGCCAAGGTCTGGCAAGGCACCCGCTCGGCACGACGACAGGTGAAGCGACATTCACAGTTTCAATATATCTTACTCAACACGTTTCTGTACGCATAGGAACTGGCACTCGCGACATTATTGTTCCAGCCGGCATTGATTCTCATCGACTTCGGTCACTTCCAGTACAACTCCGTCATGCTTGGTGATTAATGTGATGTCCAAGTCTGCGTACTTGTAACTAACGGTGATTTTAGGTTTCACGCTTCTGGCGGCAAACTTCTTCGCAGCAGAGCACGATATTGACGGCGCCATTTGTTTCGTGCTCAGTCTCGGCTTCAAGCAAATGGCGTTATATTATGCTCCGGCAATTGGCTCGTACCTACTTGCCAAATGTTTGTACCTCGGTCCTGCGGAAGGGTATGTAACATCCTCCGCCTTCTGCTACTCTCAACTCCCGCTGACGCCACTCTTAGCTCAAGACTATTCTTGAAGCTGGCCGTAGTGACGATCGTGTCATTTGTTGTTCTCTTCCTTCCCTTCCTGCCGCCTTTCGCCCCCGTATCCGCGATTCTCGACCCTATCACCCGTATCTTCCCCTTCAATCGCGGTCTCTTTGAAGACAAGGTCGCCAACTTCTGGTGTGCTTCGAACGTCGTCCTAAAGTGGAAGCGCTGGGCCTCTCAAGATCTACTGGTCAAACTATCTGCTGCCCTCACTGCGCTTGGATTCCTGCCCGCCATTGCCACATTGCTGTACAGCGCGTACAAACTTCAGCTCCAAAGTGCCCCTCGGGACAGTAGAGCGAAGGCTGTTCAACCGACGCCTCTCTTGCCACTGCTTCCATTTGCTATGCTCACATCCTCACTATCGTTCTTCCTGTTCTCTTTCCAAGTCCACGAGAAGACCATTCTCGTGCCGCTTCTCCCTATGACTTTGCTGCTGTCCGGATCGTCGCCCGACGAACAGACATTCGAACTCGGTATGCTCATGAACAACGTCGCGGTGTTCAGGTAATGATGCCTCCTTACTTTACCTGCCACTAGACCGCTCCTTGCTCACATTCGCGCATAGTATGTGGCCTCTCCTGAAGAGAGACGGTCTTGGAGTACAATACGTCGCTTTGCTCATCATATGGAACAAATTTGTCGGGTATAACCCCTTCAAAGTGGGCAAGAAATCATGGCTCCAGCTGCTCTCTATAGTACGTCTTATCGCACAAGGTCGTCGTGACCCGATTTTGATCAGTACTATCCAGACGATCTATGCCGTCTGCGCCGTACTACACGTCGCCGAGGCCCTGTTCACCCCTCCTGCTCGCCTCCCCGACCTCTTCCCCGTCCTCAACGTGCTCGTCAGCACCCCCGTTTTCGCCCTCGTCTGGCTCTGGAGCATCAAGCGCGGCGTCGAGGTTAGCTGGGCGCTGGGGGGTCTTGGATCGCGCTCGAACACGCACGCAACGCAACCCCCAACGTTAAAGAAGCCCCTTCCTTTCCCCTCCGATGGCCGCCCCGACAAAGCCTTGGGCAATGGAGAGGCGCCTGTCGATGGACTGTCGTCCGTGCGCGGTTCCGGTTTCCGCACGATGAGCTTGGGTTTCGCGGAGGGCCGCAGGAGGAAGGTCAGGAGTGGGAGCGTAGACCTCCACTAGATGGAATGTGCTGTGTACTATGCGGATCGTCGACAATCATTGGGTATGTGGCTTTTCTCAGGAGCGTGAATTCAATACGATCAAGCGGATCATACTTCGTCTGATCAGTCGGAGAACATTGCTGTTCATATCACGCAGAGCGTGCGTATGGATAGAGCTACAGCAGTTCTTTGAGCTGAACGTTGTTCACCCTCCGATCGTTCTTACTCGCTTTCCCAATGCGGAAGATGGTTCAGTGCTCCTGTAGTGTTTGCACGCGCGAGACGATGGGCTCGTGCTTCTTCGTTCCAACCACAATGCACCCCGCAGATCAATTTGGGTCAAAGTTGCCTCAAAGCACTCCCAGCGATGGTCAAAATGCATTCTCCGCCGTCTATGTAGCGACGGTCGTCTGTTTACGACAGGTTCAGAGCCTGAAACACATATCTCGGGAAAAGCTTGTTCAGTTCGGCATGGACATCTCCATAGTCGCGTGTGGAATCAGGTTGAGCTCGTCTCTCATACTTCATGTCCTACAGCGTACTGATAGAACGAGGGTGCTTCAGCTAGGTTGGGATATTTGTTCGATGCCTTCGCTATTCGCGACAGACGCAGCACGATCAGAGATGTCCTCAGGGATTGCTTGTCCCAGCTGCAGAGAGTGAGGTTCTATCCCAAACGAGATCGTGTGGATATTCGCATCTTCTTCTGGGGTTACGTTCCGTCATACGCCACGTATAATGCGACTGACACGAACCCATAGGGCATCCCGACGTTCCGAAACGTATGCCTCGTACACGAGCCGAACTCCGACCAGCTGTTCTTCGTCAACGCGCGATCCCTGTTGGCCAGAACATCCTCCGAGTCGATGATTTACGAAGATACTGTTTTCATCCGAGTTCAAGGCTCGTCCGCAGAGGTTCGCTCTTTTGCGTATTCCGTCGTCGATACGTCTTCGGACCGACTCTAAAATCCAACAGCTGTGTACACCTCCATCCGAACTGCAAGCACTGTTCGGTGAACTCGTATCACTACTCACCAGCAATTTCGAACTATTGGCTGTCTTACCAGAGGACGAACGCACACAAGACCTCGGAACGATGGTGGCATTCGCCGCGTGCATCCTCGAGTTCCCGGTCGCGTACGTCCCGATGGCCCACGGCGGTGGCGCATTCCTAGCAGGCACCCCGCTCGACGTCTATGAATGCATACTCGAGAGCGATGCATCCTCGAGCGTCAAGGTTCCGGACAAACACGTCATGCTCAAGTTCTCATGCCCACAAGGTGTCGCGAAGACGAAGGCCGAGCTGCATCCAAAGGCAATGGTCGACAAGCTGCAAACTCTCTTCGAGGCTAGACTGGGAAAAGTGGCCTTCCCGGGACGGGTGGTAGTACGTTGGTCTACGGAGACGTTGGACAGAGTCGCGTTGTAGTAACTATCACATCGTTGGGTATCATGTTCATTATCGTAGCGGTGATTAGGCAAGGCAAGCTCGCCATACATGACAAGTCGACGTTGATCGACTTATACATCAAGTAAGGGGTTGAGTTCCATCTCGGCGGAGCTTATAGGGCGATGAGAGTTGAAGGTATCAAAGTTACTTCAAGAAGTACAGCAAGGTGCTTCAAAACGTTCTTCGTACGTGTGACCCTCAGCTTAAATTGAGCATACATCGCAAGCAAGGCATCCCAAGTTTTCAGCGCGGGTGGTTGCAATTTCTGAGGGATGGAACCGCAACAGACCGCAAGTCTACTGAACCGAGGAGTTGCCGAGGAGCGAACGAGAGGACAAGAGGGTGTGACGTGATGGATGTGATGTGACTGGGGCGCTTGGGTCTCCGGGAATTGCCGACTCCAACTGGCAAGTTGTGGCAATTAGAGTTCAGCCACCCCGCCCTCCTCTACCGCACGATACTGGCGCACCGGATCGGGAACGACAAACTCAAGACTTCAAGATGGGTACGTAGGCTGAAACTATGCTCATACATGGGATGGAGGAGTGCTGATACAGGATCCTTCTCAATGTAGTCCGCTACGCCGCCGCCGCCACTGCCACCAACCCGGAGAAAAGTGCGTTCAGAGAGGCGGAAGTTATGGCTGGATTTTGGCGGGAACTGATGGTGTGTGTGGTGCGTTTACAGCCTCCCGCGCTCGCGGCGAGTACCTCCGGACGCACTTCAAGAACATGCGCGAGGTCGCGGCTGCCTTGACGGGTCAGTGATTCGGATACTGGGAAGGAAGTGTTGGGAGAGACTGAAGAGTGAAATTGTGTCGTAGGCCTCAAGCTCACGAAGGCGTACACCTACCTTGCGGATGTCAAGGAGCACAAGCAGATCATCCCCTTCCGCCGTTTCGCTGGTGGTGTCGGCCGTGCGAGCCAGGCGAAGCAGTTCAAGGCTACCCAGGGTGCGTTGATTTATCCATTCAGTCCGTCCCGCGGTGCTCAGACCGAAGACCCGAAGGTCGCTGGCCCGAGAAGTCCGTGAAGTTCGTCCTCCGCCTCCTGAAGAACGCCGAGTCGAACGCGGACGCGAAAAACCTTGACGTCGAGGACCTTATCATCAAGAACATTGTTGTGCAGCAGGCGCCCGTACGTCCCCAACACCCTGTCTTGCTAGTTGTGTCGTACTGATCAAACGTCCGCGCTCCGTTCAGAAAACCCGCCGTCGCACGTACCGTGCACACGGTCGTATCAACCCCTACCAGGGTCACCCTTGTCACGTTGAGATCATCCTCTCGGCGACCGATTCCGAGGTCGAGCGGGCCAAGGACAAGGATGTTGTTGCTGCCTCATCGTTCGACGGCCTCAACAGGCGACAGGTCGCCCGCAGGCGGATTGAGGCTGCGCGCATCGCGTAAGCTTGCTTTCTGCCTGGAGTGAGGGGAGGCCGAGGTGGAGTGTAGTTGGGATTCATGCCATCTACTTGCGATGCCGTGCGTGGGCATCGTTGTCTTCATATGTATGCGTATGCCATGTCGTCAAAACGAGAACAGACCGCGCGGTACTATACACATGGGTTATGCATTCTCTCTCTTTCTGACGTATGCTGCCCCTTCAGTGCATCCTACTAATGTTGCAGGCTGGCAGCGCGACGCGACTCACTAAATACAGAACAGCACGAATGCAATATCACAGCAGGTGTACATACAACGATGAGACGGCGAATAGATGAGGAAATGACGCTATTTCTTTTTCCTTTTCGTACCGCGGGATCCGGCTCCCGCCCCCCTGCCGCGACCCCTTCCTCGTCCGGTGCCCTTCGTGCCTTTTCGAGGTTGCTTTGAAGCTATTGAGGCGGCTAGGGTGCCGTCAGCACATGCTTGCTCTGAGAAAGACGGAGGAAACGCACCTGGAGACTGTCTTGGGTCCTCCTCGTCCTCCGCATACTCGGTACCTGCATCGGTTCCGGTTGCGACGCTATCTCGTGGCGTGGGTGCTACGCTCTCATCCCCACTTTCCTGGGTTAACGCACTGCTGTCGCTGTCGCCGCCCACCAAACCCGCCATGTGCTTGAGCTTACTCTTCCCCTTCCGGCCGCCCCGCCCAGACTTCGTTTGTGTCACTGGCGATGGTGCGGGGGATGAGGAGGGGAGGGACACGGACGCGCGCATTCGGCGCTCAGACATGATGGCTTCGAACGTCTCGTCGTGGGGCAGGGTATATTCGTGTCGGAAGAAAGGGTGCATCGAGAGGTTGTCGGACGGCGATGGCGAACGCGGGGGTAATGGTGGGGTGCTTGCGGGGCCCTCGCCCGGGAAGTCGTATCCGTCCGCTTCCTGCAGCGCGAGCCGAGCGAGGTTCAAGAAGAGGCGGGCCGCTACTCGTGAACAAGGATGGCGCGCGTGCGGACGCGCGGGGAGGACTCACGATATTCTCGAGGATGTCGAGGTCGTAGCAGGTGCGCAGCTTCGCCCAGAGGTCGTCGATGGCGACGAGCTCGCCGGTGTCGCGGAGGATCGCGTTGCGCATGGTGAGGACGTGGAAGTGGCGGTGGATGCCGACGGGGCGGGCGCGCATGAGCGAGCGGAAGAAGGCGATCTCGCCCTCGACGGAGTCGAGCCAGCGGGGCTCGAGAGCTGCTTCGTCGTCGTCGACCTCCATCTTGGTAGACATGGCGGGAACGGCGGTGGAGATGGAGGGTGTGGGGAGCAGGAGGAAAGGGTCGCGGTGGCGGTGGCGGCGACTTGCGACGCGTCGGCGCGTTCCCTCTCGGCTCGCGGGCCGAGGCGCGTTGAAAGGGCGCGCCCGAGCCCTTCGTCCTCCTACCATCTCCTGGCGACATGTAAGGGCATTCCATGCCAAGGGAGCCCTCTCAGTGTGCATCGTCTTTCATACGCATAAATTCCATGCTCGTGCTCGCTCGCTAAACAACGTCCTCACACGCGCTGAGTGGAGCATGCTCCATATTCCTTGGGCATCCGACCTTGTCGAACATGCACATATCTTCTGCAGTCCAGCTACGACTACACCATGACGGTTTCCACCTTAGGTCTGTACACCTCATTGGTAGACCTCCTAAGTCCGCGCTGCACAAAGGAGGGGTTTCCGGGGAAAACTATCCAAAGTATTGCGGATGAAGCCCGGTATGTTGAACAGTATGGAGCGACTCAACAGTTATACCGTTACTCAAACATTTGCTTCCAAGGTGAATCCCACCCTGTTTTACAGCATTGTTAGATCATGGAACAATTGACGTGACTACGAAAATAACTGATGGAGATATACTCCAAATTTGCTGAACACCGCGGTGCATGTTTTGGAGAAACACCGTTACCGCGCCGAATACATTGGCGTTGGGGTTGCATATCTGCGCCGGGAAATTGATCCGTAGACCTAACACTCACCCCCGCGGCTCTATACTTAGGATGTTCGCAATGGACTAGACGGGATTCTGCGTCTCTACCCGAGCGTCGTGCGTCGAGACGCTGGTGTTTTATGTCGCCCAACTCTGAACATCTATCCCAAATCCATCGCGCGGCGCATTAGGCACAATTGACGGTCAGATTGTGCCTCTCCTTGATCTACATTTTGAGCCAAGGCTAACCAACTTGTACGTAAAACCAGGGCTAAGTATGTCATAGCCAACTGTCAACAATTCGGATATGTACTGTTCATGGACCCCGTGGGTCCCGGTATCCGGCGCCCGGTCAACACCACTGAGCGACCCACTACATGGCCGAGTTGTTCGCAATGCGGGCGCTGCAGGCTGTGACCAGCTCAGCTGAACATCGTAAGAACATTCCCTACTACGCGGGGCCGGGGTTTGATTTTGAATTGATTAAGCGCTTATCGCCGGCGTAAGGGCGCCCGTACACATGTCTATACAAACATTCGCACAACATAGTGGTCTTGGTGCGTGCTACAAGTCCTCATCGAGAATAAAAAGGCTGAATATACTTCTAATATTTCTATGTGCTCAGTGGTGACTACAGATGACCCCGACGAAATCGGTCGGAGTGACGCAGAGTCGTGAGGTCTCACAGTCCTTGCCAAGAGGCGAGATATTCCCCCGAAAGCCAATTGTTTATCGACTTTGGGAGAGCGCGGAGCCCTTCAAACAAATTAGGTGCCCCGGGATCAGGTCTGCAATGTGCTTCTGCGCAGTTCTCGTGTTTACATTGATGTCATCTACAGACCTAGCACAGGAGACAGTGCTCCGTGCAGCTAGCACTCGGACGTTCGGCACAAAATATGCCGCTAACGGTATACGACGGATGTAGCTGCCTCTCTGGAGTGCTCGACGCCTCTGCGGGTAGCGTGAGTGGCGACCATAGCATATAGAGTCACATAAGTTGGGAGTATATGAACGTCGATGTTTGTGTTGACCTTTGCAGCGCCCAACTCTACTCTAGAACCACGCGACATGATCCAATATGCAGCCACCCCCTCAGCTTTAGACCAAGCTTGGCCACCCCCGCTAGCTCGGCCTCTTTTCTAGCGTCTACGCCTCTCCGTTGTGCATCGGTGGTATGTGTATCGGAGACGAATGGGAGTCCGGTGAGATGAGCAAGGAGAGCTCGCTCAAGCTGCTCGATGCGTTCTACGAGGCCGGGGTCAACTTCATTGATACGGAGAACAACTACCAGAACGGGACGTCCGAGAAATTCATCAGAGAGTGGATGGAGCAACGCGGCATCCGGGACCAGGTTTGGTTTTATGCGTACCTCCGACTCTTGGGTGCGCTGACGTCTGCGATGCACACAATACACGTCGCCGTTCGTGCTTGCCAGGCAGGACATCAAGCAGAAGACATCGTATGTGGGGAACAGGGTCAAGTCTACGCACCTCTCCGTCGAGGAATCCTCAAAAAGCCTCCCCACCTCCTACACGGATATCTTCTACGTTCACTGGGTGCATATATGCCGTCGTACGAGCTCAAGCTGTCGAATACAACCGCTTACCGCATCTCTCGCAGTGGGACTACAAGACCAGCATCGAGGAGCTCATGAACGGCCTGCACAACCTCGGGTCTCAGGCGAAGTGCTATACCTCGTAAGTTATCGCCTGCGTCCGGCCCACGCGTCCCGAATATGAATAGCCGTCCCAAGTCTGATGCCCCCGCCTAGGTCGTCGCGCACGCCAACACGTACGCCCGGTCCACCGGCAAGACGCCGTTTGTCACCTACCAGGGGGCCTAGAGCGTCCTCCAGCATGTCTTCGCGCGCGAGATCATCCCGGAGGTCCGGGGTGCGGGGCATGGCCCTCGCGCCCTGGAACGTGCTCGCCGCCGGCAAGATCCGCAAGGATGAAGAGGAAGCGTCTCGGCGCGCGACGGGCGAGAAAGGTGTGTCTGGGCTCCTTGCAACATCACACGTGTAGTGCGGCCCCTCATGCTCATGTGTGTGCGAACTGTCCAGGCTGCGCGACCTTAGTGAGCGGTTCTAAATGGGAGCGCGACGAGACGGAGAAGAAGGTCGCGAAGGTCCTCGAGGGCCGAGCGAGCGTGGTTTGCGCGTCCAGCATCCAGGTTGGTTCGTAGCGGTGATCCGTTAATCGCTGCCCTGGGATGGATGGCTAAGGCCCCGAGGGGCGCCCTCGCAAAATCGCCAATTCGTACGTCATGCAGACGGCCCTGTACGTATTCCCCGCCGTGGGCGGACAAGGCACTTAACATCGCGCTCACCCCGGAGCATATCAAGCTGATAGAAGGCGTGGTGCCCTTTGAACCCGGGTTCCCATCGTCCTTCATTGTCAGTCCACCTTCCCTTGCTTTTGTGCCGCTGTGAGATGGACGACTGACATGATGGACGCTACAGGGTGATGGAACGGAGTACCACCGGGCGGGATTCCCAATTTCAGAACTCTCATGTCGACCGGTCGACCAGTGGCCTCTGCCTCAGGGCATCCGCCCGAGCCCTCCCGAGTAGAGGGATCGGTTCTGTGAATGCGAGAACATGTTTTCTGCGTAGGATCCAGTGGCCTCGTAGGTTTGTAGACCGCCCAAATCAACACTCAGTTTCCAACCGCCACTCTGGCTTTGCGTTAATATGACCAACATCCCAAACGTGTCTCGGGTCTGCTGTATATATCCTGCTATGGACCAAAGCGTCACTCTCGAGCCGGTGAACCGTCTGGATTATGTGGACAGACTGCAGGCTGGCCATGAGGGGGGCCGGCAGTGATGTCAGCCTCGTGGGTACAGGAACGCCTTGCCATCGAATTGACCGCCAGCCCGGCTCGTCTTGAAGCTTGAACCCGCGTCATTGCGAGACAGTGTGGATGACGTTCACCGTACTAGAATGGACGATTGAAAGATCGCATATATGACCGCTGGCCGAATTTTAGTGTGCACTTGTTGGAAGCGGGATCCGTCACGATGACCCGCCACGGAATGCTCCCGCGTGAATCGTGTGCACCGGGCTACGCACGCAACGGGTGTTTCAACGCCATGGATATCGAGTATAAACAAGACTGAGATACTGATGTTATTGTTCAGAATTCACAACCGTGACCGCTACAGTACTTCTGAAGTGGGTGGCGGCGAGCGCTTAAGTGTTAAGTTCCGTCCACAGAAGAGTGGCACGGTGCCTCCGGAAGGCTGCAGCTGTCAATGTCAGCCCACAGTCGAAGAACTGGGGGGTCCGCCCGGAAGCGCTTTACATCCGGTGACTGCACGTCCGGAGCTCGTCGACAGCTCGACGCGCCGAAACGGGGAGCTGCGTGCCGCCCTCGTCCGAATGCGGTTTATCCGCTCCGCCAAGCTCCCTCCACTCCTCACTCGGGGCGCTGGCTTAGAGTTCGAGGGCCACGCGCGCGCTGCGCACCGCCAGTGGAAACGGCGCCGAGGGTAGCAGCAGCGGACGCAGCTGGGCGAGACTCGCGGAAGCATACAATAGCCATGTGCGCCGGTCCCGAGGCGTCCTGTCCTGCATTTTGCGGTGGCGAACGACAATTAAATTCTCTGCTCCCGGGGACGGGTCGATCGCACGTCCCCCTGGAGCCCCCTATAGCTAGCATACAGCCATATCGGGCGCACCGCTGCGTCGTATTAGGTGTGTCTCCCCTGGGGGCGTAACGTACTTTCGTTCTCCCGGCGTGTGTCCGCGGATCCCGTTCGCTTCAGCCCGCGGCCAAACCCCGGGACCGGCGGGGTGCCGTGCACGCCACCTCCTACTCGGCACCGAGCGCAGCAGCTGGTCCAGGGCGGCGGCGGGCCTCAGGCGTCCGTGATACACCCCCTGCTCGCGTCCTCGACCGTCTTCACGTATTTGTAGAGCGTGCCTTGCGAGACCTTGAGCGGGGGCGCGGTCCAGGCGGCACGGCGGCGCGCGAGCTCGTCCTCCGGGACCCGGAGCTCGATCGTGTTTTTCACCGCGTCCACGGAGATAATATCGCCGTCGCAGACGAGGGCGATGGGGCCCCCGACCTGCGCCTCAGGGACGACGTGCCCGATGCAGAAGCCGTGCGATCTGGGGGGCGCCGTCCATGCAGCGGGCGAAGAGTAGTGGCGAATAGGGGGGCAGGCGGCGGTCAGCAATGGGCGGTGGTAAACGATGAGCAAGGGAGAACGTACCCGCCGCTGAAACGGCCGTCCGTTAGGGATGCGACGTCGTGGCCGAGGCCGGCACCCATGATCAGACTGGTGGGCTTGAGCATTTCAGGCATGCCTGCGGAAAGGAGAGTCCCGTGTCAGTATCAGCACCAAATGCACCCGCACCGCCGCGGATGGTGACATGCTCCGGCGGGTGTCAGCTAGCGGACGCACCGGGACCACCCTTGGGACCAAGGTAGCGGAGGACGACGACGGTCTTCTCGCCCTTCTTGATCGAGCCGCTCTCGACGGCGGCGACGAACTCGTCCTCGCTGTCGAACGTACGGGCCTTGCCCGTGAAGCCGAGGCCCTCCTTGCCCGTAATCTTTGCGACGGCGCCGCCGGGAGCAAGGTTCCCCTTCAGGATGCTGCACAGCGCGCCAAGGGTGAGCAATTTTGCGGGCATGCTGATCGGAAAAAACGCAAAGCTCACCGCAGGTGGCCAGTCTCCTTGATCGGCTGCTCGAGGGGGCGGATAACGTTCTGCCGCGAGAACTCGAGCTCGCCGTGTTCGTGCGTCCACCGATCGAGGTTCTCGCCAAGGGTGCGTCCCGTCACGGTCAGATTGTTCCCGTCGATCAGCTTGTTCTTGAGCAGATAGGCCAAAATCTCTGTCACAGTCACACGAACCGTCAATATCTCGACGTGAAGAGCTGAGAAGAAAGATATGCCATACTGGGGATACCGCCGAGCTTGTACACGTCCTCCATGACGTACTTGCCGCTGGGCTTGAGGTCCGCGATGAAGGGCGTGCGGTCCGACACCGACTGGAAGTCGTCGATGGTGAGGTTGATGCCTACGGAGTGCGCGATGGCGATGAGGTGCAGAACAGCATTTGTTGAACCGCCGAGAATCATGGTCAGGACCTGGGCGAGGAGTTAAATGAACGCGTCGCAAAGAGACATTTGAGACAGACATACCATGGCATTCTCAAACGCTGAACGCGTCATGATGTCTCGCGGGAGGATGTTCTTCTCTAGGAGATTTAGCATCGCTGCGCCTGCCGACTCGCACTCTGCGATCTTTTCCGGGTACTCCGCAGGGTACGAGGAGGAACCAGTGAGCGTCATACCCATGGCTTCCGCTGCGCTAGCCATAGTATTTGCCGTGTACATCTGCGGCAAACGTCTTAGCTTTGTCTGGCACGGTACATGGGTACACACTCACCCCACCGCATGCGCCGGGACCGGGGCACGCATGCCGGACCGTGTTGTAACGGAACTTTTCGGCGTCGTCGGTCTTTCCATCCTCCAGATACTTGCCGTACGACTGGAACGCAGAGACGATATCCAGTTGCGGCGCGCCCTCGCACGAACCGGGCTTGATAGTACCACCATAAATCATGAAACCTGGCCTGTTCAATCGTCCCACTTTGTCCAAATGTCAGAAACGCGTGAAATAAACGCATATATTCACGGAACGCACAAGCCATCAACACGCCGGGCATGTTCTTGTCGCAGCCGGGAATGGTGACCATGCCGTCAAGCCAGTGGCCTCCCGCGGCGGTCTCCACCTGATCCGCTATGAGGTCGCGGGATTGCAAGGAGTACGTCATGCCTTTTGTGCCCATACTGATTCCATCACTGCAAGACGCGCGCGTCCGAATTAAGCTGCGCAGTATACCTCATTGCAAAAGTGATACGCACCTGACGCCGACGACACCGAACTGGTATCCAATAAGCCCCGCATCGTACAAGGATTTCCGTACATGCTGGCCGAGGCCGAGCAGGTGCTTATTACATCTGCACACATGTAAGCCGCAGCGCAGAAGAGAAGGGGGCACACGTACGGGTTGCCCTCGTACCTTGTAACCGTCAGCGACGCGCCCGAAAACGCCAGTGCACGTGTCACTCACCATATGCTCGCCACGCCGACCATCGCCTTGTCAAAGTCCTCGTCCGTGCGGATGCCGTCCGTGTCGTACAGCATGGCCTGGCTCGCGCCCTGGTCCTTTGGCTTCGTGATCGTCCGGCTGTACCGGTTCAGGATGGGCTTCTCGCTGCATGCCGGCGCGGACGTCGAGAGCAGGCGGCGCGGGCTCCGTCTGAGCACCGCGCGTGCGGGGAGAGCGGCAGCGTTCCAGGAGTGCATGGTGGCGGCAGTGACGCTGATGAAAACGCGAAGTGTGCCAGCTGCAATTGCAGATGCTTCGCGTGCTCCACTCGAGTCAATCCGAAGCGCGCGAAACAGAAGAGTCACCATTGGCTGTGACTCCTGCACGTGCGGCGTGACGCCTTCCAGAACAGGCGCACGCGTGCTGCACCGCTTCGGCGCTAGCTGGAGATCTGCCCGCGACATCCGCGATCTAGATGGCGCCCTCGGAGAAGTCAAATTCGTGTCGGACCCTGCCGCTCCTGGGGGCAGGTCTTCCGCACAAAACTCAGTACATTGGACCTGAATAGATCCAGAGTGCCATAATCTTGCCGTTGAAGATGATCTTGCTCTGTGCACAGTCGGCAGACCCGTCCAGCCCCATCCTAAAGCAGGCCGGGCGGTTACCCGATATCAGCGTCCAAGCGGTTCCCACGATCCAGATCGAGATAGCGTTCTGAGCAAACCGGGCGATGAGCCCCAAAAGTTTAGGACCCGACCGCGCTGATCGAGCCTATCGGAACACGCACCGGTGACAGTGACCATGTGCGTTTCTACCCAAAACACGCCACCTCCGTAGCGCATTTTCCTTCCCAAGAACGGTGGCGCGCTGAACGGCGTTGGCGCTGCACAGGAGCTGCTCGCGTGCGCGCGGCCGCAGCGGCGAAGGTACCGGCATGGCGGCGCTGGAGCGACAAAAGCAGCAACCACCGAGGGCCGAGTATATTGCCAGTCACGCCGATCGTGTTTCGGCTAGACAGTGTGACCGTGACTCTTTCTACAGCGCGCGACAGCCAAAGCGGTATGCAGATCATCGCTGTGGTGAATTTCCACCCCGACAAATCAGCGTCCCTGTTCAGTGTGATGACAACCGTGCCCTCTCCACCCCGTCGGGCGCGCGCAGCGTCTGAGGACGGTGCGCGTGCAGCCCAGCCGTTAGATAGCGACCAAAGCGCGGGGCCGGGGGGAGCCAACGAGGGCGCCGTCGCAGTAACGACGGCGGAGCGGGGCTGCCTGAGTGGCGGCGTCGGAGTGTGGCTGAGCATCGATCGTTTCTTGACCGCATCCCCGTAGACCAGCGCTTGCGGCACGGTGATCTGGAAAGACTGCTATGCACCTCGGCTCTCGCCCGGTGCGTCGCTCGAGGGCTGGCTGACGATTCGTGCCCGCCCCCTGCACTCTGCGGCGGAAGCAAACCCCCTCGGGTCGACCTTTTCAGCGGGGTACAGACCTGGGCGCCGACATAGCGAGTGTCGATTTCCCGCCCCTCTTTTCTTTTGAAAGAAAGACTCACCCCAGACTTCAAGATCTCGTTCCCCCCGCGATATACGCCTGCAGCATATGGGCTCTCTATTCCTCGCCGCCATCTCTACTGCTGCTGATTTGCGCAACTCCTGGAGCCGTCGTCATCAGCCGTGGAAAGCCACTGAAGAGGACTTCGCTACGAGGGCATGAAACGTCAACGGCACAGTCCGCCACAGCGGCACAGTTCGCTTCCTCCCAGCCTCCATCGGCTGCTCGTCTCCGGCCCGCCTCAGCAGTCGCAGGACGCCGACGACGATGCGGAGGACACCGCGCTGCAGAGGGGGGACGACGGTGAGGAGATCCCGTTCGGAGGCGCAGCCGATCCCGTCAATCCCGCTCCGGGGGCGGAGCCCGCCCTCCCCTCGCTCGTCCTCACGCAGGCTGCGTTCGCGGGCCTTGGGGTCGTCGAACCTATAGCCAGCCGTAGACACAGTCGATCTCCAGCGCCGCATGCCGCCCAGGTGGCTGCTGGCCCCATACCCGCCCTTCCGTTACCCGGGCCCTCGTTCCCTCCGCCACGCATCGTGCGCACCGATCCAGTCTATTACGCCTCGACAACATCCTTACCACCTACTCATCCTACCTCGCCGCCCGGTCCGCATCTTCGGCCCATCTCATGGAGTCCAGAGAGTCCGCCGCTAAGGGCGCTGCCGACTGCCAGGCTCGATAGCCCGGATAGGAGCGTCCCTCCGCTGCCTCGGATGCGCCTCCAACGTAGTCCGATGTCCGGCGCCGCCACACCCCCTTCACATCCCGTCGCTGGCCCGTCACGGCTCCCAGAAGAGCCAATGCCCCGGGGACGACAGCGCAGGGCAAAGGGGAAGCAGCGGGCGGCGCAGACGAGACGCCCCTCGCAAGAGACGGCCTCAATAGAGGCGCACGCCTACGGTGCCCACCGGAGGCAAAATCCTGCAAGTATCGAACGCGGTGAGTAATTCAGTTGCGATCTCTATTGGACGCATGGATACGAGCCGAGTAGATTTTAGCAGCGTTGCTCGAGCTCCGTCCAGTGGGTTCGCGGAAGCACGGAGCGAGGCGAGCCCACGGACCGCTCGTCCTGAGAGCGTACGGCAGCAGGAAGCAGCGCCTTCTCCGAGACGAATACCGGAGAGCGGGCGGGGAAGTCCTGCGTCATTGACGGCGGAAAATTATCCTGTCGCGGTTGGATCCACGGCATACTCCGTCACCACCTTGTCGCCGCTGCGAGCGACGATCTTGCCGCCCGGCGTCGAGCCTGCGAGCGCGCCTGCGGTCGGACCCCAAGAGTCCGCCTCTTCCGGAGTCGCCGTCTCGCCGCCTGCGGGGCGGGAATTGTCGCGAACTGGCGGAGAGAGGACGGAGGTGAAGCGCAGCGAGTCGGACACGGAGGGCGAGGTGGCTGCTGTGGGAGAGAAACGGGCGCGGCGGGCACGTTCAGAGCAGCGAGAGAGCACGGCGTCGTCGAGCTCGGAGCACGCGCAGGCGCCAAAGTCGAAGAAGACGCTGATTGCCTGTCACTTCTGCCGAGGTAAGCAGCCCTTCCCCGCTCGTCGCGGCCGTCGCCCGTCTAGGCCTTCTGGTGGGAGATGACTGACGTCGGTTCCTTCCCGTCCGGCACGACAGCCCGAAAGCTGCGATGCGATGGACTGAGGCCGTCATGCAGCAACTGCCGCAAACGCGTCAAGGTGTGCACGTACGAGCAGCAGCCGAAGCGGCGGGGGCCGGGCAAGACACCGCGTGCGACGGTGCGGCGGCGGACGCGGCACGCGACGGCGACGGGGGACGAGGACGCGGAGCCAGGGCGGGCGGCGGAGGTGGGGGTGGGCGTCGCGAGTGGCAGTGGCAGCGGGGTGGCGAGTACGGGGGCTGCTGCGGGCGCCCCGGGACCGGAAGCCGCGGGACCCTCGAACGCGGAAGGGGCGTCTGCAGCGGGGGCTTCTCTCCCTGCTTCTGCTGCCGCCGCCGCTGTCCAGACGGGTCCCTTCCCAATGACGCGCCAGGCGTTCGAGCCCCAGCTCACAGGCCCCATCCCCACCTATCCCGGCTTCGCATACCGTCCTCCGTCCGCACACAGCGCCGGCCAGCTCCCCCCCTTCCACTTCTACTCGCTCGGACGCGGCATGAGCCGGAGCGTTGCCTCCGACAGCGTGCGCTCCTCGAACACCTCAAACGTTTCCTCCGCCCCCTCTGTCCCCGACTCTGAGGAGGGTCCGGAAGGGAGCGTGGCGGACGAACTCATGGAACTCACGGAACTGGAAGAGTTCTATCAGCACCCCCAGCCGAGGCCAGGGCCAGGAGAGGACGGTTCGCAATAGAGAGCGTCCGCTGCGGACACACATGGGGGCGAGGGAAGGACGCCGCAGAGGGGCGTGGGGCGCAGGGTGATATGCACACTCGGACGACCCTGCTTCTCAGCCTGGGCCAGCGAGGGTGCGTGCACCGTTTCCCATGTGGTTCGCCGTTGCCGTGGACGGTGACAGTTGGACACACGCGCCCTGATTCTCGGGGATGGTCCGCTGGTCCGTTAGCGTTGGCGGGCGGGGCGTGGGTGCTCCGGGGAGGCGTGGGCCCGCGAACTTGTTAATCTACATATACATACGACTGGTCGTGCTAGTTCGCCGCGGTCGCGCGCGAGTGCTCTCTGATTGTTTCCATAGGATATCCGGCTGGGTAGTGTATGCACGGTATACTGTCTAAACACGACTATTGTAGCGTAGGGCTAGGTAGCGCTAATACGGCTAATAGAGCACGGTTGTAACCGCATTGCTTTGCGTTAATCGCCCTTACGGCGCGCGGGGACGGAGTAATGGAGGTGAAACAGCGTTGGGCTCGGAAGCGGGCCCGGTTGATAGGACGGAAGCGGGCTCCGATGCCTGCAATTGGACAGCCATTCGGATCGCTGAGCCTGACCCAGCGGCTATGTCGGCGCCGGAACCTCACTGATGGTTGTATGCGGTCGAGACCAGAAGAACGCCCCCACCCCCGCACATCCGCACCATATCCCTCCGTCCCTCTTCCCCTCTCCTCTCATGGACCCCATCGACCATCGCCACCGCCGCAGCGACGTCGACCATGACCGTGCCCGCGACCTCGACCGCCTGAGCCGCAACGGCAAGCCCGCCCACCACCGCTGCCCCAGCCGCCCGCGCGCAGACACCGGCAGGATGCCCGACGGCGACACCCCCGGCTACACCCTCATGGTCGCTGGCCGCCGCACCGGCAAGACCTCCTTTCTCCGCCTCCTCCTCGACACCAGCAACGTCGCCTCCTCCGTCTCGCGCGACCAGCTCGCCTCCGTCGCGAAGTTCGTCCAGGGCTCCAGCGGCCATACTTCGCATGTCCGGACCGTGTCAATCGACATTGACCTGGCGCCTGACGAGCTCGACGAGGAGCATCCCCTCAACCTCACCCTCATCGACACGCCCTCGCTCGACTTTGCGGACAAGCACGCGTCCGAACGCGCCCTCCAGGACATACTCCGGCACGTCGAGTCGCGTTTGGGGGAGAGCTTGGACGACGTGAGTACTCGCCAGGGCTCATTAGCCGCCCATATCGCTAGGCGCTGACGCCCGCTTCTTCAGGAACGCAAGGCCTATAACGGCGACCACCATGTGCATCTGTACGTCCCCCCCTCTTTCGCGTCTTTCTACCCCATATTTTGCGACCTGGTTTCTGCCCACGGGGACATGCGCTATCGAGGTACGCTCCACCCACAGTAAGATCACCCGCAGAGGTGACCTCACGTTGGGCGGGCGTCGCGTCGATTCAACACCCATATCTGTCCATGAATGAGCGAACAGGAAAAGGCAATCGTTGGAGAAGCAGCGGCACAGGGTCCGCCGGTTCTATACATCCAGTTCACTGCGCATCCGCTAAGGGTACTCCCCGCTTCAAGTGATAAAACTCCTTGCTACATTAGACGCATGTATGCAGTATGCATGACCAACCGGACCGATTTCCCCGATTAGCTTGGCTAGCGAAGCATCTGCTAACGTGTTTTTCCAGATGCGTTTACTTCCTCGACCCAAACTACATAGTACCACCCTCCGTACCTGCACCACCCGCGCCCCTTGTACCACGAGCACGTACCAACAGTCTTTCTACCCATGAGTCAGAACCTGTCATTCTAGACCCTCCGGTCACCAGCAACCCCGTACTATGTCGACCTGTCCTCCCCCACGCCGACGTAGCCGCCATTCGCCGACTATCTGCGCGCGTCAACGTGCTGCCGGTAGTAGCCTGTGCAGATACTCTAACGACTGACCGTCTCACTGCGGTGAAGATGGCTATTCGTAGAGATCTTGCTGAGGCAGGCATCGGCTTCGGCATCTTCGACCTCGACATTCCTCTGTATGCGCAGCTGGAGTCCAAGGTCATGAAGCACAAGACCGAGAACGGCTACATGAAGCATCTCACCGGCCCCGGCAACTCCCCGCCCACCACACCTATCACGCCAACACTCTTGAGGCTACCGTTCTCTCTGATTTCTCCAGATTTGTACTCGCACAGCGACGGTGTTGCGAGAGCTCCGCTGTCGCGTAACGAGCTCGTACAGCAGTTCGCTCCTTCGAAACACATCGCGCACAAAACCCAGACTGCGCCCAAAGTCGTCCGCGGCAAGTTCGTCAGGAACTTCCGCTGGGGTGCACTTGACGTCATGGACGCCAGCCATTGCGAGTTTCTGCACCTACGCGGTGCGCTCTTCCATCACATGGAGGTATAATCATTCGACAGCTCGAGCGCACACAGGATACTCACAACGTTCCGTATCTACTCGCAGACGCTGCAAAAGTACACGCGCGAGTACCTGTTCGAGAAGTTCAAGACGGAGGTGCAGCCGCCCGCTCCAGTCGCCGCAGTGCGACCTTCTCAGCCGGCAGCAGTATCTCGTCTCCCGCCGATGCGGGGGTCCCGGCCTATTCTCGCGATAGACACCGCGCCTTCTCATGCCAGTGCGAACGGGCACCCTCCGCTGTCCGTGCCGCGCTCGGCGGTGACACTCAATGGTGAGCTGCTGTCCGCCCCAATATCGAACATGCACGACCTTTCGCCGAAAACCGTGACCTCCGCAAGTCAGTCACATTCGTTCTTCTATGCGCGTTGGAGTTGGAGTGACGTGGTTTGAGTGCGCGCGGTTACCGTTCCCGGGGGCGTATCATCTGACGGCTTGCTCACGCCGCGCTCTTTACAGGATCCCAACGGCAGCGAGCCAAAAAGATCACGGTGGCGTGCAACTTCTGCAGGTGTAAGTTCCGCATATTCTCAGTGCGCCCATGACTGTGTTCTCACGAGCTCTTCTCGGGCGCAGCGCGGAAGCTCAAGTGCGACGGCGGGCGGCCGGCATGCAGCCAGTGCTACAAACGTTCGAACGCCTGCGACTACACGGCGAGCAACAAGCGCCGGACGTCTGGCAAGCAGCGGAAACAGTACGGCAGCGAAAGCGAGGGTGACAGCCTGGAGGACGGATCTGGGGAGCCGGACCATGTGTCGCAGTCCCCGGAAGTACCCTCGGCTTCGTCCGCACCGCACTCCCGAAGAAGCTCGAACGTGAGCATGCTTCTAGCGGAGCCGCTTCCGCCGTTGAGTGCTGCTGTGGAACCCCGCGAAGAAGCGTCGTCCGTCCTACCGCCGATCACCACTTCTGCGGGCCTGGGCATGCCCCCGACGACCTCGCGCCGACCGTCGCTGAACACGGAGCTCCCGCCGATTGCGACGCTGTCTGCCCCGCCCGGGCCGCAGGAGGACACCCCGATGGTGTCGTCGTACAAGGAGATGGAGACCGTCTCGCGCCGGCGGGCGACGTCGGTGGCCCCGGGGCGCAGCGGACGGGGTGGTGGTGGATCAAAGATCGTCGCGTGCAACTTCTGTCGAGGTACGTCGACGCAGCTGATCTAACCGCAACGGCATAGCATTGACTGATCGGTGTGTTCATAGCGCGCAAGACGAGATGCGACGGAGCACACCCCACGTGCGGGAGCTGCTCGCGGCGATCGTTGCGGTGCAACTACGTCAACGATCCGGCGAAGTCGCGCTCGAAGAGCAGCGGGACGCCCCCGGACGCGTCGGCGTCCGTATCCTCGCGTTCGTCCCCTGCCTCCTCTTCCGCACCCGTCACCCTCGTTTCCGCGAACATCTCCGACGTCAGCCTGCGCCACTTCAGCGAGCTGGACGCCGACATGGCGCAGCAGCCCGCGAAGAAAATGCGGCTCGCTACCGAGCTGAGCGCGCCCTCTATCGCTGTGCTCACTGGCTCGTAGCATGGCCACTATGGACACACCGAATGCCGATATATCCCCTTCCCCGCGAGAGACACTCCTTACCCCCACTTCTCCGTAGCCCCTTTGTGCATACTATACGCGGTACACACTGTACCGGACAGGGACTCCATTTTTGCGCTGACTCACCCAACGAGTAGAAAACACCTCCGCTCCCCTCGCCGCACCCGCGCGCCTCTTGGTTTGACAACGCTCACGCTCCCATATCCATCTTTCTCCGACTCTGTTCTGGGTTTTAGGATGACCGTCGCGATACGCTCGTTGTGCATTGGAACTGTACTATAGTCTCTTCGCCGTCCTTGTTCGCCGCGAGTACTAGCACTGCTGCTTATCTAACACGTCTTGCATCCTCAGCGAACGCGCGCCGTGCTAGGGTAGCTCATGCCACTGCTGTCAGTTATGCTGGCGCCGCTCATTATTCTTCTGGTAAACGACCCATTTGGCAGTATCGTTCCATTGTTATGCGTTGTATGACGGCAGGGAACATGCGAAGAAAAAGTATCACTGACGTCTATGCGCTGTAGTACTAGAAGTGCGACTGCGCGCGAGAACATAAGTTCCGCATTTGGTCAAAGCGCTCAATAGCGCACCATAGCGCGCCGGGTATCGGCCAGTCACTCTTGCACCTACTCTCACAAAGCCGCGCGCGGGCGCAGCTTTGCAAGCTCTTTGTCTCAACCTGTTTGCGCTGGCCGTCTCGTAAAACTTGCTACACTCGTTTCTTGTCTCGTATCCACCACCACCATGTTCAGCTTTCGCCGCAAACCCCAGAAGCCGGCCGACAACGGCGGTCCCCCCTTCATACGCACCTCCCCGTCCCTTCCGGAGCTCTCAGCGCAAGGTATCCCGTGGCCGAGTAACCTCGTCGATGTCTCGGAACTTCCGCAGGATGAGCCGCCGCCACCCAGAGGCGCGGCGAAGACCTCGTTCTCGGCTGCGAGGGGAACTGTGCCGTTCCACAAGCCATGGACTTCCCCCGGAAAGGCTGCCGAAAGCAATGGCACAGGCCCCATTTCTTCGTTGTACATGTCACACCCGCCTTCGGCATTCGAGTCGCGGAAGGGCTCTCTGCAGGGACGCACGCGTCCGAGCCAGAGGCGTGCTCGGAACCCGACGACGTTCAACCTCATGGTGCGTGTTGTTCGCGTCCGGTTATGCAGCTGTCGGGATTTACAATGAGCTCCCTGGCTCACTTAGGTCGCCGGAGGCCAGGGCACGGGCAAGACCTCTCTGTTGCGACTCTTGTTGGACACCGCGGATATTTCGCCCACCGCCACCGCCGACCAGAAGGCTGCCATGGCACGCTTTCTACGTGGCACTCCGAAGCAGACTGAGCAAATTCAGACGGCATGCGTCGAAATATGCGAGAGCAAGTACGACCGCTTGCTGTTCTCGGTCATTGACACGCCCGGACTGGACTTCCGAGAGGGCCACGAGCTCAAGCTGGATCGCCAAGTGTCGTCTATCGTGAAGTACTTGGACTCGCAATTTTCTGACACCCTTAACGAGGTAAGCTGATTACTACACCGGTATAACCGAGGGTGCATTCCTTCCCGTCCCTTAAAGCATGGGACGCGCCCTGGGTTATTCTGGAATGCTTTCCGTCGTGTGAGCGGACCGGCATGATGCTGATCTACAATCCAGGAATCCAAGGTCATACGTCAGAGCAAGGGCGACCAACACATTCATTTGTGAGCATCTTGTCCGTTTCCTCCCTACGCGTCACTGACCGGCGTTTTAACAGATGTATCTACATGGTCGACCCCTCTTCGGTGACTACCGAATCTGCTCGGCGCGCCCAGTCGTCGTACCCGTCCAAGGTGCGATCGGAGGCAACCATCTCCTACAAACCGCCGGACCTGTCTTCCATGTCCGAAGACTCGGACTCCGAGGATTCAGACGACGAATCCGGCGGGGGTTTGACCATGTCTCCGGTGGACGTCCGCATTATCCGACGCCTCTCGGCGCGTGCCAACGTCCTGCCTATCGTCGCAAAGGCGGATTCCCTGACGGACAGCAAGCTTGCGGCGATCAAGAGGGTCATCCGCCGCGACCTTCTCGCTGCGAAGCTCGACTTTGGCGTATTCGGCCCCGCGTTGGTGGCAGAAGAGCGCGCGAAGAGTGCGGCCAGCCACACGAACGGCGCCGAGAACGGCAACGGCGCAGCCGCAGAGGAGCAGAGCGAAGACGACGGCGACGAGCCCGCCGAACGGCAATCTCGCCCGGTCATCAAGCTGCGCCCAACCCGCCTCGCGCGGACTCGGTCTTCGCGGTCGCGGTCGCGCGTCGACCTCACAGACACGCCCGAGGAGCCGTCTTTCGAAATCGACGACACGGAGAGCGTAGCGAACGTACGGTTCTCCGCGCACATAATCGCGAAGACGGACCTGAGCGCCAACCTCCCGTTCGCGATTATCACGCCTGAGCACCACCACCGCCGGCGCACGCCTAAGAGCGCGGTCACGTCGCCGTCGGCTGCGAGCGCCAATGGACACGCGCATATCAACGGACAGGCCGCAGACGACCGGTCGGTGCACACTGTGTCACCCTCTGAGGATGGACACGCGCCATCGGTCGCCCATTCTACCATGACGTCGCCCACCAGCCCCTCTACTCCTGCGTCGGTCCGCAACTTTGCATTCATGGCGGGACCCCCGGCGGACCTTAGGGGTGTGTTCGTGCGCAAGTTCAGATGGGGCACTGTCGACGTCCTTTCCCCGGAGCACTGTGACTTTGCCGCTCTCCGCACTGCGGTCCTCTCGACGCATATGAAGGTGAGGGGATCATTTGATATTGAATCATGCCGTTAGCTAATATAACCACGCAGATGCTGAAAATCAGGACCAAGGAAGTACTGTACGAGAGGTACAGAACTGAGAAGCTGCTCGCCAGGCGCGCAACGCGGAATATCGGCGAGGAAGAGGCCCGCCGGTTGTTTGAAGGTCCGTATATTCCGCAGCCCCATTTCCGCCTCTCAGAAGTCTCATCCGTGTTCTCTGCAGACTTGGGACTTTGATTTATCCGGTAAATGTCTGTGTTCGCTGCCCCTTTGTACATGCCTACCCTCGATTGTGCCCTCTAACCTGCTGCTATGTATACCTTCGCTCACCGCGCCAACCGTGCCTATCATACCATTTACCTTCTGTTTGTAGTTTGCATACCTTTCCGGCGCATGATACCGCTTTGACCTTCTATAGTGATTATTCTCGGTTGCGTACACACCGTCCCCTCGCCTAAGTACATAGGATCCGGATGATTCATTGTATGGAATGCTACTGTTTCTTCTGCTGCGATGCCAGTGCATCTACTTCCTCCTTGGACAGTCCATCCAACCTCACCAACAAGTAGTCAACCTGAGAGACTATCGGTGAGTAGCGCTAGAAGCAAAGAAACATTGGGCATACCTCGACTTCTTTCGTCAAGGGAATGATGTAATGCTCATAGAGCTCGACCACGCCGTCGACGTCGATCTTCCGCGTAGCAGAGTCGTTCAGGGGCTCGCCTTCTGGCGAGAAATTGAGCGCGTAGAGGTTCGCCTTCTTCCGCAGCCGCTGCAGAAGCTTCTTCTCGACCTCGGGTTTGGTGATCAGCGCCGCGAGCGCGTCGCGATCCCGGGAGTGGATGTGCGGGATGAACGCGGCCGGGTCATCCCTGAACTTGCTCTCCGACACGAACTTCCCTGCGTGCGCGTCGGGCCCGGAGCCCCTCTATCAGCACGCAACAGACGCAGACACAGGCGGGCGAGGCGCCTGGCGCGCGCGGGGAGGCGACGTACCGTAATGCACGCGCTTCGAGATTGCCTGGAGGACCTCGAGGTCGACGAAGGCCGCGCTGCCGTAGTTCCCGTCGTCCTCGAACTCGGCGTCCCCCGTTATGCCGTTCGCCCGCTTCTGCGCGGAGAGCGCGAGCGTCGCCTGGCGTGTGATGCGCGGGACGATGGACTGTACATAGAAGGAGAGGATGGACGCGTTCACGTTCACCTTGTTGGGGTAGAGGATCGTCGGGTGCGGGAACGGCTTGAGTATCGGCGGGGGCAGGTCGGCGGGGTCGGTGAACGGGTATTCCTCTGGGCTGAGCGCGAGGGAGATTGAGCGTGAGGTCCGCTGCCGGGGAGGCAGCGCGGCTCACCTGGTGTACCTCCTCGCCTTTGCTACAAACCACCATCAGTCAACTACTCCGCGAACAGATCGGGCTGGGCCTTGCTCACAGTGGAAGGACTCGGTCTCCTTCAAGAACCAGTCAAGCCAGCTTCCGTTGAAGCCGATGTCCTTGAGTTCCTGGAACTCTCCCCGGCGGTAAGCCTTTGGGTTGTGCGCGAACTGGGCGCGCTCGATCAGCGAGAAGATGATCGTATCCTCGAGCCGGGTGAGGATGGCGCGAATGCGGTCGAGAGACAGCGGGTCGTCGCCGAGGACGAGATTCTGCACCGGGAGGGGGACGCTCGCCATCGGGTACGTGCTAGAGATGTAGTGGGGTGGTGGGATGGGGGCGTCGACGCCAGACGTGAGTGACTCCTGCCGCACGCCGCTCGCGCTGGGACTATATGCGCTGCACGAACGCGCGGCTCGTCCTCACGCCCCTCCATCGCCTGCCGCTCTCTCGGTCTTTGTGCGCGTCGTGTGAGCAGCGTTTACGGCCGTTCTCATACCTTGTCTGGACATGCGCGGTGGTGAGTAGCGCTACTTACCTCCGGATATCAGAGGCCCCGCGCTAACCTTCGCTATATAACCCCATAGGATGAACACCTCGCGCCTACCTATATACAATGTATCGTCGCAGATAAGCCACCTTAATAATCCGCAGACGTCTACATGCTCCCATGCCACCAGCGGTGAGTGGGAGAAGCTGGTCTCCCATGTGCATGGCACAGACACGCGCTCTGAGCGATTGCGACGTCGGCGTTATGCGTCATTTAGGACCTACATCGACTAATTGACCAAACGAGGTCATGTCATGTCATGCATCCCTCGCTATCTAAACCCCCATGCTGGTCGACTCGGAGGTGAGGCATTGTGGTTACTGGCTGTGGAAAAGGGACTCCGTTCTGGCTCTGACAGTCTAGAGCATTTCCAATTTTTCTAGTGAACTTTCGAAGTCAATCTCCTGGTCTTGGCTCGCGGCCCCTGTTCAATTGGAACATATGGTACCAGGCCTAGGAGCCAAGATGACGCACGTTGGAAGTACCGCAATTCCCCAGGATCGGCACGGTGGACCATCGCGAAGGCGCAAGACGGTCCAGCCCACGCCCAAGACGCAGCACCGACTTTCCTCTGCGAACTCACGGAGCAAATCCTGTACCCACTCCCATAAGGTCCCGACGCCCAGGAAGTGCCCCGTGGAGCCCGTCTTCCCGAAACTCTGGCTGCGGCGGCGCCTCGCGCGAACGCAGCCAATACCAAAACGCACCAGCGCGCCGCCCGGGTTAAAGGGAGGTTATCGACCTCCTATCGCACGTACCTGTTCAATCGCTGTGTGAAAGCGCCCTTCTCATTCCGTCGAGAAGCCCCGGCACGCTCCCAGACCTTCGTCGAGTGACCGTGTGTGGTGGAGCGGGGCGGTCGCGGTCCGTCTCCTTGACCTTCGAGCGGGCGTACTGGACTCCGGACGATAGTCTGTGTATATGGCCATTGGCTACTCGGAACGGAGCCTGCCTCTATTCTAAGCCTATAAATGCTGCAGGGGTTCTGAGCATTATGGATAGGCTTGTAGTCATCGTCGCCTTCCGATAGCTCCTCCAAACCCACCATGGCCCCCGCAGTGACTTTCGACTCTCAGCCCCTCGAGGCGCCTCTTCTTCTCAACAAGACCGGCGTAAAGAGTGAGGTGGCCAACGGCGCCTATGATGTCAAGGAGGACTACAATGGTGACTACCGCTTTGCGCCCATCGAGGAAGCGCAGGTGTCGAGGGCGATGATCAAGCGGTGAGTATCTCTAGTCCTTAGCTCAACGGTCGAATGCGATATTGAACTGTATGTCAGCTACTTCAACCTGATGTATGAGCGCGCCATTTCGGACGTGGTGATCATCGGTGCCGGTAGCGCAGGTCTCTCTTGTGCGTACCACCTCGGCAAGACGCGCCCCGACCTCAAAATCACGATCATTGAGGCGAGCGTTGCTCCCGGTGCGTAATATACAATTCCCTCCCCACAGCACACTGAACAAGCTGTACAGGTGGAGGCGCCTGGCTCGGAGGACAGCTGATGACACCCATGGTCGTCCGCAAGCCCGCCGACCGCTTCCTCCAGGAGCTGGGCGTGCCGTTCGAGGACGAAGGCCCGTTCGTGGTTGTGAAGCACGCCGCGCTCTTCACCTCCACCATCCTCTCGCGCGTGCTCTCCCTCCCGAACGTCGCGCTCATGAACGCGACCGCCGTCGAGGACCTCATCGTGCGCCCGGACGCCCTCAATCCTGGGGCGCAGCGCGTCGCTGGGGTCGTCACGAACTGGACGCTCGTCGCGCTCAACCACGACACGCAGTCGTGCATGGACCCGAACGTGATCACCGCGCCCGTCGTCGTGAGCGCGACGGGCCACGACGGCCCGATGGGCGCGTTCTCCGCGAAGCGCCTCGTGAGCATGGGGCTCCTCAAGGAGCTCGGGAACATGCGCGGGCTCGACATGAACCGCGCGGAGCCCGCGATCGTCAACGGCACGCGCGAGGTCGCCCCCGGGCTCGTCATGACCGGTGCGTGCTCTATATAGTGTGTTTGGAGAGGGTGGGGAGGGGACTGACGGGCTGCGATGCGCTGGCAGGTATGGAGCTGTCCGAGCACGATGGCTCGAACCGCATGGGACCGACGTTTGGCGCGATGATGGCGAGCGGTATCAAGGCGGCGCGCGAGGCTATCCGCATCATCGAGTCTTCGCAGATCGTCGACGGCAAGATCGTAGCGTGAACAGAACGCCGAGTTGCTTAGGCGGAGGGTAGGAAGAAATAAGTCCATCCAGAACAGTGTATATTCCTAAACAACTTGCGTGTAAACCCAATGTACATTGACCCCCACTCACCAACACTGGCGCATGCGCTCTGCTAGTCTGAGTCTCTAGTTTTGGAGCCTCGGTGCGTGGCGCGACCGCTCGGAACCGTCTGCAACGGAAGTAGCAAAAACGCTATGATAGTCGTACAACACCGTGCCTGATAACCGATTAGAAAGAGTGCAGAACGAAACAGGAATCGACCTAGATGATGCGCATAGATGATGAGGGAGCACTGCAAGCCGAGCGGATATCGGGGACGGGGGGTGGAGCAAGCGAGCAAGTGGGTGCAGAAAGGCGGGCAGCGGGCGGGGACATGAAGAGAACTATGTGCAGCAACGCCGGCCGCCTGTGCTAGAGTTCAAGTTCAAGTTCATCGGAAGAGGGGATGGGACGGGGGATGGAGAAGTCGCGAGACCACACTGAGAGGGATATAGGGGTGAGGGCATAAACAGTCAAGTGTACCATATGATCATCCGGCAGATTCGTTTGGAGAGCGAGCTGAAACTTGGTTCTATCGAGGACGGGCGATCCATTGGAGAAGACGGCTCGCCGCGGGGCGTATTCGTGTGGTGAAACGCGGTCGGGACGACGAGCCCGTGTCTACCCACATATATTTAAGGCCGTGGCAGGGTTCATGAGCTCCGCGGCGGACTATCACGCCCTCACGGCCCTCGGCACAGGCGCGGGCTTCTTCGCAGGGGTCGCGCCCAGCGCCGCGCTTGCCATCTTCGCCGCACGCAGCAGCGCGCTCTTGTTTGTGCGCGGCGCCACGGTCGGCGCCTGCAAGCTGCTCGGGCGCGGGCGGGGCTTTGCCGGGGCCACAGGCTCCTCCTTCGGGGCGGGGGTAGGCCTGGCCCTGGGAACAGTGGGGGCGGTCTTCGACGCGAACGCGGCCGATGGGCGCGGGGCGGGTCTCGTGGTAGAGGTGAGCGAGGTGGTACGAGAGAGCGCGAGGCGGGCGGGGGCGGGGCCCGCCGTTGTGGATGCAGCGGAGGGCGGGCGGGAGAATGTCGGGCGCGCGGAGCTGGTGCCGCTGAAAGACTGGCGTGAGGAGGATCGCGAAGGGCCTGTTTGTGAAGGCTGGCGGACTGGGGTGCGTGAGACGTGAGTAGGCTATATGTGCGGAAATATCAGTTGTGCTCACATCCGAACGAAGAAGGCGGCGCGGAGTCCTTCTGCTGTCTGAGTGCCGCGCTCCTGTTCGTCCTGGGAGCGACAGCTGGCGGGCGCGTGCTCGCAACAGCAATCGACTCGCGCCTCTTGTGCCCCGGGACACCGTCGAACGTATGCTTAGGGTCCTTCCCATTGGCACTGGCATCGGAGTTGGCAGTTACCGGGCGCCTCGGCTTTTCTTCAGGCTTGATACCCAGTCTGAGCGAGGCAGCACGCGTCATGCGCGGGGCGACGACCGGGGGCGCGGTGGACGCGACGGAGATGGTCTCGGAGCGCTTGTGCCCGGGCACGTTCGCGAACGTCTGCGCGAGGCGTTCTTTGGTGGGCGGGGCGCGTTTGGGAGACTCATAGGATATGCCAGCGCGAAGTGCAGCTGCCTTGGACATACGCGGGACGATATCGGGCGCTGCATGCGTCGCGGGCAGGTTGCGCGCCTTGAACGCAGGCTTACCCAGGCCATGCGCAGAGGTCCCAGCAGTTGAGGACGCGGGGTACCCGTTATCTGAACGGCCATTCCGAAGCGCGGAAAGCACGGACGACGAGACCGAGCGGAGCGAGCCCGCGGGTACATTATCGTAGTCGGGGTGGCCAACGTCGGGGAGCTCGGTCGTGGGGAAGGGGGGCGAGGACGCGAAGATGGCCTGGATCTGCATCTCCGCGATCTGCGCGTCCGTGGAGCCCATAACGGCGTTCTGCGCGGCGGAGAGGCCGTACAGCGCGCGGATGGAGTTGGGGGTGTCGTTGCGCGCGACCTCGGGGTCGGGGTCGCCCATGAGCGAGTGCCAGACCTCGACGGCGCGTCTGCGCTCGAGCACATATACCCACACCGGGCCTCTGCGGATCGGGGGAGGGTGCGCGTTAGGGATGGAGGGACACGAACAGGGGACGGAACTCACTCGGCGAAGGACTCAAAGTCGGGCCCGAACAGCTCGAATAGAGTATCTGGGTCGGTCTCTACGTCAAATTCCATCTGGCGCTCCTTCACGATCTGCGACGCGAGGCACGGTAAGCATTGCAGGGGCATGCCACAGGCGATTCCTAGGGACGCACCTCGAAGCCAGCGTCGGAAATGCGCAACTCGATATCGAATCTATGGTTGAGCGCATGGTGCTTGATAATGGCGACCGTGCGCGTCGGGAGAGAAACAGGGCTGGATACAATCTCAATCTCTCCGGGAGCCTGTGTGGGGGAAGAAGGGGCGGACATTGCTGGTCGGTTTAGAAGGCGGGAAGGAAGGAAGTGGCGAGCAGATAACTATTGACAGAGCGAAAGAGGACGAAGAGGCAAGCCAGGAGAACAGATAAAAGAAAGCAAGGTGAACTGGATGGCCCCGGAGGAGGTCTGAGGAATCGTATGTTCAAGTTGGAGGACGTTCGGGAGAAGGAGGCTTGGGAGGCTGGCGCATCTCCCGCCTCTGCATCATTCCCTCAGGGACAGCGTGTTTGCCCGGACCCCGGACACATTTCCATTGCCCTTTACACCCGTGACAGACCCTTTTCGTTCTCTCTGCCCTGTTCTGTCTTCCAGAAAGACGAAAACATACGCTGACTCTCCCCCTGCGATATGTCGCCCGGTGATGTCCTGCACGAGCCATGTCAGCCCCTGTTCGGCCCAGCAAGCAGTATTCGGAGTCGTGACCGACGCGTCCAAACGCGTTACGTCACGGTCACTCTCACCTTGACAACATGGGCGTCTTGTCGAGGACCTCCGGCTCCGCCTCTTTCCTCGACTCCCGTTCCGTCTTCCTTCTCTGTTCACGTTTCGACATACTGTGCAGTCAGCCTGTTCTTGCAGTATCAGATGCCTCGGATTGATAAATACTGCTCAGCTGCTTGCTAGGTGGACCCACATGATAAACTCACTCGATGACCTTCAGGTCCACACAACGACACAACAAGACCATATATGATCTTCTCGGCAAATATTCATCTCGGGATCGGGCCCGAGTTATGTTGCAACCTGCGCCGAAGTCGTCCGCCTCTTCACTGGCTTCGAAGGCGCGAACCCGGCTACATTCTGTTCAGTGTCAAGGGTATCAATATATGCATATGTCGGAAGTGCCTCTCATGGCGGAATGTTTACGCTTTACATGCCATATATAGACAACCTGCTCTGTGGTGCACATAAGTAAAGCCTCTTAGATCCTAATGGTTTGTAGCAGCTCCCTTGCGCTCATGCAATTCAGACCGATAGCAAGAGTGGAATCATGTCCGCGCCCGTGAGCGTAGAATGCCCTTGATCCCATATTCAAAGCACCCTTGAATCGAACGGTCTATTTGCGTCTATGACGACTACTACCCTTTCATTTCGGCACATTTTATTCGCCCCCGTGCTGCGTCATAGAACTAGATGGATGCGGTGTCTGTCGGCGGTGGCCATGGTAGAACGTCGGGGGCCACTGCGGTGCGCAGGCGGAGCGGGGCGGGTCTCGTGATCGGGGGCTGGGGTACATTCTAGGCGCCTAGAGGGACGGCTTGGAGAGTAACGTCCATCCCAATCCCGAGCATTACTAGGACGCCCTCTCGACCCACGCTGCACGCTGCACCATCTCCTTACTCTCTCCCGAACCACCATGATCGCCCGAACGCATGCCCGCAGACTTCCCACCCTCGTCGCTCGCTCGCTCTCTACAGAGGCTGCACCATCGTCCGGCACACATCCCCCGCCTCCGCCCCCGCCCTCTAAGCACCCTTCTTCGAAGCCACTAGCTCGAACTCGTCTGAACCCCGCTCCCCGACCTACTGTGTCTCGTCGGCATGAGGTGCTCTCCTCGCTACCGCCCTCGTTCGGCCGCAACCAATTCTTGCCGGTCACCGACTCGACGCGTGCCCTGCTCGAAGGTATCGTCGCCAAGTTCGACGCTCCTATCCGGTATGCCTTCGCGTACGGCTCCGGGGTGTTCGAACAGGATGGGTACTCGACCAGCAGTCCGTCGTCCACCGGCGGCCCCATGCTAGACTTCATGTTCGCCGTCACGCACGCGGATCACTGGCACTCGATCAACATGCACCAGAACCCGTCGCACTACCCGCTCGGCGCTCGTATGCTGGGCTCGTCGTTTGTCGCGAAAGTGGAGGAGATCTCGCCTGGAGTGTGGTTCAACTCCATGGTCCGGATGGACGGCGTGGTACGTCCCGTCCCGTAGCCTCGTGTTTGCAAAGACACAGGCTTACAGTGCTGGCGTAGACGATCAAGTACGGAGTGACGACAGTGGATAACCTCTGTTCGGACCTGCTGAACTGGAAATCGCTCTACCTGTCCGGGCGCATGCACAAGCCCATCCGGATTATAAAGGACGACGCACGCGTACGACTCACTCAGCAAGTCAACCTCACCTCCGCGGTGCGCACCGCGCTCCTCACGCTCCCCGACGCGTTCTCCGAGCGCGAGCTCTTTGAACGCATCACCGGCTTCTCATACGGCGGCGACGTGCGTATGCTCCTTCCCGCGGAGAACCGTGGCAAGGTCGGGAACATCGTCCGCAAACAGGCCCCTCAGTTCAAGGAGCTCTACCACCGGCTCGTCGTCGCGCTCCCCGGCGTGCACTGGCCCGCACACGCGGACACGATCCAGCAGGACACGTCCCCGCACGCGCGTGCGGCGCACCTCCGCAAGCTTCCGTCAAACCTACTGAAGGGCGTAACGGCCCGCTACGCGTCGCAGCCCTCGACGCCCTCACGCGAAGCGGACGAGACCGTGTACTGGACGAAGCTTGCGGGCGACCCCGGGCTGCCGAACATCATCGAGAAAGGTGCGCGTTTCCCCCGCGCGCGTCCGTTTGATCTAGCCGCGTGCTGACACATCTGGCGCCCAGAGCTGCACGGAATTGTGCGGTACCCGTCGGCCGTGCAGACGCTCAAGGGCCTCGTCAGCGCAGGGCCCGTGAAGAGTCTCCGCTACTCAACCGAGAAGGTCAGCAAGTGGTGGAAGGGCTCGAGCGCGAGCGCGTCGTCATGATAGTGCGAGCAGTAGGCGCTCGTGCGGGTCGCGGCGGAATTCAACTTCAACACGGATGCATTGGGGCTGAGTACACTCTATCGGGATCGCCTCCCCGCATATCTCATACGGTATAATATTAGCTACACTTAGACCCATCGGCTGCGGCGCACGGCTTAGTCTGGCATCTGTATCAATAATATTGGGACTCACACGCTCCACTTGCTCATACTTATAGATATTTCATGAGGCAAGCGTGTCTTAGACCGAAGAGCTGTGAACTTAGGGACATGATCGGGCCTGTTGGCCAGCTGAAGTGGGTGTAAATGAAGCACACCCACATGAGGTGAGCGGGTGAGTGAGTCAATTGATATTTGGGACTCGACCAGCATACTGATAAAAGACTTCTTGTTTTTGCAGGTTTCGGCTTTTCGGTGCCACACACGACAGGACTACTGGCCCAACAGGGTTGACCCAACTCTGAACATTTCAACATATTGTACATTACATTCTCTGACTGCTTGACTTCTGGTTTCCGCACTCTGCTTCTGACGTTCTTGCCTTCGTCATACTATCACCTCGCAGGGCTCACGCGTCCCGGAGGGCCTTCCTGAGGTCGTCAATCTTCTTGACCGCCGGGCGGTTCATCATCGCCTGGTGCCACCTAAAGATTGGCGAAAAGCAACGTGGGTGCCAAGTACCCGTTAGGCCTCAGGCCCCATGAACGCGGCCGTGAAACTCACTTGTGGACGGACGGGAAATCTTGGGCAAAGTTGAACCCTTCGTAGCCGCGCATGATAGGCCCGTCGACGGCGGTGACGTTCCACCTAGTGCATACAACGTATCGGCGCCGGACGTGCAGGACGACTGTCGACCAAACGACTCACGGGATGAAGCTGAGGTCGGCGACGGTGCGCTTGCCGTCGACGAGCCACTCCTGCTTGGAGAGCACGCTCTCGAGGACGCCGAAGATGCGCAGGACCTCCTTCTGGTACCGCTCAATAGCGCTCGGGATTTTCTCCGAGTGCTGGCGGAGGAACCAGAGGGCTTGGCCAAAGTACGGTCTAGTAAGGGATAAGGTCAGGCTAACGGTGTGTTGTTGTGCAGCGAGGGTGGACAGACCCTTGACCGGACGCCTGGAACATGAGCCACTGCAGCTGCGTGGTCTTGTCCTCGAGGGTCTTCATGGACAGCTTGCCCTCGGGGTCATACTTGTCGGCGAGGTACGTGATGATCGCGTTCGACTCCCTGTCGTCGCGCTCTGGTCAGTCCTACCCCATTGCTGACACCACACTGTTCAGGCGGCGCTCGCTCACCAGACGACGAAGTCGTTGTTCCCGTGGTCGATGAGCGTCGGGATACGCCCGTTGGGGTTGTACTTGGTGTGCTCGGGCTCCTTCTGCTCGCCCTTGTACAGGTCGAGGTAGATCGGCTGGTATTGGAGGCCGAGCTCCTCAAGGACGATAGCGGTCTTCCTATCATATCAACCAGTGAGCGGTGAGTACGCATGCCAATATTGTCGTGGGGGTGGGGGTGGGGGTGACATACCATCCGTTCGTGCCGCCTTTGGACATGTACAGAGTGAGGGGGGCTGCTTGAGACATGGTGTGCGTGCGGTGGTATGACGAGTGCTTGAGATTCGATGGTGTAGAGGATGCCTTGTCCAGCCTCAGCCGTCACCTTTTTGTGCTCGACTGTACCAGCGCTCAAATCGTTTCCCATAGTACACAACGATACACGCCCAAGCAAAAAGTGACTCGACACCTGGCAGTGCTTCGATCCCCTGGAAAACACGCTTCATCAGCCGCAGTACACGTTCTCAGACTGCGATCTGCCACCCTCAGCAGATCGTCCCGTCGCCAGCATGGTCGGACCCTCGGCGAGCTTCTAGACCGCGGAGTCGTGGCGTCGTGCATATCCGTCCCCTCATGGAGACAGGTGTCGTCATGCCAACCCTTGAAGCTTCAGCAGCGGTCCGTGCACTGCCTGCGCCGTGCTTTGTGTGATCAGGCTGACACCCACCGGGAGAATGCAGGCAACGTTCAACAAGATCCGTACCGAGTCTATCCGGATTGCGGACAGACTTTCGCAAAACCGTTCTCGAATGGCGGCAACGGTGGCGCAGAAAAACTCGCGCTACGTTCTCTGCCGGGTGGAAAGCTCTTCTGGGCTGACCCGCCAAGTTATGGACCGGCTGGTGTCCGACATAAAGAGTCCACAAGTAAGTGACAGTGCCGGATCGCCACGTAGGTCACCGGCGTGGTGGATCGGGTGTCTCGTCCGAAAAGTATATCTCAGAATACTAGCGAATAGCGAGTTTTGCAATGGTCAATGCAGTGGTGGGTCACACACAGCAGCGGCAACAGTAGTCGACGGTGACTCGAATGTGAGCCTGCGCTAAACTGCCTGGATGATGATGTCAACGAACCATTACAGCTGCCATATAGAGAAGGGCGCTTCCCGCGTGCCATGGGCGCCTCCGGTTGAACATGATCGTTCTGCCCTTGTGCAGCCACCCCGAGGACCATTGCAGTCCGTTCGCTTGGCATGGCTCAAAATATGCGAAGATGGATATCCCCGCTAAGTGAGTGGGGACGAATTATTCTTATCATGTCCCGCGCAGCACACAGAGATTTAAACTACTCAACAGTCGGACTTGGTCGGACAGTTCAAGTTCAATTTACGCGTTCCCCTCGGCGTATCAGCCGCCGCCGAGTCTCCCCTGGTCAAGGACGTGAGGCACAACTATCCGTGGCGCGGTTGTCTATCACTTTGCGCAGGCCGACTAGAGCGTGTACTGGTGGGTTGCCCTCAACTACTCACCAGCAGCAAGGTGCACGTTTCCCTCAGTCAGATCCGTGCTCGATGAAACCGCAGAGAATTGTTCCGTCAAGTTTGACACTACCGTTTCCGATATTCTAGCTAAAGCACTCCCAGGCAGATGTTATTGCGAGACTCAAACGCTCACGGGACGCTTGGTCTTCCTGAGGTCATCTACCTTCTTGATCGCAGGGCGGTTCAACATTGCGTAGTGCCATCTGGACGGTGAAACGCAGCGTGAGTACATTTGAACGTTCCTTGTACTCTGTGGATGTGACATAGAACTCACTTGTGGACCGAAGGGAAGTCCTTCGCGAAGTCGAATCCCTCGTAGTCGCGCAAGATAAGTCCGTCGACGGCAATAATGTTCCACCTAGTAAGGTGATTGATACATCAGGCGTTATGGTCTCCAGAACCATGCACAACGGAAACTCGGACGTACGGGATGAAGCTCAGGTCCGCGACGGTGAACTTGTCGCCGAGGAGCCACTCCTGCTTGGAGAGCACGCTTTCGAGGACGCTGAACACGCGCAGGGTCTCCTTCTGGTACCGTTCGATCGCGCTGGGGATCTTCTCAGGATGGGAGCGGATGAACCAAACGGCCTGGCCGAAGTAGGGCCTGACAGTAGGGTGAGCCCCACATCATGGTCAGGGTGCGACGAGACAAGACATACCCTTGTCCGGACGCCTGGAACAGGAGCCATTGCAGCTGCGTGATCTTGCCCTCGAAGGTCTTCGGCGACACCTTGCCCTCGGGGTCGTACTTGTCCACGAGGTACGTGACGATCGCGTTGGACTCCCTATGGTTGCACCCCGTTCAGTCACATGCCAGCGCTGATACAACATCCTGCAGAATGTGCTCGGCGTCTCACCAGATGATGAAGTCGTTGTTCTCGTGATCGATGAGCGTTGGAATGCGTCCGTTGGGGTTGAACTTCGTGTGCTCAGGGTTTCTCTGCTCGCCTTTGTCCAGGTCGAGGAAAATAGCGTGATATTCGAGACCGAGCTCTTCGAGCACCATGGCGATCTTCCTGCAATCGTCAAAGGTGGGCTTTCCGGTATCAAACGTGGCGTGCAATGTAACGCACCAGCCGTTGGTGCCGGTGTTAGACTGGTAAAGGGTGAAGTGAGGCATGAGGGCGTGCGGCTGGTGGCTCAATGAGGTCAGTGGGGATGCGATGGCGAGGATGCTTTTTACGGCCCTCGCCTCTCGTCCCTTTATGCGTCGTCCGAGCGTTCTTTTGAGCTGATAGTGCCTGCAATCCAGACTTCTACAACAAGTCTCGAGACCTGCTTGGATCCCTTGCTCAGTAAGCCGCAGTCGCCGTCCCTCGCACGATGATGCTCCCGGGGCTCGCATCCTGGGCGACGTGACCCGGCGGGGTTCCTGCAAGAGACTTCTGGACCACATCATGGAGTCATGGATGGCGTCCTGTCACGAAGATCGCGCCTCGCCATGGGTCGAGTGCGGGCGTGCGCTCCCTTGTGCCTTCCATCGAGCAACGACCCATGTTCTTTCCAGGTCATCTGCTGGGGCTGATTCAGTGATGCACCACACCGACCGGTGCATGACTACTGCGCTCAAGATTGGTAAGGATCTTCGAGTTCATGGAGGAATACTGAGTAAGCGTGGAGTCTAGAAATGAAAGGTGAACCGAAATAATTTGGTCTGCGGTCAAAATAATCCTCCTGAACTGTCGCTGAACTGTCGAGCTTCAACCGCAAGCGACGCGTGAAAAGTAATGTATACTCCTTCTACGCCAAATAAGAGCGAATGGTCAGCTTCGAACGGGTTGCATCTGCGACGCGTATGTGGCCGTGGCGAATTTGAAGAAGAATGCCACCGTTGGCGAACCACTACGATTGCCTGTTTTGGAAGGGCGCTTCCTAGAAACTACGGGCGCTTATGAAATCATCCTACGCAGTCTCCGCGATTTCGAGGATCATCGCAGTCGCTCGCACAGCCCGGTCGCCTGGCATCACTTGAATCATTTCGTTTAGTATGCATATCTCCGATACGCTACTGAGGATGCATTTCTGATTCTCTAACGCAGCGACCTCCATCTTCTGGGAATGGAAGGCGAACAAAAGTTCGAGGGCGCAGAAGGCGACCGCCAATTTGAGAGAGCATACAACGATGACATCAAGCTATATGCAACTTTCGAGGATCACGATCGATTCATCACCCTAAGAGACCAATTACTCGCTGTAGATCTATACGCCGAGCCCAGCGGGGACGCTGACAGGCTTGAATGGCTCTTACACAGGAATATCACTTTGATCGTAAGCCCCATCTCTTATACAGCGTCCACAAGCTTATAGGATTGCTTCAGTTCGACCAGTACCAGGAACAAGCATACCTGCTGGATCCATATCTGGAACAGCTCTTCGCACCAGTAGTCGAGACGCTCAAGACTCACGCGAAGAAGTTCGTGAGCAGCAGCTCCGTCACCGTCTCGAAATGGCGGTTACACCGGCTTTCGCTGCTGGTGTACCACTTTATAAAGTTTCGAGGCTATAAGACCATGAGTCAGTCTTCTTTCCTTTTGACTTGGGCGTGACGGATCACTCACTTCATTCCAGCGAGGTTCTTCCCTCACGAGATCGCGGACCTGTCTGTCGTCCTGGACTACATCAGCGCGACCAACAGCCCTGTTCAGGAGATGCAACAGTGGCCGCTGCGCTACGCCATGCTCTTATGGCTTTCCCTCATCTGTATGATCCCTTTCGATCTGGAGCAGTTCGACGAGGTCGGACATTCGGGCGAGACCGCCTCCAGGATCGAGGCTGTGGCCAAATCGTTCTTGGGTCGGGCAGGCGTTGATCGCGAGGGTGCAGCTTTGCTACTCTCACGGCTGTACATGAGGTAATCTTTGCGCCATCTTCTCGGCGCGTATTGCACTGATTCGCAACAGGAAAGATATGGCCTCGAAACTTCCGGTGTTTCTATCGTATGCCACGTCTCAACTCGAAGGGCTATCGGACGCCTTCATGGTGACTAGATCCCTTCTTTAGGTCGGAGAGAGGACTGATGTGTTTAACGCGCACGTAGGGCTTGGGTATCATGCGTGTCATCTGCGAAGTGATGAAGCTAGGGGCTGCCGAAGAGGTGCAGGCGCAGAAAGAGTCTCTACTTCAAGTCACACAAACTTTAGCGGGTAACCGGACGCTCGTGGCCAACACGGCGATTCGGAAATTGCGCACCAAAGCCATCGCGAGAATTGTGATTCGGCTCCTCCCCGCCAAGATACGGAGGCTTCATGCGAAAGGTAAACCATAAAACGACACATTTGGAGGCTACAGCTCATCAATCGTTGGAAGGTCGTGCTTTGGGATCGGAAGGGAACGTTGGGGCCGAAGCCGTCATCGACGAAGACTTCGACGTTCCCGAAGAGACCGAAACCGTTTTGGAAGACCTATTCAAAGCTCTTCGTGATACGGTGAGCGCCCTTCTTCATATATCAACCCGCAAAGAGTTAAAAGGAGGGTCTTTGTTGCTTAGGACACCATCGTGCGGTACTCGGCAGCTAAAGGAATAGCAAGGATCTGCGAACGGTTGCCTGAAGACTTCGCGGAGCAGGTTCTAGACCAGGTCATTCATTTGTTCTCTATTCACTCCGCCGCAGTGGCCAGCATCTACGACATGCCGAGCATCGCGGAAAGCACATGGCACGGCGCGTGTCTTGCGTGTGCCGAGATGGCGAGACGTGCTTTGGTGCCAGATGAACGTCTCCCAGAGCTCATCGGATGGCTCACCAAGGTTTGTCATCGCTGATAGATTGCTGTTGAAGATAATAACTTGATTCGGGGTTATAGGCACTGTACTTCGACATCCGAAAGGGCGCGCATTCAATCGGCTCCAACGTGCGCGATGCGGCTTCCTACGTGTTATGGTCACTGTCCCGTGCACAGAGCGTGGAAGCGCTGGAACCGCATGCTCTCAACCTCGCTCGGCATCTCGTTGTTGCCGCGCTCTTCGACCGTGAGATCCACATACGCCGTGCAGCTAGCGCTGCGTTCCAGGAATACGTCGGGCGAACGGTGAGACCACTTCTGCTCATGATGTGAATGACTCTGACACCCTGCAGAGCTTGTTCCCGCACGGTATCGATGTGTTGAGGAAAACGGACTTCTATGCTATCGGTGTCCGCCGAAATGCATTCCTCGTAGCTGCGCCTGAGGTTGCGGAGTGAGTGTTTACCGCGCTGTGACCTGCCGTTACTGAATGATGAACAGACACGAAGAGTACCGGCCGTTCTTGATCGACCACCTTCTATCCGTGACTCTGCGCCATTGGGACCCTGCTATGCGCCAGCTCGGCGCACAATCCCTCCGGACTGTGTGCGACCTGGATCTTCCTCTTCTAGGTCCAGAAGTTGCTGCGCGTGTGGTGTGTCTCAATCCCAATGAAGCTTCGCTTATTGCTTACTTCGCGGTACCATAGGCAAGGCTCCTTGAAGTGCCGGATACAGGCGATGTACACGGAGCGCTCCTCGCTCTGACGGAGCTAGCATCATCCATGCGCGACTCGTCGCATCCTCAACTGGAGCCAGAGCGACGCAAGGTGAGTCCCATGTCTCCGTCTCGATCGGTGTGCACCCTAACTCCTGAGCAGGTCTTCGCATACCTCTCCACGGTGCCGCTCGCCACGATCCAGTCGCCGCGCCAGGAAGACATCACCGAAGCCGCCTGTCGATTCATCGCCGCGGGCATCTCGTATCCCGAGACACAGCACGCCCAAAGCAGCGTCCCCCACTGGCGCCGCGTTGTGGACTCCGGCCTCCGGAGCAAGAGCGCGGCCGTACAGGAGGCGGCTGCGGCGGCCCTTGCTGCGGTCAGCCGGCTGGTCGACTGCTCCGCCGTAGTCGACCGCCTTATCGGGGAGTTCGCCGCAGGCAGCGCGCCGATGCAGCAGAGCTTGGCGCGGGTTTTGGGCGTGCTGGACTACGCGTCGCATCCGCATGGGATCGAATCCGCGGTGCGGTGCTTGTTGGGGATGGTCGATCGCACGGTACGTTGGCCTCAGTACCTCTTGCTTGGCTCCGGGAAGGGTGTAGAGGGTGCTGACAAGGCTCTGTGTGGCGTTACGTGCAGAATGGAAGCGAGAATGTCGAGGCTCGGCGGAACGCCTTTGTGTCTATGCCGCAGATCCTCAAGAATGTCTCGGGCAGCTTGGTCAAGCGTTGGTGTTTCTCAAGTTTCCGTCCGATCGGCCAGCGCTGAAGTGTGTACAGATTTATCCGCCGAGATCGTCTGCGAGATGACGGACGCCCTCCTGGACGGCTTGACGGACTATACGAGCGACGAACGTGGCGACGTCGGGTCATGGGTGCGCATGGCTTGCGTGAACGGTCTCACATCTGTTGTGGAGACACTGTTTACGAATGCGTCCACCCTTGCCGAGTTCTCGAGTTACCTCCCGCCGGGTCGCTACCACGACGCAATCGGCGGCATACTCAAACAGGGGGTTGAGAGACTTGACAACGTCCGGCAGCAGGCAGGAGAGTGCGTCGTTACCTTGTTGCTGTTGCCGCCTCCTGCCGTGAAGCAAGCGCAGCAATGGCAGATACACGGCGATGCGAAGATGAAAGAGAAGTTCCTCAGGTACGCACATGCCAAGATATAGGGGCCGGTTCTCATTATTCTTGTATCTTGCAGCAACGAAGAGTCGGTCGGCTGGAACGACGGAAGTTGGCTTTTCCCTCGTGTGGTGGAACTCCTGGAGATCGAGCAGTATCGTGGCCAGTTGCTTGCAGGTCTAATTCTCAGTACGAGCACGAAGACGGACAGTACTGTAAGCGAGTTGATCTGCCCACCTCGGCTCCTTCTCAACGTGGTCTGCTAGCAACGGCCAGTTGCATCCGCACTTGTCACCTACGCTTTGCAACTGCCTATCGCGACGGAGGCACCCGACCACTATGACCAACGCAGCCTCGCTCGCGATCTTCTTGCACAGGCACAGAAGAAAGTCACTTCAAACATCGTCGTCATTCCGGTGCTGCAAACGTTCAACGTCCTCCTTGAGGCCGACGTCTTCGAAAACGTGCCACAAGATCCGGAGGGCTTGCAGACGTATGTTATTTCCGTTTAAGATCTCACTATCTACTACATCTGACATGGGTCGCCTTTTAGCCTGCGAACCCTTCTTGCTCTCGTGTCGAGAAATGCGGGGCGCGTGAAGAATCCGCAGCGAATAAACGTGTCTATGAGATGGTGAGTTCATTGGCTCTGCGCTTAGGTCATAAACTGATGGACAACAGTCTCGTCAATCTCATCCCTCTAGCGGAGTTGCAGAGCGACTGCATCGCCCAGCTATATCAATTTCTTGCACATCAATACCCGCGGGTGCGTCGCGTCTAAACTTTCGATGTGCGCGCGTCTGATTTAACACTTCCCTTCAGGTCCGCGCAGACACGGCGGAGTATCTATACCTCGTTCTTTCTAGCAAGAACACTGGTATGGAGACGGACGATGTGGAAGAGATTTTGCTTGAGACGGAATGGTAAGTTTTGGGGTAAACGCTTGTGTACATTTCTGACTGGCACATTATTTTGCAGGTCTTTGAAAGATAAGGATACGGTAGATGACGCTGCGAAGCGCTGCATCGAGCTATTGACAAAGGCCCATTTAGCATAGTAGATCGTCCCACTTGTACAATAGATATCTACGGACACATACCAGCCTACCAGTGTTTTATGGTGGATGAGCTGCACCAACCAGGGCCTCCTCGCCTCGAGGTCTTCGCGTGCCTGATATAGGATTCGTGGGAAAGTCAGTATCGTCGCGTACATGGGCGCCTAAAGTATCGTAACCGCTGGGCAGGACGTCACTGCATCGCGAGTCCTCGACTAACGTCCTTCCTCCTTCCACCACCACTCACGACCTCCACGATGGCGAGTCCACGCATGAGCAACCAAGAGCTCGCGGCTATCAACGCGGCCGCAGTGACGCGCGAATACACGGTCAAACCGCATCTCGGTGAGGATCTCGGAGAATTGGAGCGATGGCAGTAGGATGCTAAGTTGCAATGTATAGACTACCGGACGGTCTCCGCGGTGAACGGGTAATGCCCACGGTTTTGCTATAGCTTGGAGATGCTGACAGGAGAATACGTAGCCCACTGGTTGTGCTGGACAATGTCAAGGTGCGTCTTCTCGCTTGCGCCTGTTCCGGTTTGGTACTCAGCTAGCGCCCTAGTTCCCCTCATACAACGAAATCGTACAATTGACGCTCCCCGACGGTACCAAGCGTGGCGGACAAGTTCTGGAAGTCCAGGGCAAGAAAGCTATTGTCCAAGTCTTCGAGGGGACGTCCGGTGTCGATGTGAAGGCAACTCATGTGGAGTTCACCGGTAGCAGCATGAAGTTGCCCGTGGCGGAGGACATGCTGGGTCGTATCTTCAACGGCTCCGGCCAGCCCATTGACAACGGGCCCAAAGTGTTTGCGGAGGATTACCTAGACATCAACGGTACGCTGTGTTCACTTTATATAGCGGCCGTTCGGGCATCCTGACGCGTTTCTTAAAGGCTCTCCTATCAACCCTTACTCTCGCATATACCCCGAGGAGATGATCCAGACTGGTATTTCCACCATTGATGTCATGAACTCTATTGCGAGAGGACAGAAGATCCCCATCTTCTCCGCTGCCGGTCTACCTCATAACGAGGTACGCAGTCGCTCTGCGGTCGTGAAACTGACGCTTATTTACGCTATCATCTTCCTAGATTGCTGCGCAAATTGTACGACAGGCTGGTTTGGTCAAGGGTCCCACGAAGGACGTGCACGATGGTCATGAGGACAACTTCTCCGTCGTGTTTGCGGCGATGGGTGTCAACATGGAAACCGCGCGATTCTTCAAGGAGGACTTCGAGTCAAACGGCAGTCTCGATCGTGTCACCCTCTTCCTCAACCTCGCGAACGACCCCACAATCGAGCGTATCATCACGCCCCGCCTGGCACTTACCACTGCGGAGTACTACGCGTACCAGCTTGAGAAGCACGTCCTTGTCATCCTCACGGACATGTCATCATACGCGGACGCGCTCCGTGAGGCAAGTCGATCATACGGAATCTATCCGCAGCAAATAGCAGCTTCCTAACCACCATGCTTATTTGTAGGTCTCGGCTGCTCGTGAAGAGGTCCCTGGTCGCCGCGGCTACCCTGGATACATGTACACGGATTTGTCCACGATCTACGAGCGTGCAGGTCGTGTGGAGGGCCGCAACGGATCAATCACCCAAATTCCCATTCTCACCATGCCCAACGACGGTGCGTCCCAATCTCGACCGGTTTCAGTATGCCAGGGCCCGACTCAATTTACTGACGCTTTTGCAACGCTTCTCCCGTCCTCGTGGTTCTGTCTCTGCAGACATCACACATCCAATTCCCGATCTCACCGGGTACATCACTGAGGGCCAGATCTTCGTCGATCGTCAGCTGTACAACAGGCAAATATACCCACCGATCAACGTCTTGCCCTCGTTATCCCGTCTCATGAAGAGTGCCATCGGTGAAAAGCTGACGCGGAAAGACCACGGTGATGTCTCCAACCAGCTGGTACGTATCCGTGCGGAGACGTCGTGACACGGTCTGCTGACGTGCGTGCAATGCCTGTAGTATGCCAAGTACGCTATCGGACGCGACGCAGCGGCCATGAAGGCCGTCGTCGGTGAGGAGGCGCTTTCACCAGAAGACAAGCTCGCACTCGAGTTCCTGGACAAGTTCGAGAAGCAGTTCGTGGGCCAGGGTACGTGCCGCCTTCTCTCCTCGCCGCCTCCTCGCTCTAACCGTGTGCCTGTCGCCCCTCCTTATCTTCTGTGTGTCTCTGTGGGCGTCCGATACCGTGTTCGCAGGCGCGTATGAGAGCAGGTCGATCTTCGACTCGCTCGACCTGGCCTGGTCTCTGCTGCGCATCTTCCCGAAGGAGCAGCTCAACCGCATCAGCCCCAAGATCATCGCCGAGTTCTACGGGCGGAAGGCGCGCAAGCCGACGGAGGACGCCAAGCCGCAAGGCCACCCGGAGGACAAGCTCGTCGACGACGCGTGAGACCGCTGAGGTCCCCCATCCGCTCCACGCGGCCGTCGCTCGTGCCACTCGCGTGCTGCACCACGGACTTGACCAAAGGAAAGAGCGTGGCAGGAGACGCTACGAACACTCGCGCGTATACGTATACTTGTACACATTCACCACAATGCACATGTCCCGTCGTCCCACCGTGACTCATCCGGGGGGCTGTTGGTGCCCCCAGGCGCGGACAATCGTACGATACCGTCCTCGAGCGACGGGCGTGGTGGTTGTGTCCGCTGCGTGGCCGATAGGCTCGCTTGCCCTGATCACGACACGAACACGTTCTGCCCGCGCGGCCCTATGAATAGCGCCCCCCGTGCGCGGCCAGGCCAGGCTAATCTCAGACGGGGGGTGACGTCAGGCGTCTCGTACAAAACGTTGCATCTGGATATCTGGATATTCGCCACGGCCGGGGGACGCAGTACTTTCTGGCGGCAGACAGAAGCCTAATGCTGCTTGAGAGAAGCACCGCTGCGGTGCCACGCACGCTGTACAAGCTTGTCGGACGGATGGACGGACGTCGGACTCGGACATGCCACAGATGATGTCGCTCGCAATGGCAGATTGAAGTTTGTTTGTTTCATGAGCGAACCCTCGACAAAGATAACAACATAGTACACGGAGATGGGCCCGGGACGCGCTCCCACTTGTCGCGAGGGAGTGCTCATGTCCGCTCCTTCTCAGCGGGCCACTGCTCGTGCTGCCAGCGTCGTGCACAGCGGCCGGCCCTCTCCGCATGCCGCCACGGACCACACACCCTGCGGAACCCTGGCCATCCGCCCTCCGCGCCAATGCTCGGGGAGGAGGGAGTGTACGTACACGCCCCGTCCGCCCGTGCCACCGCGGGATCCTCGGCCAAAGCACGACAGCGTGCGGCGGCGCGAAGACGCCGCTGGCACTCGTCCAGTGCCATTTCAGCATAGATGGCCAGCACGCCCGATAGAGCTAGCGGGGCGGAGGCCGACACGAGCAGGCGCATGAGCATCCAATCGCCGACCCCGGTGCCCAGCAGCTCCAGGCCTGCACTCCAGACTTTGGCTCGAGTTCTAGGCCGTGCAGCAGACTGCAGAGCAGCGACCCCAGAAGAGAACGAGGAGAGCGCTGCAGCGTGCGCTGTCAGCGGCGGGGGTTCGCTGACGTGAACGTGGGCTCACGCACGGGCGATATGAACTTGCAGCGTCTTCTCTGCAGCCTCGCAGCATCTGCCGCGTCCGTGTGTTGGAGCTTGCTCGCCGCCGCGGTGCTCGGGACGCGGGACGCAGGGCCTGAACGTTGAACACTGAGTTCAACGTCGCGGATTCGCGCCTGCGGCTGCAGCCGTTGTATCAGCGAAGCCCGCAGGGTGTCCGGCAGGTACGGGCCCCAAGAGCTCGAGGCACACTGTAGATTGACCTGGCGGGTCCGCTCAACGCCGGGGGGCGAAAACGAGGCATAGCGAGGAAGGAGCGGACGGGCTGCTAGTGCGCGAAGCCCCCGGTGCGCGCCGGTGCCGACGAATAGCGTTGCGGCACACACACGCACAGACGCAGGGAGAACTGATTGCGCGCGCCCCCGGGGGCTGTAGTTCCTGCTCGCGCTGCCTCCTGCTGCTGATATAGGATATAGTGCGCGGCGTGCATTGAGTCCTGGCTCGCGGCGCGCGCGGAGTGGGATTGGTGGGGGTGGCTCGTGTGGCAGGGGCCCGGGCGGACCGTCAGTCTCAGTGGGTGCGCTGGGAGGAGATGTGGACGCTCCAGGAGCCGGGGCGCTGGGATGAGTAAGCGGCGGTGCGAGTGGACGGATATGGCGCGTGGGGTCCGGGCGAGGGGAGGGCGACAATTGAGTGTGCGGGGCGGCGGGGGGTGGGAGCGCGGCCGGTGAATTCCACACGATTTCTGACAAATGGCCCTGGGATCAGTACGTCTTGCGACACACAACACCCCGGCCGTGCGGGGGGCTCGGGGAGTTGTTCTGACGCGCCCGATGCCGACCACAAGACTGCAGCGGGCTCGGCGGTGAAACCGTCGCGGAGGTAAAAGAGCACGTTCGAATAACAAGACGCGGCGGATCGCGAATCGCCGGGGGAGGCCGCTCAGGTTCGCCAGCCGCAACACGATGGATCTCGCGCACAAGCCCTGCGGGGTTCATCCCACATTCCAGCACCAGTACCGGCATCAATCGAACCGCCAGGACGGGAAGGAGACCGGGCCCCGTGCCCCCGCACAAGTACGTACGACCTCGCCGCGGCACGGGGCTCGCACAACTGCCTATCCCGGCGGGCATCCCGCCGCGGCACACCTGCCTGCCTAGATTGGGTTCGGGCAGGGGGGATCTTGGGCTTGTGCTTGATCTTGATTGACAGCTGCACGATGCGGGGGTAGATGAGGATGATGCATGATGGTATCATCCCCCGATATCGTGGCGCGCATGCTGGCGTTGGGAGTTGGAGTTGACAGGGATGGGTGGGCGGGCGGGAGCTGGGAACTTGAGGGGGACCGGGCGAAGATGCACTATCAGCGCAGAAGCACGGCCGGTGCGGCGGCGTGGGTGGGGGCGTGTTGTGGATGGACGTCGTGCGCGGCGGGGTAGGTTCGTTCCACTAGGATCCTTCCGAGAGAGTTTGCGTTCAAGCCAGTACGAAGGCGGGAGTGCTTGCGGAAGAGCTCCGGGGCGCGCGCGTCGACGCAGTGGGCCCATACACACATCGGAGACTCGAAGCTCCCAAGCTTCAGGCAGCGGGCGCGCGTGGGACGCGCCGCTTCGCCAGCCTATGCCGCAACCGGCCGCGCTGCGTCAAAGTTGCGGAGGGGCGGAGGAGATGGGATGCTGATTGAGCGATGGAATCAGCGGGCGCGCGAGCTTGACATGGGGCCGTATCGCGCAGCTGTGGCAGCTAGCCTTCCGGGGTGCGAGCTTCGACTGTCCGGATCCTGCAGTAGCAGTGTCTGTGTTCGCAGGGGGCGGCGGGGACCGGAGGCTGGAGCTGGCGGAGGCCCTGGCCCTGTTGGAGATGGGATGTTGTGACTGTGCCCCTGTCGTCGAAAGTATTGTGTGTCGGCGACTGGAACGTCGGAGGTGGGTCCGGCTGGAATATGGGCTCGTCATATGCAGGCGGATGATCCCAGGCGAATAGTACGGAGCCCAAACTGCCTATACAGGAGGTAGGCGCGGTCTCAGCTGGTGTCGCACTTTGACATCCCGGGCAGTCTTCTTGTGTTCACGTTCATACTGATGATGGGAGCGGGCTCCAGCGTTGCGGAGCGTGTATTAAATTCAGACGACGCACCGTATACAAAGGCCCGCCCGGTTCCGGGCGAACGAAGCTGTCGCAACGAGCGCACGCGTTGTAACTGAACTTCATAATACCGGCCGGGGCGGTTCCTCAACAAGATTGAAGAGGCATCTACATTCGGGCGGGGAGATCGTATCAGCGTGTTGAACAAGACGCTGCACGAGGCATCCCACGAGCAGTACGTTACATTGCCAGTCCGGTCAGATGCAGAGATGCATGGCGAAACAGGGATGGGATCATCGGCACCTCCGCAGGACGCCGCTGCCGTCTGTCCAGTGTACCGGCGGATCGCAGGATATCCGGATTCTGGGGATGATGTCCCCGCAGCCTAGGGTACCGTGAAGAAGTGCTCCCTTTTTAACAGCTGTTTATTAACCGTGTTAATAACCTGTTAATAACTGTTAAAAAGGGACGGGGATGAGGAGGCCTGTTAAAAAGCGTCAATAAACCTAGGTGTATACACGCCGTCGCGGAAGGTTGGGACGGTCTGTCGAAGTGGTCAAATGCTTTCATGACTGAACAGCGCCGAGGACAACACAGCTGAGTAGACTCATCCGTTGCGAGCGCCATTCATGAAGGGCGTGGGTGATTGACGAGCTCTCCTTCGACGGGAAGTGGCTTGATGTGGAATTGTAGTCGTTGCGAGCCTCGTCCGCATCACCATACTGTTCGGTGTGCTCCTCGCGGGTTAACAACCCTTGCTATGAGCCGTTTCTCAAGGTTTGTGTCGGTTGTTAACAATCTGTTAAAAATAATTAATAACCCTGGTTAAAAAGGGCCCAGGAAGGCCACCAGTTATTAACTGTTAGTTAAAAAGTCCCGGGACTTTTTCACGGTACCCTCGGCGGCGCAGCCTCGGCATTCATGCCCCCCATTCGGCTCCGTTTACGGGCTTCGTGTGTCCGAGTGCATGGCAAGAGTGAATGCAAACCGCCCAAGCGCGGAAGGCGGCGTGTCTGCAACGCGCAGCACATACGGCGACGACGCCTACCGTGGCGTCCGGGGCGCCCGCCAGCAGAGATGCGGGCACAAGACGCGCATGGGGGTGGGCGGCGGGGGCGTGTTGCAGGTGCCAAAGGCATTCTCCGCACGCTAGTCCCGCCGCCGGACCGGGGAAATGGAGTTTGTTTGGAAAAAAGGAGGGGGAGAGCCTCGTGTGCGCGATGGGCCATCTGAAATGAAAGATTGGCCTGTGCGAGATGAGTGCGTGGGAGGCGGGGCAGGCCCTGGATGTTCGTTGCGCAGACAAGCTCTGTTTGTGTGCTTTCAGGGGGCGGGCAGGCTGCGGCGATGGGCTCGCTACGCGCGGGCGGGGAGGGACGTGTATTGGGCGCGAGGAGGTGGCTAAAGGCGAGGCCGGAGTCGCACGGAGGAGGTGTTGTGTTGGCTGGAGGAAGTCCGGAGCCCATCTGATTGTCCCCTTACGTATTCGCGAGGAGGACGCAGGGCGAGCTCAGCGCAGGGCAGGGAGGGCCCAGCGCGTGGTGATGGTGCGGCTCGAACGTGTGAAGCGACTGCAACATATGTGGATGTGCCCGATTCGACAGCCTCAATGGGCACAAAGACATGCCCAGGATGCCAGAAACAACTCCCCATGCATGCGCCGGATATCCAGCAGCCAAGGGTCGTGGTGGACGGACGGGCGGGCGGAGTGGGTCCATGTGGGAGAGCGCGCGTGATGGCACGCGCCGCACACCTGCCGCTTTGGGCAGCTCCCGGCGTGCGGAGCGTCGGTCTCAGAAACAAGCGGCGGCGGCAGAATGCGGAGGCTGATGGGCAGTATTCAGCCGTGAAAATGTCTCTGTGTCGCTGCGGCGGAGGCACAAAGGGCGGCTTATTTAGTGGAATGTGCAGAGGCTAAGGCCGGACGGAGGCCGGAATAGGCAGGGGGCGAGGGAGGGGATGGGTGGGCATGGGCCTTATGGCAGCGTGTCGCCCAAGCGGGCTGCTACCACGCGTTTCTCCTCGCCTCCCTAAATATGGCCGCCCATATCCTCCGCTGCTCTCTATCTCTTCCCCCGCCCTCCCCCCATGGACGACCTTGCCCATGAGTCCCGCCGTCCCATCCACAACATCAACCGCAAGCGCAAGGCCGACCAGGACGACCTCGTCCCCGTGCCCCCGCCACAACCCGCAGACGCCGCTACTGGCACCGACGCCATCCGCATCGACCCCAGCATGACCCCTCGCTGTCCGGCCGACGCCCCAGACGGCCCCTCTAGCTCTTCGTGGATGCTCGCCCGCTCGAGGCAAGGTATGGCTACCTCTTGGTCTACGCCCGCTTCTTCCTCCTCCTGTCCGGCCCCTGGTGTCTCTTTCTCCCCCAAACTGGACCGCGAAGGCCAGCCCTCTGCCAAACGCCTTCGCATAGAGATCCCCAGTACGCCACCAGGCTCACCACACCGCACTCGCAGCAGGTCAGCGCGACCCTCGCCACGCTATATCCAGCGCCGCCGCGTAGAAAACCGCGATACTGGCATTGTTTCCGCGACCGAGCCGGGCCCCAGCAGCGGGTCATTGTTGCGTCCCCAGAGGCTAGCATCCGTGTCTTCCAAGTCCCATTCCGTCCCCGTCTCTCCCATCGACCCATGTTCGATTTCGCCGCATATACCCCCACACACGCCGCCCATAAACAGAGAGACGCTCAAAGAACTAGACCTTGACGCAATCCTCCGCAACCCCCAGCTCCGTCAGTGGCCCTTTCTTCTCACCTGTACATATCCCGTCCTCATCATACGCCCGTCGTTATTGTAGGCCATGATCTGCTCTTTGACTCTGGACTGCAGTTCCGTCCAACGTCGAGCCGCCGGAAGCGCGATCTCGCAGACCATTACTGGCTCACGATCGTGCGGGAACTCGAGACCGGGTGTACATGCACGACCGTCGACAGCCACGGCAAGGTAGCCGAGCTCCGCTGTGCGTGCGAGGCGATCCCAGTGGCGCCAAAACATGCTACCGTGCGGTACAACGCAGGGAGCGGCAACCTCGCCACCGTGCGCATGCCCTCACGCATCGAACCGCTGTTGATTGAGCTGCTCGCCGTCCTGGTCTCGATTATCCAGCCCCCACAGCCGCCGACCCTGCGGCCCCCAGAGCTGCTCTTCCCGCCATCGCCCCAGAACCCACAGTACCACCAGAACCTGGCGCACATCAACCTCCTGAAGGAGCACTTGGACCCGGGGCTCATCAACCAGGAGATCAGCCACGGGCTGTTCGACCCCTCGGGGCTCTTCCAGGTAATCGGGGACATCATCCGCTGCCACTGTGCGCCGATGCGCGACGCCGCGGTGGACCAGATGGTCGGCCTCGCGCGTGCGTGCGCCCCGGGGGGGAATGGCACGAAACTGGACGCGGTGCGCGCGATCAGGATGTGCTTCGAGATCATGGAGCTGATGAAGCTGGTGAGTGCTGATCGCATCTCCGTCTGAGTATACACGCCTGATCGGTCCCTTTTCCTCTCTTTCTCGCGCATTGATTGCAGGATGTGGCCAATCATCAACTCCAGACGCTGAGGCCGTACTTGGTGCGGACGGCGGGCGATTACGAGGTGCAGATCTTCTCGGACGAGAGGCACAATGCGCGTCGCACGATCCACATGACGCGTGAGTGGCTGGGCAAGGCGTGGAAGGAGCTCAGTGGCGGTGGATGCTCGCAATCGGAGCTATTCATGAGCTCCTCGCGCCCGACGCAGGTGCTCATGGCCGTGGTTAAAGCCACTGTCAACCTGATCTTCGACCCACCCGCGGCCGGCGCGCCCTCCCCTCCAGCCTCTACGCTCTCCACACCTACCACCACCACACCCTCCACCACCGCCTCGTCATCGTCTTCTCGCCCATCCTCACATGCCTCCAGCAGCAGCCATGCAGCGTACTACGCGAAGTACCCCGAGACGTTCTACCTCGACTACGCACGCTTCGGCACGCTGAACACGGACGCCGCGGACTTCACAGCGCTGTACATGCTCCTCATGATGTACCGCCAGCTCGTACACTCTCCCCTGAACCGTTCACCGCGCACACGCGGAGACGCCGTCGCCCCCGACGCACTCGTCCAGCTCAAGAAGGAGATCTGGGAGATCGGGCCCGCGCATCCCGGTCTCTGCTTCATGCAGGGCCGCCGCCCCGGCTCGTCCAGCCTCGGGAGCAGCAGGTCCGCCGCTGCTGGCACCAGCTCCGGTTCAGGCTCGAGTTCAAGACACGAACGCGACCGCGAGGCAGAGCTGCGCAAGTGGCGCGCGGAGATCGAGGACGTCGCGCTGCAGGTCGCGATGCACGCATCGGAGCCGCACCGCGCGGGGGGCTCGATGAAGGCTGCCGCGGCCGCTGGCGCACGGGAGCTGCACTCCCCGGACATGCAGGTCGTGAAGTTCGCGCTCGGGTGGACGGAGGCGAACCTGCGGCACGGGTCGCCGTTCAGCGTGCTCTGCAGGAAGCGCCTGCGCGAGCGCGTCGAGGACGCCGTCCTTGCCATCGTCATCCCCCAGCTCGCGCCTGCGCCCGCACCCCTGCCACCTACCTCACCGACGGCTGCAGCGCCGGTGCTACCCTCAAAAGATGCGCCGACGACGTCGAGCGGGCTCGAGCCGCTCGGCGCGGAGGTCGCGCACATCTCCCAGCGCGCGGCGAAGCTCGTGGAGATCCACATGAACGTGTACGGCGAGCTGTACGCGCACCCCGCGTTCCTCGACAAGGACGTCCTCCCCTGCGCGAGCGCCGCCGTGACCCCTGCCGCGGCGGAGTCATAGCACTCGCCGTCAGTCTCTTCCGCCCCCACTTGCAAGCATCGACATGCCAACCAACGCCGGACACACGCGCCGCCGCAACAGGCAGAATGTATACCCCTTCGTGTATATGCTCCGACATCGCCCTTCTGCTGCCCCCCGACCCGCGCGCCGCGACGCTTTGGGCGGCGCGCGCTCATCCGCTCTCTATGCGCCTTTGCCGCCTTCTGTGCCATCATGCCATTGCCATGCGTATGTCTCGCCTACGCTTACGGGCGTCGCCATGACTTTTGTCTTGTGGGGCCGTATACTGCCCCCCTCCCTCCCCCCGTGCCCGTCCTCGCACGCCCGGAGCACGTACATTAATTCCGACCCACCCTTGCTGCGCCCGCACCGGCTGCTGCTTCCCTTCCTGGTGCTCTCCCTGCAGCCCCGCTCTTCCTCCTCCATCCCCATTGCGCCCGCCGTTGTTCCGCGGGACGCTCACTCCCGATGGCTCGTTCCCTGACTTGCATGCAGTTGTCGCGCTGATGATGATAATGTTCTGATGACGAAGCCTTGCAGCGGTCGCTGCGCGTTGTACATAATTACCGTAAGGACTAGAACCGTCGATAATGAATCGAAAGAAGTCAAGAATTTCTACGCTGCTTTTGCGGGGCCCGTGGCTAGCGTGTGCGTCTTGGATGTACTGTGCTTCCACCTTCCAGGTCGCGCTCTGTCGCGCTACGATCGGCGTGCAGAAGTGAGTGGCGGGAATGAGAAGAGTGTGGTTGACGCGATGTACGCGCGAGGTCGGTCAGATGTGGTGGCACTGGGACTGACACCGGCTGCTTTAGACATCCTTTGTGATTCGCTTTTGGTATTTGTTCAATCGGATGGTAGATATTGCTTAGGTACTTCCTATTCGTTTGACTCTATAGGAGCTGCCGATCAGTGATAGATGAGCTCGAGGGTGTACGAACGTCGAAGACCTATGTTCAGGGGAAGGTCGAAAGTCGAAGCCCTGCGCGGCGCAGTCATATGCGACTTCTGCTTCGCAGCAAAGTACTGCGGGGGTAGCGAACATGTCTCGCGGGAGCAGTACTAGTATTTGGTGCGCACGGTCACGTCGTGATGCTGCAGCTGACCGTGTCAATCACCCGTTGCGAGACTGCGACCCTACTCATGGCTTCCGCGTGTTGAGCGCCGCGGCGTATCTGCTGGAGATGCGATGGCCAGATTGCGGCGTCTGCGGCGAGGACGACATGGACGTGGACGGCGTGGAGGTTCTCGAGGATGACGAGGACGAGGAGATGGACAAGGACGACCTCGAAGACATCTGCGTCATGCCGTTCTGAGCCCGTCACGATCCCTGCGGTGATTGGGCAGTGGCGGGACCGGTGATTTAGTTTGGATACGCTGACGAGCCTTCGGACGCACGGCGAGAAACAGCCGCACAGGCCCCCATACGCCGTGTGGTGACGGTGGAAACACAAAGGTTATAACATAATGTATATATGCAATGTCCGGAGTACGGTCTATCCGAAGGGATGATACAGGGTTACATATTAAGCCGCTGCTAGAGTACAGTGTACAATTCTACATGAACGAATTCGTAACGTCGTGGGCGGGAGGGGGCAAGTGAGCGGTCCATCAGCGTAGCAATGCGGGTGCGGGCGGCGCGCGGAAGGTTAGAGTATTGATGCATGATGGTGGAGTTTGTCGGTGGTCGAGGACATAGTGTTAACCACCGTACGGGCGGGCAGGGGCGATAGAGACGGCCGAATCTGTCACGAAGACTCGCGCGCGCGCGTATCCTCGCTGGTCATGAGCACCGTTGCGGATCCCACTACGACGTCCGGAACACCCTCTTCCTCAACATCATCCCACGCACCGCTCTCGCGCGCCTTGCCCTTCGCCGTGTCGCTCAGGCGCACCCCTGCCTGGGTCGGCGCCGGAGGCGCGTACGCCGAACGGTGGGGGTTTGGCATTGCAATGATGACGGAGACATTGACCTCCGCGGCGCGCAAGACCGGATCCCTCTGCACCATGGGGATTCCTGGGGACGGCGGCACGGAGCCTGCGCCCGCGCCTGACGTCTCGTTTCGCGGTGTAGGCGGTGTAGCCCGGCGCAGTCGTGCCCGAGGAATGATGTAGCCAGCTCGTTCAAGCAGCATTCGCGCAGTGAGGCGTGGTTGGGGTGGGGGGTTACTTGGCTGTGTCGGTTCGGGGGGAGGTAACGGGTCCAGCCCGGGCTTTTCGGACGCTACGCTCGCTGTGACAGGCTAAGAGGGGCGATATGCATGGTGTGCATGATGTTGTATATACGATGAAAAGGAAGCACGTACCATAACGCGCTCCCACTTTCCGGCCTGCGGACTCCCGGTGGAAAAGTACGGCGGGAGGACGGTTACGTCGAAGAGCGTCGGCCGCTTGAGCTTGCGCCGTCCGCCCATGCCTCGGCCGAAGCCGCCGGCGGCCTCCTCCGTAGGGGAGAGCAGCACGCCCGCTGCGATGGCTTCCTCAAGACGGCGGCGGAAACGTCGGCGAAGGAAAATCCCGCGCATGATGATCGCAGACGAGATCGCCAACAGGAGGAAAAGTGTTGCGAGGAACGTGAACCTGAAGGTGGAACCCCGCATGATTAGGTCGTGTGCGGAGCGTGCGCCGAAGAATGCCAAGCAGGGGTATGAGGGTAAGAGGGTCAACGAGTGTTGGCACTCCAGAGAAGCAATGTAGGAGAGAGGAAATCATACGATGGCGGGTAGGGAGGCGCAGCCTGAGCGCGTCAATGCAGCCGCCATCTGTATATTGCCCGATCATACAGCGGCATTTGTCTGTGGACACCATGTCGCGTATTCACCCACACCGCCCGCCGTAGCATATGTGATGTAACATTCGAAATAGCGAGCGGACGTACAGGTAGAGCGACGACGATGGTGGCCCCTGGCCTGGATCCTGGGTGCCGGTGGCTGCTGCCCCGCTAGAGGTCTGTGTTGGAAAGAATGGGGGACTTGGATTGCTGCTAGGGCCGCCATCAGTAGCGGAGACGGTCCCAGACGGCGATAAAGAGGCGGAGGCCGACGAAGACCCCGACGAAGAGGTGGCCATGGTGGTCGAGGAGGAAGAGGGGACAGCGGGGGGCGATCCGGGGCACTCGCCTACGGAGGCGCCCGGCTTCCTCGGGGCAACCAAGCAAAATACCGAACCCACGCCCACCTTCTCTCCTACCACCGCCATCTGCCCATCTTCATGCCCTGAGCGATTTTCCCTACAGGCTCTGTCACGACCTCGACGGAGCCCGCGGCACCGTCACTTCGTATCTCATCGACGTGTCCACCGCGCATTCGGGCGTGCTTGAACTGCGTCCGGGCAGTTTCGCCTCCTTGTCGGAAGAACACGCGCCGCGATTTACGCACTCGCTCATCCCCCCGAGGCGTTATCCAGGTGATCTCCATTCAGAGCGATGCCCTCGCAGGGCGGCAGTATGTAAGCCCAGCCGTGTCAGACATGCCAGTTGTAGTAAGCTTGCATGGTGCGCCGCACACTCGTTCTAGATAGGCCCGTGAAGAAAGCATCCTGCATTCTGACAGACGTCCCACAGCGTAGGGCGAACGGATATCGCGTCTCCAGCAGATACGCCGCGGCGCACAACACGCGGCAACCATGAGTAGGGTCGCAGTCTCGCAACGGGCGATCGACACGGTCAGCTGCAGCTGCCGCGGTACACGCGCGTGGGGCCCCACCCGTCGCGACGTGACCGTGCGTACCGATACTGCTCCCGCGAGACATGTTCGCTACCCCCGCAGTACTTTGCTGCGAAGCAGAAGTCACATATGACTGTGCCGCGCAGGGCTTCGACGTTAGACCTTCCCCTGAACGTAGGTCTTCGACGTTCGTGCTTATCTATCGATCGGCAGCTCCTATACGGCCAAGCGAGCAGAAAGTACACTCTCGTTCCAATAATATATTCCACCCGAACACTGCGAGTGACCCACAATGGATGCCCAAAGCAGCCGGTGTCAGTGCCAGTGCCACCACATATGACCGACCTCGCGCGTACATCGCGTCAACCTCACTCTTCTCATTCCCGCCACTCGCTTCCGCACACCGATCGCAGCAATATCTGGAAGGTGGAAGCCTGGTATACCCACGACTCCCTCCGCGGCCGAAGGCGGACGCACACGGCCCCGCACATTCAGCGTAGAAATTCTTGACTTGGACCACCGACAAACTGCACCATCAATAATCTGACCTTCCGCGCGTCCCCCGCACCCGCAGAGCTACGCTGATAAACCTGCCCACCTCACCTGGCCCTGCTCGCGCACGACGTCATAACTGCGTTCGTGTAGAGTTGTACACTGTATTCTAGCAGCAACTGAATATGTCCCCATATAATTGCAAGCATGAACACCGCCTGAATCTCACACATGCCTTGAACGTACTCCAACTGATCCATCGCCGCGGCCAGCATCGCCGGTTCGCTCGTTCCAACTTGTCCACCTTCAGGCCTCAGGCCTCAGGCCCAGGCCTTTGGCGGTCAGAGCGGCCCGGTTAGATGGTTTCCGAATTGGGAAGTTGTACTCAACGCCAAACTTTTTAGCCGTCCATCTCGTTCAACTCCAGGCCCTTTCGTGTCCTTTCCTCCATCAGCGGTGGCTTAAAGTAACATGGAGCTTCTCGTATTTTGCGAGGAAGAAACCGAAAGATGCTTAATGGGTGGCCACGATGTCCTTTAGTTCTACACACCCCATTTCTCGTAAGTGGCCGAGAATATAAAACTGGTGAGGATAATTAGGACATGTAATCGATATGATGGTATGCCCATTTCCTTGCGATTTGTGAGAGCATAATGCGCGTAGGTAAAGGTGAGAACGGCTTTACTCCGCAGGTCTTCCCCACTTCCTCTCGCACATCGATCCAGCCTACTCCCGAGAGCCCACGGGCACCTCTCCGATCCGTCCCATTTCGCCGTTCTGTAGCACTGCCCCCAATTCAAGCATTTTTGGAACCCCAGGGCCCTGCGGCCACCTCCGGGGCTACAGACGAGCGCAATCAAGCGGATCCAGGAACGCGTCAGGCTGCAGCGGAGACCTGCCTGCGCGAGAGATCGTGTGCCATCCTAACGTCAATGTCCCATGTTCATATTGGTTCTGAGTGGTACGTCCGCGGGGTCCGCTGAGAACGTCGGCTGACGTGGGACAGTGCACACAAAGGCGGACGGTGGCTGGCAGGCATCCGACAGCAATCGCAGACTTGGATACCCCGCGGTTTCTACGCATCAGTGAATACTGCACATATGTTCCTTCTCGTCAAATCTCTATTATAACCTGCCGACGCCAGATCAGCGTACGCACCGAATGACCACCGCGCCCCCGAAGAAGACAACTCGCTCTGGCTAGCCGCACACGTCAAAACGCGCATGTACGAATGATGTCAAGGAGAACGGCGCGCGGATCCCACGCCGTGGGTCAGAAGCGGTCGACGGCAGCCGAGAACCGTCTGGAGCGTGCATGTGAACGCGATACATACGCCGTAGGCAGACTGAATGGAGCGGAAAGTCCGAGGACGCGAGAAAAGGAAGGTGCGGCTACCATTAAGTCGAACGCGGGCGGCTGCATACGCTGTGGCAGAGAAAGAGTACACGGTACAGTACGTATGTAGACAGAGCGAAAGTCCTAAGCGTTTATAATTCGAATGCTGCGTCGACGGGAAGAATGAAAATCTCCGCAGGGGACGCTCCGGTGGTATGAATACAGTGCGCGCGAAGGAAAGACGGGCCAGGCGGGGATGAAGGGAATGCGGGGAAAACAATGTGATGAGTGCGGTAAGACAATGAAAAACAACAAGTGACAACGTGCATGACGGATACGGACAACAGACAACAAACAACAGACAGCATACACATCAGGGGCACCGCGTCCCATCCTCTCCGCGCGTTCTCACAACGCGACAGTCACCGCACGACGCGGGTCTCGGGCACCGCGACCAACGCACCGACGACAACTGCGCTGACCACGAGCGCAATAAACGCACTACGGACGACGATCTCCCACTGCCCTCGCGTCACGACCGGGTTGAGCACCGGGGTCAGCGGCGAGGCAAACGCCGGAACTTCAAGCATTCGTCGCACACGCGCCTGCCATGTCGCCTTCGTCTGAGGTCGTGCGACAACCGACGAGTTGAGTGTGGTCGTGATCGTCGAGGTAGGTGACGGAGGGTTGGCGTTACATGATGAGGGCCAAATCGGTGACTGTGGGGCGAGCGTCGAGGATGGGGAAAGAGGACCGATAGACACGGGCGTCCGAGGCTCCGGCATTCTCTCTTTCTCGTTGATCGAAGGGGAAGTTGCACTGCGCGATCCGAGGAGCTGCATTGCGACGTTCTTTGGCCCGCACTTCTGCTGAATGACCCCAAGAAACTGACGAAAGAGGCTGGGTGGTGCGTCCTGCTGCCCTTGCGGCCGACGAGCCGTGGTGCGTTCCCGACCAGGCTCAGAATCAGCGAAGTGCACACGAGAGGGCTTTTCCGACTCGCCCGGCGCAGGGCTAGGCGCGAGCGGGGTGGACGCAGCATAGGGAGGCATTGAGGGTGACGGGGCGACGGCTCCAGAGTCCGAACGCACAGAACGGGAACTGCGCAGGTGAGGGAGTCCATCGAAATCGAAGGAACCCATCGGTTGACGTTCCGCCGAGCACTGGGCTTGAGACTCGACATCGTGCGTGCATATTTGGCTGGGCGCGCGGGTGGTGAGCAAACCATAGTTTTTCGAGAGTAAGGGAAGCTCACCCTTCGTCATCCCACTGGTAAGAATGTATGAAGGTCGCGCCAGTCCCAATGTCCTCTTCGCTGCTGTCGCCCCATATCGAGGTACGGCCCGAGCGCTCTTGGGGATCAGCAGTAGCAGGTCCTTCTGGACATGGGTGCTCGTCGAAGAACGCGTCCGAGATATGAATTTGGGGTTCTCGTTCCCGCCTCCGACGCGCTCTCCTCCGTTTCTGTATCGCCTTGTCTGCGTGCATACTGACGCCCTCGTCTGTCACGGAGCTATGAAATGCGTCCGTGCTCGCATCGGACTCGAGACTGCTGCTGCTGTAGTCCGAGTCACAATCGGATCCAGATGCACCGCAGTCGTCGTCGGTATCGTACTCCTGGTCGCTAACGGGAGCGAAGCACGGTTGGCGAGCATTTCGCTTGCCTGAGTGGATCGAGTGGGAAGTAGACGCGGAAGACATGGACTGCATCAGGCCAAAGTCGGGATATGTGCTGTACGATGTCCGGATGGGTGTCCGGGTATGCGCGGGTTGTGGAGGGACGATATGAAGTTTCGACAGAGATGGTCGGGGAGCGCGGCTCTGTTGAGACTCGCTCGGAGGTTGTGCGGCTGTGAGTCCGCCTCGAGACGTTGCATTTTGCACCAAAGGCGGTGGGGGACCGGTAAGAGCTTGCGGACTCGCAGCTGGGGAGTCCATTCTGCTTGGGTGCTGCTCGTACTTGCTGAACATCTTGATGCTAAGCTTCTCCTTAGTCACTCCCGGTTTCGCCTTCGATACTTCCGGATCAGGGAAGCGTGCCAATTCGAATGACCGAAGCTGTCGCAGGTCTCCAAAGACGTATATCATCATGCAAACCTAGAGGCGACGTGAACAAAAGTCATCGGGGGCGAGTATCGGAGTTGGCACTTACACCGTACATGGCAGACAGAACGATGGTGAGGCCGAGCCACATGCCCGGTATGGCCGTGAAGCGCCACCATCGCGAGCCACCAGTGAGGAAGTTTGCGAGTAGGATTGGAGCGCTGTGAACAACGTGTGAGCGAATTGCACTAGAACGACGTCCGTCCGCAGCCGTGGATGGGCGTGGGTGTAAAACATAAGTCTGGAATAGCTGGGTCTCCATTAAAGGCAGCTGGCTTGCCTAAACGGGATGGAATGGTCGGGGCGCGACAAACGAAAAGCCACCGACTCGGGGAAGACCACAGTCGACGTAATGCAGACGCACGCGCCGGAGGGCGGAAATAAAGCACGAACCTTCCCGTGAGACCAATGACCGTCCCGCCCGCACACCCACAATATGCGCGAGGCATCCCGACATTGTGGAACGTCGCCACCACGAAGCGGTCCAGGCTTTCCGAAAGGCTCGCACGGACGCGGTCGGCGACCTCGGCGAAGACGGCAGGATCTGGTGGTGGTGGAGGGGAGCCGAACAGTGAATCTGAGTGATGTGATGCATACGCATGCGGCCAACTGCCACCAGCTGGCCCGCCTACTCCAACACCGAGTGAAGAGGATTGAAACGGAGAGAGGACATCTTGCGGGAGTCGTAGAGCATAAGGACCGTCAGGTGAAAGGAACGTCTCCTTTGCACGGAGATAGAAGAGGGCGAGGGCGGGGTTCGGTGGTGGGTGCGGCGTGGAGAGAGTACGGTACGCACGCGCCTGGGTGGATGGCCCCCGAGGGTGCGACTGTTCCCTCCATTGACGAGCCCAGGTTGTGTAGCGAGCGCTGTAGTCGCGCAGCCAAAGGATGAAGTACCTGCACGGAGACGGGCGTCGTGTTCGGATATCAAGTTGGACTGATGAGACAGATGACGTACAAGTTCTCCGGTGCACGGTCAATGAAGAGCAGCCACTCCTCAAAATCCTTCAACCCCAACGGTGGCAAGTGCTTGCGGTCGAGGATTTCGTCTAGTGGGATGTGAAAATGCGGGGTAATGCCCCATGAGGGCGCCTTGGGCTGAGGCGGGGGCGGGTGGGCGAGCCTGTGGGGGAGAGAGAGCAGAGACTTTGGCTGCAGCCGTGTTGTCTTCGGCGCGGAGGGAGAAGAACGACTAGCGGATGGGGGGAGAGGACGGGAAGACATGAAGGGGGAAGAACATACGGAAGAGAGAAGGGGAGGAGGAGGGAGGGGGGCAGCCAACGTCGACCGCGGCCGGCCGACTAACTATTATATGGGATCTTCCATTCAACGCCACGTGCGGGACGTAGCTCTCCAGTCCTTCCGTTCATGTCACTCCTGGCGGGTGCACTTGTCAACCTACTCTGAGCGCACCGTGATGGCATGCCGCTCCGCACAATCTTGCCATTGCTCGCCGCGCCGACGCCCGCCACCGTCGTGCCCGTGTCGACGGGCGCATGTTGCCCGACATTGAGCCATTTAATGAACCCCGAGGCCTCGAGGAATGCCAATACTGCTATTCCTGGGAAGAATCCCAGGCTCCCCATCGAGGGACTCGATGAGTCGATCGGCATTTCTCGCGGTGATCTCCGCCTTCCTCCCATGCCCCTCGAGGCTCATGTCTCTCATGGTCTTCCCTCCGCCGTCTGAGGCCTTCTGGTGCGTAGCCACAACAGATGAAGCTTAAGGACCATGTGAGGTGCGGGTCCGGGTCCGTGCACTGGTATTCTCCAGCTGATAACGCGCTGTTTGGGGCGTACACTCCGAGTATGGAAGTACGTACCTCGGGCTGGACACGTCCGGCGAATTGCCACTCCGCGGATCTATGTCTGTCAATATAGCAAGTCACACCCACGCATTCAGCCCGACATGTGCGCCGCGATGGTAGATGTAGTAGCAGCAAGAACATTCGATGTGAATGCCGGAAGGTTGAAGCTTTGAAGTCAAAGCCGGTCAAAGTGGTCAAATGTTCGATCGTTTGAACGCCGAAGAGAGTGTATGAGCGTCTATTTGTGATTTTTGTTTCTGGTCCCCGAATGGGCGTCTATCTATGATCGATGTACGATTGAGATCTGGCGTTGTGGCGCCGAATTTTGCGCGTCGGGCGTGCGCATGACCGCGACGCGCCTTCTCTCTCTCGCTCGTCCACCGTCGACCGTTCTCCGCTGCATCGCATATAGCCACACACTCGGACTCTGCGGACCACCACAGTATCTCGAATCCTATCGGATTACAGAGGAAACATCGACCTGCGAGCCGACGAACGATCTTGTGAACATCTAGGCGTTGGACCTCCGCGGTACGCTACCACCTCGCAAGTCATACCACACGCGGCCCTTTACTTCCGTGCTCATCGCAGATATTCCCCTTTACTCCAGCTAGCATACCAGACGACACATATCAGCGTGTCTTTTCAGCATAGGAGCGAGACACTTGCTAGTCACATCAGCAGCAAATTACCGACACAAGACATCACATATAGCCACACACACTCGACTTTGCGGGCCACCACAGTATCTGTAAATCTCTCGGACTACGGAGGGACACATTGACTTGTGAGCCAACGAACGAACTTGTGGACGTCTGGGCTCTAGACCTCCGCGGTACGTTACCACCTGGTAAGTCATACCAACGCCGGGCCGCCCTTTACTTCCGCGCTCATCGCAAGCATTCCCCTTCGTTCTAGCTAGCATACTAGACAACGCATATCAGCGCGTCTTTCCAGCATAGAAGCAAGACAGCTGCCTGCTAGCCATTACGGAAGAAACATCGACCCGCGAACCGACGAACGATCTTGTAAACATATAGTTTCCAGACCTCCGCAGTACGGCCTCCGCGTAAGTCATACCAGACGCCGCCCTTTACTTCCGTGCTCATCGGAAGTGTTCCCCTTCATTCCAGCTAGCATATCAGACGACGCATATTAGCGCCTCTTTTAAGCCTAGGAGCAAGACAGCTACCTGCTAGCCACATCAACAGCAAACCACACTCTCATCCGCCGCAAGAATGGCCGATGTCATAGACCTCTCATCCAATCCGTACGTCGCGCCCAAGGACGGACGCTGTTTGATCAATGAACTTCCCTCCGAACTCCTCGCACACATCTTCACCCTCGGGTGGACGCCAGAGCGCGACGAAGAGCCAGAGTCCGACGAGGACTTTGAGGACGTAGACTCCGACGATGACACATACTCCTCCGTCTCCTCGGAGGGAAGTACACCCCCACGCACCGAACAGGAGGAGGCCGAGGACAAGGAGCGACGCCTCCCCTTCAACGTGCTCGTCTCGCACGTCTGCGCACGCTGGCGCGCCGTCGCGGTCGAAAACCCGCTCCTCTGGGCACACATCCGCTTCGTCGGCTCTCCGCCGTACGACCGCGCGGCAACCTACCTGGAACGCGCGAAGGCGGCTCCGCTCGCGATCACCGTTGACCGCACGATCGACGATGCCGACGACTTCTCAATGTCGGACGACTCGTACGCGCCCGAGGACCACGACCCGGACCTGGCCGTCATCGAGGGCATCATGGAGCTCATTGTCCCGCACGTCGCGCACTGGCAGGCGCTGCAGATCATGGTCTCTTTCTACAAGCACATGCACTACGCGCTCGAAGCCCTGGGCGCCGCCGGCCCCGCGCCGCTGCTCGAGGTCCTCCAACTGTACCACTACGAGGATACGGACGAGCACCTCACGTTCAAGCTCCCCGAGCTGCGCGCACAGCCGTTCCGCCTCTTCGGCGGCGTCGCACCCCGTCTCACGCACGTCGCGCTCTGGGGTGTGCACGTTCCCTGGGACCGCGAGAGCTCCCCATACCTCACCGGGCTCACCGACCTCGAGCTCGCGTACCACGCGCGCGACGTCCGCCCAAGCCTTGCCGAGTTCGCGCGTATCCTGCGGGACTCGCCCGGGCTCCGCACGCTCACGCTTTGCCTCTCCTGCCCTGCCGGCACGCCCGACGAGTGGGAGCCCGGCATGCCGCTCACCACCACGCCCTCCGACGCGGGTATCATCGACCCAGAGGCGCTCGTGCCCCTTGCGCTCCCAGCGCTGACGGACCTCGTGCTCGCCTACCTCGAGCCCGCGTACCTGCTCGCGCTCCTGCCGCGTCTCGCCCTCCCCGCGCTCACCTCGCTCGCGCTCGACCTCGAGGACGAGGACTACTCGGAGCTGCTCAAGTACCTCGCCTCCCCGCGCTCGCGCCCACCGCCCTCCGCGTTGAGTGGGCCCGGGGTCTCCGGCGGTACCAACGCGCGCTCGATTCTGGCACACCTCACCGCGCTCAAGGTCGCAAGCATGCCCGCGAGCGAGGCGTGCGTGCGCGACGCGTATCGCGAGATGCAGGGGCTCGCCGCGCTCAACCTCAACGCGGACTTCCTTGACGCGTACTGGGTCGACCTGCTCTTCCCGCAGCCAAACGCCGGCGCCGGCGACGCGCAGGGCGAGCTGCTGCTCCCGCGCCTCGAGACGCTGACTACGACCGGGGTCGACGGGACGCAGATGCGGGAGCTCGTGGCGGCGCGCGAGGCGCGCGGGGCGCCGCTCCGGACGCTGTTGATGAACGAGGAGGACGACGTAGCGCACTCGGACGAGGTGTGGCTCGGGGAGCACGTTGAGCGCTTCGAGTACTTCGAAGGCTCTGACGACGAGGACATGGACGTCGACGGCGTGGAGGTGTTCGAGAACGACGAGGATGGCGACTGGGAGGACGAGGATGAGGAGATGGACGAGGATGACATCGACGATATCTTCGTCGTGCCGTTCTAAGCCCACCAGAGTTCCTGCACCGGTGATTGGGAGGTTGAGAAGCGTCTGGCGGGCGTAATTTGGTTTAGATACGCTGGCGAGCATGACGCACGGCGAGAAGGGTAATCGACAGCCGCACAGGTCCCCGTACGCCGTGTGGTGACGGTGGAGACGCAAAACTTATCACATAATGTATGAATATCCAATCTTCAATGCTAGCAGGGGAGCTTCCTAAGACCCTCAAACAATAGTACTTTGTGAATCTATATACTTCCTCGGCTGCCCGAGGAGTCACTGCGTGAGACTCTTTGCTCGCAGTAGGAAGTACGAGCCTGGCACCGTGCGTCCGCCTTTGTGTGCACTATCCCACGTCAGTCGACGTTCCCAGCGGTCCCCGCGGACGTTCCATTGGGAGCCAATATGATCGTTGGACGTTAGGATGGCACTCACGCACACGATCTCCAGGGCGCGCAGGTTCGTCACCTCCTGCAGCCTGGTAACCTCCTGCAGCCTGGTACATTCCTGGATCCGCTTAATTGCGCGCGTCCGTAGCCTTGGACGTGGCCTCAGGGTCTCAGGGTTCCAGAAAGGTTTGACGTGAGCGCAGTGCTGCAGCGTGGAGAAATGGGGCGGAGACGGAGAGGTGCCCGTGGGCTGTCGGGGAGCCGAGATGGCCGTGCGCAGCTGCAGCTTTACGGGTGCTGCGGAAAGAACGCCGTGTAAATGCTGGTGCGCGAGGTGCGGTTGTGCCTAGGCGTGAGACGGGGAGGAGTTTTTGGAAGTATGTATTTTCGCGGACGGCACCTGCCCTTGCTTGCCTAGATGCTTCCGCGCCACCCTCTCACCCGCACTCCAGGTACGTATGGGTCATCCTTGCTGCGGGAAAATGGTCCCGCGAGACGTATCACACATATTGGGGCATAATGAAATGCAGAGCTCGGTCCGTAGGCTTCCGTAGGGTCGAGGGCCATTCGCGCGGGCGGAGGATCGCAGAGATGAGAGATCGATCCGCCACCAAAGCTGTGCTGGTTCATCGGCGTGCCTCGGTAGAGTAGATAGTTCTGAGCAAGAAAATTTGCGCGAGGAGGTCAGTTCTAAAAGAAGACGTAAATTAACTCCGTGACAGCCAAGCCCAGAGCCTTTTCGGAGGCGGCGGGCAATGAGCGAACCAATTCATGTCCATCGATGTCGTAAAGCAGTCCTAGGTGTACATATATAAGCAGGAAGATTTAAATCCAAAGAAAAGCTCAAGAATACGTCTAAGGAGACGTACTTAAACCAACTGCTGGCGGCGGAAAGGAGACCAAAGAGCGGGAGGAACGAGATGAGCGACTAAAATTGTTTGGCGTTGAGTATAACTTCCCAATCCGGAAGGTTTAAAGCGCTCTCAGAACCGGACCGCTTTGACAGATAGACGCCCAATGTGGAAAAGTTGGGACGAGCGCTACGCGACCAATGCGATCGCGGCTCGAGCAGCTTCAGACCTTTCGCACTCACTCGCTCTAATACCACACTGATAACTATGGCACCACCTCCACAAGCGAGCTCAAGTGCAGCTCGGGGTACTAAGCGAAAGCGGGCAGAAAAGACGAGCACAAGGCCTCCGGTCAAGCGCGAGACCCCGGAGGAGCTGATCGGGAAGAAACTGGTGTGTACGCCCTTCCGTGACATTCGCACACGGGCCACAGGTTGCATGTGCTGAATGTGTGCAAGCATCACGGCGTGCAAGAGGTGCGCAAGGCGGCGAAGAAGGCGGCGGATTTCGAGCTTAGGAAGGTCGTGAAGAGGCTCAAGGCAGCGAGGTCGGTTTTGTAACTGCTGAATGAAATCACGGCGTCTTATAGGCTAGGATATCTGTAGAGGAGAAAAGCCTGTAAGAGGGAAAGCAAAGGATGACAGCCCTGAGGAGCTGGAATGCCAACTTGAGTTGCTGAAGGTACTGTACCTCAGGAATGCCAACGCTGCTCTTCCTCTCACTCTTGATTTCAGCAACTCGACCCCGAGCCATTTGCGAATACGGCATTGAAGACCAAGATCCTCAAGGACCGCTTGCTCTCCGAACACGAAGGCATCAAGGCTACGATAGCCGAGAAGTTGTCCCAGAATCCTGTGGAACCCTCACCACCGGGCTCTTCTGCTGCGAAGGTCCACAGCAGAGTGCTCAGTTCAAAGATCATCGCGGACGCTGTTCAGGCTATCATACAAGCGCTCAAAGAAATCCTGGACCCATCCATTGCGGTGGCCAAAGACGCTCAATTCGGGGAGGCAGACGAGGAAGAAGAAGCGGACTTCGACGCACGGCCTGTCAAGGGCAAGAAAGCACGGATCGCCCCTGCCAAAGAGGCGGATGAGGATGAGGAGGGTGACAGCGGTGATGAAGCGGACGCAGATGACGCAGGCTGGGAGTCCGGTACCATCGACGGCGGGGACGACGAGGACGGTGCAGGCTGGGAGTCCGGCTCCATTGACGACGGCGAGCTTCGGGTCGCGAACTCTTCCGACGAGGACGAAGACGCCGACGGGGAAGGCGACTCGAGCGAAGACGAGGACGTCCCCGTCGCAAAGCCAAAACCTAAAGCGGCCGCCAAACCGCCAGCCAAGGAGGCGCAACCCAAAACCAAAGTGGGCGAGTCGACGTTCCTGCCATCGCTCGCCGTCGGCTTCACGCGCGGCGACTCGGACGCGTCCGACCTCTCCGACGCAGACGACGCGCCCCGGAAGAACCGGCGCGGGCAGCGCGCGCGCAGAGCGTACGCCCCGTTTCAGCTGTCGCGTTCCCCCGCACATTCTCCGTATCTGACATTTGTTCCGCGTCCACAGGATCTGGGAGAAGAAGTACGGCAGGAACGCAAACCACGTCAAGAACGGAGCCCCGCCTCCCCAGGACCCGCGACAGCGGAACGGCAAGGGCGCGAAAGGTGGCCCTCCGCGGTCTGGCGCGCCCCCTCTTGCGAAGGCCCCCATCTTCAAGCCGCGCTCGACTGGTCCTACGCCTGCGCCCATCGACGGCGGCTGGCCGACGCGGACGACAGGTGCCCGCGCGGCAGTCGGCGCGAGTGCGCCCGCGCGCGGGAACGCGGGCGCGAGCGCGAAGAGCGACGATAAGCCGCTGCACCCGTCGTGGGAGGCGAAGAAGCGGATGAAGGAAAAGCTGAACCCGAGCATCATCCCTGGGGCTCAGGGAACGAAGATCAAGTTCTCGTAGGTAGTCCGTACCGGTGTACCGACCCGGTTGCTAGCGCACCATACCACTCGCCATTTTGGATATGCAGATCGTCGTGCTTGCGCGATCGCCGTCGTAGCAGCACGCGTTGTGAGCGAGTGAGAAAAAGCAGTTGAGATAGATAGGTGGGAATGCATATGTACAGGTAGATGAGTAGATGATGGTAACGTGCGCTTACGACGGTTGAATGAAGCAAGGTATACGAGGGGAAGATGATAGATGATGCAAGATGGGAGTAATAATGTAGTGATACAGCATGCTACAGAGCCGGAACCTGACCTCTAGGCAAAACATCGACGACGGACGTGCAAAAAGATAACGCAAGCACCAGCCCAGAGGGAGGTCAAGAGATACGGTACGTACAAGGAGCAAGAGGCAAGAGTTCGCAAGGGCTTGGCCACAACTAAAAACATGATACGCACGACGAAGGGCGGTGGAGACGCCGCTCACCCGCGTCGCGCGGAGCAGATATGTCGCTTCCCGTTGCCCTTTTGCAGGCGACACGCGCGCGAGCACCACATCTCGCCGCACTTCGGGCAGCATGGGAAGTTTGAGCCACTACGGCCACACGTCGCGCACGCGGTCTGCACCGCGAACATGGACGCGCGCTCGAGGCCTTCGAGGACTGGATGTAGTGTTTCTGACTTGCGGGAAAGCGAGGGCGGGAGCGGCGCCGCGACATGCACGGGTGTGGCAGGCCCGGCCGAGGATGGTGCGGTGGGGAAGTAATCTGATCCTGAGTACGATGACGGCGTACGGCAGATAGACGGAAGTGTGGGTGACGACGGCGCGTCGATTGGGGAAGAGGTCGTGCGTCGTCTGTGCTTGGGGGCCGGGGCACTCGCGCCACGAACGTGCGCTGTAGATAAGCGCAGTGGGGCGCGACATGGCGACGGTGGGGCCGACGGCATTGGTGAGGGAGCGACGCCGCCTGACGAGAGGAGGCTGAGCAGTCGCTCGCGTGGACTGCTCGTAGGTGCGAACGAGCCGACGAGATCCGACTCCGCAGTGGGGGTCATGCGGGTCTGGACGGCCGCTCTGGGGTTGGTCAGGACAGAGGAGAGCATCGAGGGGAGACGGGCACGCGTGCGCGTGCGTGGCTGGTCGAGCATCGTTGCAGAGGACGACGCACGGGCGCGGGGGATCGTTCGCGCCGCCGGGAAGTCCAGGCGGGCGATGCTGGGCTCGCCGACGGCGGTGGTCGACTTGGCCCGAACATGATGAGCCTTGGCTGGCTGCGACGCGGGCGGGGACGAGACAGGATCCGCTGGAGACTCAAAGGCAGGCAGCCGGGCCTGCTCCCGTACTGCGTCCGCGACGTCGGTGGGGGCAGGCGTATCTCGAGATGGAGAGTCGAAGGACGCGCTCACCGGCACCCCTGGAGCCGCAGGACTGGAAGCGACGGGCTTCTGGGCGGGTGTCGGGGTAGTCTCGGATGAGACGACTCGCAGTGCAGAATGCCTGCTTTTGCTTCTGCTGGTGCCGCCGCGAAGGCTATTGAACGACGGCTGGGGCGGTCGTGAGAGAGCCGTAATGAACCGAGAGTGCGGGGGAAACTTACCCAGCGGTAGCGGCCCGGTCGCGTTGCGGATGTAGGGTGGTCGTGAGCGAGCTGTGGCTGCAACGCGGTCTCGCACACGGTGGCGGACATGCGGATAACGCGTATGAGGAGGGATGAGAACGGGACGGGAGTGCGGAGGAGTCGAGAGGATGAGCAGGAGGATTTAAAGGAGGAGGCAAAGATCGAAAAGAGCGTCACACGACCGAGGCGAGCTCCGGGCGTCTAACCGTAAGCTTCCCCTGCGACGGGCGGGCGTCTGGCCCTGAATTGATCGAGCGATCCGTTCTGCCGCGACTCCGCGCTCGAGCCCCGATCGCCCAGCTCATCCTCCCCGCCGGCAAAACACCAGCTATCCTCGATAAAATGCAGAACGCGGGGAGAGAGCTGCGTCGAATGCTCCCAACGAACTCGCCCTTGAATTTTATACGAAAACTCACCGACGGCGCGCTCCAGATGCTCCAACAATCGCCGCCCTTTGCCATGCTCCAGCAGGCTCCAGTCTCCAGCGCGCCCCCCTTATCTGCGACGTCCAGCGCCGTACGTACAAACATGTCTACGGCTTCTGTCCTGTTGACCGCAGAACAGAACGAACGTTGTCGCCTTCGCGGTGCACGCAATTCTATTGGTGGACGGGTGGCACACGACCACTAATCTCTGCGCTAAGCGATAGCACGGGAACAGAGCAGATATTAATACGGTGACATCTGCGCTGGCGACACATCTTTCACAGAGGAGTATGCGAATGACCACAAACAGACAATATGATAACGAATGAGTGCGCCCACACGACTCGGGCAGCTCCTATCCGCCGATTGTGCTATCCGTCCCTCCGCCAATTAGGCATGCATCACGGAGTCTCTCCGCTAGACCCGGAGCTCCTCCTGAACGGGTGTGGTCTGCTTGCCTCGCGGGAGGCCTATGTGGAAATCACGCTACTCACAGCATCTCGGGGAGCACTTGCCGTCTTCTGCCGCAGTCTAGGTCGCGATCGCGATTTTACCCAAGTAGACGTCCTTCGACGTATTGTACCCGCGCTCATCGCCAGAAGACGAAATACGGCAGCCATCTCGCGGCGAACCCATCGCGTCCCATCGTTGTCCCATCTCTTGTCGAGAGGAACGGCCGGGCCGTTCGGGGGTCCGTCTTATGGGAACGAACGGATGGTTCTATGTGAATAATCCAGGGTACCCAAATTAGTGAGTCTTTACGATGGTAGGAGCACAGTTTGAATGTCAGTATCAGGATGATGACGGAGGACCCCTTGAGGCCCGTGAAAGTACTTACAGGGTCTGCTTGGGCTTAACAGGACATGCGTATAACACCATCCAACCAGCACCTGCTATCGTTAGGCACCATCTACTAGGCCGCGATTTTACTCAACTGGACGTCCTTCGACGGATTGTACCCGGGCTCAGCGCTCATCGCCAGAAGACGAAATACGGCAGCCATCTCGCGAATCCACCGCGTCCCATCGTTATCCCGTGCCATGCCGAGAGAAACAACGGTGCGGAGGCCCGTCTTATGGGAACTTCTGAGTCTACCCCTGCAGCTCAGACGTGCATGAGAATGGCATGTACAAACACCATCACTTGTGACAGCCGGTTCTGCAACGTTAGCCACTCCAGAAATATATCCCCTCTACGATACTCTGGGACAGTCCATCTTTCAGGGAAACCATTGGATATCTACTGCCTTATATCAGGGCCGTGTCTCGTGAAGGTAGTACGAGTCATCATGATCAGTATCGAGCTGAAGAGTGACAATCCAGAGTTCGTAGCCATTGCGCTGTCAGTACTACACGCAGTTGGTTCTATGAAGTGTTCAAACGTCCTGTGTATGATCATATCATCTCTCCATTTCCCTGTTTGATGTCAATGGAATGACGTGCATGATACGTTTTCTAAAGCATTTTTTGGATAATCTTGAACGCGGAACCTATAAAGTTGGTGATCAGAGGCGGCGTGGCGGAGGGGATGGAAATCTTGAGCTTTTGCTACAGTATTTACGAGAAATGCAACTGGCAGAACATCCTAGCAAGCAATCCCCGAATGATATAAGTCACCCCATGCATAGGCTACTAGAGAGAGAAACGCTATCCGGGGCGACTTACCGTCTTCTGCTGGATAGACATTTTGCCCAAGTCGACGACCTTCGATGTATTGTACCCGCCTATACCCGCCCAAGTACTGGCAAAGGCGAAATACGGCACTGGAGCTACATCTCGCGCACTACTGCCCATCGCGTCTCATTGTTGTCCCACCCCCGCCGAGAGGAACAGCCGTTCGAACTTCGAGAGCCCGTCTCATGAGAACGCCGTCACTATCGCCGTCCAGACGTGCATGAGAATGGAATGTATATGCAGTAATGGCACTAGCGATACAGATCATATGATATCCAGCACTAGTCGACGCGCCTCGGCGATCCTGTCACCAGGCCCGCACAACCCGCGCAGTTGTATGTATGTACTGTCCCCGGCCCTATGCTGGAACTCTACTCTAGTGTCATAGTCTGAGTATGCACCCAGGCCCTTTATTGTCCCCTCCGTCTTCGCCGCTGCCCTGGAGGTTGACAGTGATAGCCCCCTCTCTGCGAGGCTCACGCGCTCGCAGCGCGTCCGTGACAAGCGTGCGCATGCACACTCGTCGAGGCGCGGCGGCACTCGCGCGAACACCAGCGTTCGCCGCACTTCGCGCAGCTCGGGAAGTTCGAGCCCGCGCGGTGACAGTGCGTACACGTGCTCTGCACGCGGAAGCGCGAGGCACGCTCGAGATCGTCGAGCGACGGCAGCTCGTGCGCGAGCACGTTGTTGTGCATGCGCGGGGTTGCAGGCGCCTCCGACGACGAGGCCGTATCGAGCGAGTCGATCGAGGGGGTACGACTCGCCGAACGGTTGCGGGTGTAGGAGTGGGAGCGCTCCGAGGCCGAGGGGAAGGGTGGTGGGCTGGAGTCAGAGTCGGGCGAACGCGAGATGGGGGCGCGGTCGCGGAAGAAGCTCCGAGTGGGCGAGCGGGAGGGCCGCTCGTCGACGGGCGTGCTGCCCACGACGGTGAGGAGCGCGTCGCGCGCGGAGGAGAGGTAGTTGAACGACGGCGTCGCGTCGTGCGTCTCGAGGTCGATGTACGACAGCGCGGGGCTCTTTGGCGCGATGGGAATTGCGGGGCTCATCGGGGCCGCGACCCTGGGCGTGGACATGGTGCGGCCGCGGGCCATAGCGGGACGACCCTGCGTCTGGGAGTGGTGGTGGTGGTGGTGGCTGCTTGCGCCCTCGGGGGAAGCGCGCGCCTTGTCGCCCTGCACATGAGATCCGGCATTGAGTGGTGGTATCTTGCGGTGATCTGAGATCTCGCTCACCGTGCGCGACGGGGACAATCTGGCTTTGGATCCCAGAGAAGTTGTCGATCCCTTGTGCGTATGCACATGGCCATGTGGATGCGGCGAGGTGCCTGTTGTGTGCTGCGTTAGCTGGAAGCCTAGAGGAGGTGTTGGCCACACGTACCCTTGCAGCACAGGTGCGTCGACTCTGGGTCGGCACCGATCTCACGGAGGAAGTCCTCGAAGTGGCTTCGACGCGTCGAGTCGCCGGGCCAAGTGAGAGCAGCGCGCTGTGTAACA